CAAAAAAAAAAAAAAAAAAAAAAAAAAAAACATTAATTCATCCAGCCACGAATATTCCAATCCAACGTCCAGCCCAGTAGGCACTGCGTCTGACCGCGCTCGGTCCGTTTCTACTGGCAGCTACCGCAACCCGTTAAAATCATTTACGTGGTGGTTCATCGAGAGATTCCAGTGACCTCACGAGATCTGATATCGCGTCGGCCAATAGATATGGCATACGAGCATAACCTTTGAACATAAGAGCGTCAGGGGGTCTGGAGTTTCCGACGTTGTATCGGTATCTCGTATCAATATCGGAAAGTCGCGTCAGGCGGCGAGGCGCAGCCGCGTCGAGTGGCAAGTAGAGTCGGTGGCTGGTAGGCCAGCCAACAAGCAAGCAAAGGCCTCGAGGTCCGTGTCGCTCGATGAAAAGCAGCCTTTCCGTAAACCGACAAGGTTATTGTAGCCGGTCATGAGTCGCTGGTTAGGTCGTCTCTTATCAAATTCGGCCGAGATAGCATGAAAACGCGACCATTTGTACATGTAAAAGTGTGAGAGAGAGAGAGAGAGAGAAGGAGGCGTAAACGTTAACGTAACCCATTAACGTAAAGTAACATCATGGCTGAATAGTAAAAAGACATGGCACGTTGCCAGTTGGTTGTTAGATGCCACATGTGCTCGTACGGGGCCATCCCGTTACGTACGCGAAATTTTCCCCGACCTGCCCTGCTACGTACGTGGGTCTCGTGAAGTTAGATTTTTCGCTGTTATGATTGACGAATAATTGGACGCTGCAAAAAAAAATTACGAATCGGCAAATCCACCAGGCTCTACGACTAACACTGGTGAAGCCTTGAATTTACGAAGACTCGTCGTATGTATGTCTCTCGAATGAAGGAATTAAATGAAATCGATAACGCCGCATCGTTATGGTGCAGGTGGGAAAGGTGAAAGCGACGTGCTGCCTTGAGAGCAGGACAGTGCCTTTTGAAGTTGGAGGAAGATACTGAATGAAAAGAACGAAAAAAAAAAAAAAATGTATATATATTTTCACGGAAAAAATTTTGACATTTTTTAAACGGGCCGTTACGACGTCATCGTTGCTTTGTGACGACCTCGTCATGACGTCACTGATACTTTTTATTAAAACCTGGAAAACTGTAACTAGGTTATACGTGAGGTTCCTTTGAATTTATTTTCTACGAATTTACAAGAATTTCTGCTCACGGAGGAACAGCTGTTACGTATCAAGCTCTTGACAGAGATAAGAAAGCTCTTTAAGCCATTGTCAAGTATTACGATACTCGTGTTCTTACAAGATGCAAAAGTAATCTGACAGCGAGCAGACTAATGGGTTGTGAAAAGATTTTTTTTTTAATCACAATTTTCACCACAAAGGTCGTAGCTGTAAAAATCGAACTTTATGGCAATTTTATATATATCACATTTTTTTATATATAATCATGAGTAATCATTCGCAATGACAGTAAATTACTCGAGCAGTCTCATCCTGGCTGCACGACACCGGATATTCTTTCATCGTGCCAACCGCAAGTTCGCTTGATAATGAATTCGATTTATAAGAATATCAGTACACAGCGAGCCTAGTGAAAACGTAAAGGCTCGTTCGTATGTAGAATAGGCACCCAATTCGAAGGTCAAGGAACAAAAGAAACCCTTGTACTTTGAGAGGCTGAATAAAGAGTTTGATTACCAAAAAAAAAGTCAAAGCTTTTAACCAATTTTCTGTAATCTGCATAAATAATTCGTTAAAAGTCAAATAAAACGACAAGATAGTATTACGTGTAAACGTAAACAGTATCAAAAAGCATAGTTGCGTAAGCGCGATGACGCAATCACTCACCTCCGCGAAGAACTCCGTCATGAAATCATCAGGTGGGCCCACGTTGACGGACACCTCGTCCGGCACATCGTCATCGTCAGACTGAGCCTTTGAAACAAGAGAAGAAAATAATGTCAATTATTAAATGTCAATCAAACAATTATTTCGTTATCTCTCGCTAATTTGACTGTAATCGCGTTACAAGCGAATTGTGTTAAGAAAAATTGTTATACGAGAAAAAAAGATACTCTTACGTCATTCAAGAGCGCTATTGATAGCAGAAAAGCTCTTTGACTAAATTACTATCTCGTAGTCCGAAGTCAAGGGTCACGTAAGCCACTGGCTATGACGACCTTTCAACTGGTTAATTAGGTTCAATTATGCATCTTAAAAATACCGCCCCTTAGACTATGAATTTTTGCCCTTTTGTTTTATTCTTTTCTAATGCGCCTTTTCCTTTCATTATTGTTCTCTGATAAGAGCTAACCCGTCTCGGACAAGTCGGACGATTTTTAAACCAAAAAGTTACATACTGAATTCCTGTCTGATAACACGGAAATATGTAGAGGAAAAAAAAGAGATACGACACTATGAATAAAGCGTAGAATTGTCGGGAGCAAAAAGCATCGCGTTTACACAGTTTAATATTAATGGCGGATGCAGAAACCTTCACGTTGGTGATGGGAGAAAAAGTGTGTTTAAAAAAAAAAAGAACGGTATCATCGATTCTACGATTTATGAATTTTATTCAGATTTCTGGTGTCGGCGGTAACCCCATCTATTTCTGTCATTGCACAGGGATCAGAATTTCAAAATTACAAACGGTATTACGATATTTGCAATAGAGTTATTCTTCTTGTTATTATTGCATTGAAAACTGTTATAAAAACGTTCAACCGAAAATACCTTGGACCAATGGTCTTCTTCCGGTATTTGCGATAGGAATTCTTGGGCGATAAAAATAATATCGTGTTATAGGACGAACGGTAATTCTTATTGGCTGCTCGTGGAATTCGAAAAATGTAGAATGGAAAGATGGAAGGAAAGCCAATTATATAGCATACCGATTTAGGCATTTAATCGGACAGAGCTTTGAATACACGATTGAGAGGTCGCCCATAGTACACACAAAAATATTTCCTATATACTGATATCATTAGATGACTAACAGATAAAACGGCTATGATAATCAACAATCAATGAGATTATTTTGGTAATTGCTCCTTCTCTATCGCGAATGTCTTGTAATTAATTAGTTGACCTTTGACCTCGACCCAAAGTAACAGTCGATTCAATATTTTCTATGGTATTAGGTATCATTTTCTATATGACACATATGCTACAGGATGAGTCTCTTTTCTTATCTAACGTCAAACAAGTCAAACTTATAAGCAAGAGATATTAGTACTTTTTTAACTCTACATTAAATATTAACTGCAACAGTGTTTACTAAAATGATTTAGAAAATTATCTGATTCATGTTCAAATAACCACGTACATCCTGTTCGTGGGACAAAGGTGAATAATTTGATGACTTTGTTTCATAAAATGAAAGATAAAGGTACGGTTCAAAGAAAGTCAGTAACGTCATAAGGTTCATCAATGGGAGTCAGTAAGCCGTTGTTCGACACGGGTCCAAACGAAGAAGTATCTCGTTGAAGAGGTCAGACAGCCACGCGAGATCATTGAAGTCGAATGATTGCATTTCTTTTTGAAAAAATGGGGTGGGGCCATCTTTCAATGACAGGGAGCGAAGCACAGAGAAGCAGTCACTGGCTAAAAAGGAACGGTGACGCGATGACTAACCCGCGAACACCTGTCATCTGGCAGGGCGACCGGCCTGTCGTCTGTTTGTCAGCAGTAACATAGCCGGAAACGCCTTTTTTTTTAATTTACAAATTGAAAGTTGATTGGCAGTCATGAGATTTCATTCGTTTCGTTAAAAGACTTATCAGTATGCACGATTGTTCATGCAACACGTTACATAGTAGTCGTTAGAGGAACGGAACGGAATGGGACGTAAAGTCGTCGCGACGGACGGACCGATGGATGGGTGAACGTGAAAAACTCACTGCGACGAGGGCTGCTAATCTATCCTTGGTCATGGTGAATTACGAGTTGCAAATCAGCAGGTGTACGGAGAGGAACACTCAGTAAATAATCCCATTCACGGTTTTATCCATGTACGACGAGCACGGCCACTAAAAACTAAGGAAACGGACGCACTAACCGCGAGACACGATCGTAAAATCGATACACTCGCGAACTCGCCTGCTTCTGCAGTGCCGTCCGCACGATGGCGCAGGCGTCGTGACGTCAACACTCGCCAGTAACGAATTCTCGAATACTGCGCCCTCTTGCAGACCTTGAGAGCTCGATTAATTAGGAGTCTATTAATTTTTATTAAAAATGTTTATTATTCACTTATTTTTTATCCATTCGTAAGATTTCTTTTGTTAATGTATGTTCGGTGTTTTATTATGACGAATTGTCTTGCGTGGATGGAATTTCGAAAGGTTACAGTCACAACGCCATCTTTGTATATTTTTTTGAAATTTTCCTTATTTGGACAATGAGCTATTTCTATTCATGATGCTCTTTAATTTGTCTAATTTTTTAAAAGTAATTGTTGTTTAAGGCTTTGTGGCTTACTTTATCATCGGGAGTTATGTTAGGAAATAACATTGCGTTAAATTTATGTAATTTTTGTCTATGCAGAGAATTTCTAAATATTGCAGAATAATAGAATGAGATTAAAGAATATTTTAATGTAATTTATAACGGGTTGACTTTAAAATACCTGAAAAGTATATTAAACGCTCTCTTCACGTATATTAATTATTCTAAATAACCTTGTTAAGTCCACTATGAGGTCAGAATTTAAAGGTTGCCGCCGCAACCACTTTACTGCCACGTGCATCTGCAGTAAAAGTCACCACGTTAAGCCGGCCCTGACCCCAAAAACGATAGATGTCGCTGAGCGACTTAACTTTTTGGATAAAAAACGTACGTTTGTCATTTATTTTGCAAATAAAGAGTCGGTAAAATTAAATTTTCATTTTTTCATATTGATCGCGACATTTATTTCGCCTAATTAAAGTCGTACAAGATTTGACGAATGAGGAGGAAGCGAGTCTCTACTCGCCAGCTTGGACGAACGCCATTGTGAGCCATACCGACTGTGCGGCACGGTAAGTTTTATTGCCCATTTTCACGTCCATCGCGACACCCCGGGAAATTTTGTTCTCGCACTATTTAATTTGCATAGTTTCGCGTGAATTAACATCAGTCCGTACGAAATATTCACTGTATCTTCTGTGCTATCGTTTAATTGCTCTTGGAATTTTGTACGAAATTCCTAGCTTACACGAGAAGGGCGAGAAGGGCGCCATTCTTCGTGAAACTTGAAGATTTCTGTATCACGGCGTGGTACGGTGCGCGGGACCTAGGACAACCGGCTGCCCGTGCCCTTTATCAACGAAGCTTTTTAGTTCTTCTTATATTTTGTACTTGTGCTGATTTTCAAAGACTCCCGTCTATTCTTACTAAGGTATTCAAAATTCCGAAATATTAATCACGCAAGCGGCGCGTGATTGGGCGCCACAGTTTTCCAGTAACTTCGAGAAAGCGTCTGTACGTCCTTCGCGAAGAAAGGAGCAGCGTCCTTTCAATACTGTAAACTCTCGTTCGAATTTCTTCCTGTACATTATACTTTTCTACTATTTTGATCACGTGGCAATTTTTTAGTAAAGTTTATCTGTACGTTATACATCTTTTAGTTGGGTTATGTGACGTAAGCCGGTATTTTGAAGACTACGGACTTCATATGGACTCTAGAAGTCACTTCTCACATTTACTGTTCTTGGTCGATTATAATATATTTATATATATATATGATTTTTTCAGACTCGAATCCACAAATTTGCTTTATTGCGGTGAACCATCAAACAGTAAAAATGGCACAGGATCCTGACATGCCCACCTTCAAGTGTGTCCTGGTTGGGGATGGTGGTACTGGCAAGACTACCTTCGTCAAACGTCACTTGACTGGAGAGTTTGAGAAGAAATATGTTGCCACTTTGGGTGTCGAAGTACATCCATTGATCTTTCACACGAATCGAGGACCTATAAGGTTCAATGTGTGGGACACAGCTGGTCAGGAGAAATTTGGTGGACTTCGAGATGGCTATTACATTCAAGGACAGTGTGCTGTTATTATGTTCGATGTTACGTCTCGAGTGACGTATAAAAATGTTCCAAACTGGCATAGAGACTTAGTCAGAGTCTGTGAAAATATACCTATTGTACTCTGTGGCAACAAGGTTGACATTAAAGATAGGAAAGTCAAGGCCAAGAGCATCGTCTTTCACAGGAAGAAGAATCTTCAGGTATAACTTATGCGTTCAGTTAACTTTGGTACACCTCATATAACAGTTACCTAAAATATGATGAATCAGCAATCTTATATCAAGTGAAGACATAACACTGTCCCTCTAATCTGAATATATTCAGGGCATACTTTTTCTTATTATAACCTTTTTTCTCTTTTTACCAATACCTCTGCTTTTTGCTTTATAGTATTATGACATCAGTGCAAAGAGTAACTACAACTTTGAGAAACCTTTCCTGTGGTTGGCGCGCAAGCTCATCGGAGACCCCAATCTCGAATTCGTGGCGATGCCTGCTCTTCTACCCCCAGAAGTAACCATGGATCCCATGTGGCAACAACAGATTGAAAAGGACCTCAAGGAGGCCCAAGATACGGCGTTGCCAGAGGATGATGAGGACCTTTAGATCATTTCTTATGCGTACGGGGTCTTACCGAAGCAAACGCGTTATTTACTATTTTTATAAGCGAAGGTAACTGTATAATTCGTTCGACTTAAATTATAAAACCAGCGTTTCCCTTTCCCGTCCTCCCCTTATTTTTTTTACGTATAACCATTGTTTCGTTGCAATCGGCAAGAAGTTCACTGCTCCAGAAACTTTATGCGAATCGCGCACTCAATATTTATGAGACAATGTTGGCCTCCCGGAACCGTGTTAAAACCTCGACGCACGAACAAGTTCCTGGAGCATTGTGGTTGAGATAAAATGCAGGTGCATCCAATGAAATGTATAAAATCGATTCCTGGTAATTTTGCGGATATCAAGTCCGATCGGTCTGCTGGACAGGAGCAGATTGTACCGCTGATTTCTGAATTTAATAAAACATCAATGAACAACACTATATCAAAAGCTTATTTTTTTTACACCTATTGAGAAATTCTATTAAAATGCAGTAGTATTATCCTCAAAGTGCTCCTTCGATAATTGCAAATTCTTTAATTCATCATATTGGAAGTTCAAAATTCCATACTACTACATTACTCTGACAATTGTACAGGAAAACAATGAAAATGAAAACATTAGGAGTAAATTTAAAGAAATCCTTTATCGATTAGGTTTATTACTAAAGTAGTCAGAAGCAAGTTTTCAGAGTAATCACTTAAAGAAAATGTTAACAATAATTATTGTTGACTAATACATGAATTACACGGCGGATATTAAAATAGGTTTATGAATGGACAAAAATATTGACTGGCAAATTGTTTTGCTTTTAAAATGGTTATGCTCAAATAAAAAAATTGTTTACATAAAGTATAAAATTGTCATTATAATAATAATACGTGAAGTATGCTTTGTATTCTACGTATATAACTTCATTTCTGGTAGTATATAATGTAAAATAGTATACTACATATTTTCAAATATACTTTAAATGCCGTGGTACAATTTTTCAAACATTATTTAGATGAAGAATGTTTATTCATGATTATTTAGATTTTTATAAAGATACAATTGCCATCTTTTACACCTTTATGTTTTGAACGAAAAAATTAACGCATTACAGTATTAATTCTATTTCGTTACGTTTTTTACTGGAAACTGTTCCTTCCTTTGATCGAATTCTAATACGAGATCTTGTAACTGAAGGGAAATGCATCAATTGGCGAAAAGTTTGTTATTTAATCCAAACACAGCTTTATGCTACACGTAAATTGCATATGGTACGGCACTGATATTATGATTCGAAGTGAAAATTCCATACATATATGTACATGAATGTTGCACATAAAAAATTCCACAATCCCCACGCGTCAACTATATTCAATTTATTTGTTTTATTTCGCGTAGCACAAGCATCATCTGGTTTAAATCTTCAACGAATTATCACTAGATAACTAATACCGTGGTGTAGTCCTTAGCGTTCGCCACACACTTATTTCTGAGCCTTCTTTGCCTTTTCTAAGGCCTTCTTACCTTCGAGAATTTCTATCTTTTCTTTTTCAGTAAGAGGCTTAAGGATATTGGTGATGACACCAGTGCCCAAGGTAATGTTTCCATCACGTAGAGTGAATCGTTGACCTTTCTCGCACACCATAGGTCGGAAGAGTTTAAGCTGTAATCTGCAATATATATGGATAAATATTTGATTTGTTTTATAATCCAGTGAAAGTCAATTGAAATAAGTATATGATCCTACGTGGCATCTTCTCCTGGCATAGCCAAGTCCTTTCCAGGGATGATAACCTGTGTTGCGCAGTCCCAAGTTTTACTGAACATCTGAAGCTGCATGTAGTTTGATAAAGGCTTTTTCCTGCCACCTTCTGCATGGCTTAGGATGTATGCCTGCGACTCGATATTGTCATTGGCTTTCATGCTTCCTGGTTTACACATTATCATTCCACGCTTAATATCGTCTCGTTTTAAACTCCTAATGAGTGCGCCAAGTTGGTCACCAGCATGGGCCTCTTCTAGAATCTGATGGAACATCTCAATGCCAGTTACAGTACTCTTCAATGTTTTGTTGTAACCTAGGAATTCGCATTCCATCCCCTTCTTTATGGTCCCTCTTTCAAGTCTTCCAGTTACTACAGTCCCTCTTCCAGGAATGGAGTATACATTCTCTACTGGAAGCAGGAAAGGTTTGTCCAACTCGCGAACGGGATTCGGAACAGCTGTGTCTACAGCATCCAACAACTCGAGGATGGAATTGCTTCCAATTTCTGGATTTTTGCCTTCCAGGGCGCACAAGGCGCTGCCTTTGACAATTTTAATATTATCCCCATCATAACCCATCTCTGTCATTAGTTCACGAATTTCCATCTCTACTAGTTCAACCATTTCAGCATCCGCAGCATCGACCTTAGAATAAATGTACATGTTTCATATTTATACTCCAGGATTATAGGATTGTGATTATTCAACAATACCTTATTGATGTAAACAACAATATGTTCAATGCCAATTTGTTTTGCAAGAAGTAAATGCTCTCTCGTCTGTGGCATAGCACCATCTGTGGCAGCGACTACAAGTATAGCACCATCCATTTGTGCTGCACCAGTGATCATGTTTTTAATGTAATCGGCATGACCAGGACAATCCGTATGACCATAGTGACGTGTATCAGTTTGATATTCAACATGGGCTACATTGATAGTAATTCCTCGAGCTTTTTCTTCTGGCGCATTGTCAATTTCAGCATAACCCTTTGCTTTTGCTAAAGCCTTCTCCGATAATACTATGCAATAATAAAAGAATATTGGATAATGTATTATGAAGTATGTAAAGAAATACAATTTAAACTGCATTTAAAGGGAGAAAAATACCTTTTGTGATGGCTGCTGTAAGAGTTGTTTTTCCATGATCAACATGGCCAATGGTTCCCACATTACAGTGAGGCTTATCTCGTTGGAAAACTTTCTTTTCCGAATACAATCTCTGTGCAGTGACGGTTGGTAATAACAATCGACTAGTCAAATGATTTCGACATTGCTAGAAGGATAAAAATTCAATGAACGATTCAAAAGGAAACGTGATAGAAAAACCCCGGTAATCAGTGTACTCTGTACTCTGATTAACCACTGTACATGAAGTTTACTTACATATTTAGCAAGATGCCGGGTGAAAACAATTTGTTTAACAGTCTGCCGAATTACTGTAACAAATAATGATTTTAGAACAAACTTTTACAAATATTCGTATAATTGCTTCATTCCCTGTGTATTCCCCCACCCCCCACGCGGCTTCCCTAAGCATCATCTTTAAAACAATTAAGAGAAGTATGTTCCCTTGAATCGCACAACGAATACGGTTTAACTAATAAATTCCAAGCACTCAAATTATAAAATCTTTAAGAATCATTTCATTAACAATGCTTACCGGGACTGAAAATAGCTCTAGCAGAAACCAGTGCCATGATTTCTAACCAATAAAGATAAGTTCTAGAAAGAACCCACAGAAGGCGCTGGCCAACAATTGCAAATGCATTAGTATATGTTACATAAGAATACTGTAGGCAATTTTAATTGAATATACTCGGATAGAATAGTTTGGATTATCGATTTATAAACAAAAATATTGCAGGTTCATTGATAACATTTGATTCTACAATGCTACATTGCGCATATACACATATTCCTTGTAATACTAAAAATATACAAACACAGAACGACATTTTCATGCTCTCAATTGAATAGAATCGGGTTTCCGGTTTGGTTCAAATTAAACTTAACTAAACATATTTTGTAACGGTAATATATAATACTTGCATATAATTCTATGACGATATTACAATTATACATATACTATTCATACAAGATATTCATAGAACTTCATTCTTCCGCACTATCTTCTACATATTATAGCAAATGAATTTAAGGAAATACCTTGTATGTTACATATGATGTATATACGACTTGCAATTAAAGTATAATATATTTACAGGAAACTAGTAGCTATAACAGTATTTTGTACTATTTGCAAAACTGCATGCGCTGCGATTGGCAGTATCGATATTCAACAGTATATACCATACTTACAAGATAACTAGAGAAATAAGGACCCTGCAGTGCCGTACAATTAAGTTGAGCGTGGAAAAAAATTTACGCTGTATTAAATTTAAATGCATAATAATGTTAATAACACGAGGGTAATTAGCCACTGTGGTTTAATGATGATGGCGAGAAGGCGCAACATTATCGTCATTATTCTATAGAACGCAGATAACCCTTGTATAATAATATATCCAAGCGTGCAGGCCGGAGCTGAAGTAGATAAATGAGAGAAGATATCGAAAGCGCTGAAGACTCCGGAAAATAGAAAAGCCTTATTATGCAAACGTGTATACCAAGTGTCGAAGAAGATAGGCGACCATCTTGACAATAATAATAATAATAGTAAAAGAAGCACGTAGACTGTCGCATCCATACAATCATCTTCTGAAAGACGACAGGGCAAAGTTCAACAGCACCGGATATATGTGCATTATGAAGACGTTGAACGATGATAGACTGTAATATATTCAGCAAGCATCTATTATAAAGTCTAACGCAGGACCAGCCCCATTATTCGAATATTCGCATCAACCCCTGATCCGCCTCGAGGTCTACAGCTCATAAAGTGCATTGAAAGATTGAAATAAATTTCTTTTAAATATTAAACAAACACAACTCACGTATTTACTTAAGCAATTGGAAAACATGGAATTTAATCTGGGGAAAATTTATTTCTATCATATTTCAATGCTTCGTGCTTCGTTAGGAAGTGCTGACATTTGACCTCTTCTTTCTTTCTTTTCATCTTCATGATCTATATCTATCCGTCTCTAGGATGTCACTAGCGGTACTATTTTGCTGAACTCAACTGTTTAATCGTGCTTTCATGTTCCACAATAATGGCAAACCAAGGCTGAGCAATTACCTTAGTGCACAGTTCGCGACGAGAGTATACAGGGCAGCACTTTGAGTTCCGCGTCGGTTCTTCTATTACCGACATCCGAGACTGTTCCGAATGAACCGTTAATCCCGACCGCGATGTCTGTCATTCTTGGTAGATTTTCCGGAACAAGGTAAACGCCCCGATTAGCCGTTACAGTTTTGTTCCATTTGTTGTGACTTCATTATTTTGACAGTCATTACGTGCTAGAATAAAAAAAAACATTGCAGACGTCATCTTCATTACCTATAAATACAATTATTACTACCGCATTTATCATTGTTACTTTGTTGTTATACTTGATTATTGTTTTTCAAAATATTCGCCGGCTGCTGGATGAATTGCTGTTGACTGATCCGTTAAATCACTTATCGAGATGACCATTATTCCCTTTGTCACATGTATCTCCTGTTATGTAGCAATTCCCTCCGTTGACGCTTAATGGCTAATCCAAGTTTTCGTCGTGCTAGAAGTAAAGAAGGGCCCGTTGAAGAATGTTTTCTGAAGAATGAAGAATAAAGATTTCGTCATTCTTCATTCCTCGAACTCCTTATACGTATGTACATGTGTTTACGAAATACGGTATAGATATAATAAAAAGAGTGCCAAGGGGTGGATGGGGGTCACGAGTGAAAAGGTTAAAGAGAAAATGAGGACAAAGAAAATGGTCGTGGCATAGAAATAGAGAAAAAAAATAAAACTAGAAATATATTTTTGTCCTGTAATTCCACTTCCCGTATCTGTATGAGATGTAAACTTCCATAACAGCATGGAGTGGCGGAATGCAAGCACTCGAGATAACAAATATTTTATTACAGGGTATAAATTCTGTTCGGTCGTTGGCACAATAATGTAGCGTTATGGAAGCACCACCTTTTCGAACGTCACTTTCTGCGCCTACCGATCCGCATCGTGAATAATATCGACGAATACCGACAGACGCTTAAGGATTCCTGTAAAATGACTACTGCAACTCTAGCCTAGTATGTAAGATTTTCAATGCCGAAGGCAGAGTAATTTGTCGTGCATAAGAACGATTGATTAGGACATGGCAGAAAAGATATTAAAAAAAATAAATAACGACACGCTATGTCTTGACTTACGAGTGCCTCGTAAACTCATCTTCAACCGCGAGTCATTCCGGCGGCTGGCACGCGTTATAATATTTACGCTTGATAACATAACGGTTTTTGAGAAACATTCTGGAATGTCGATCAGTTCCTCGTAAGAGTGCGATACTTTGGGGTTTATCTAATAAAAAAAAAGTATTACAAATCTGAACGTTAATAAAATTCAATGATAAAGCTACGAGTAATTAATAAGAATAAATGACATTATCATAAAATAACGTATTAATATACAGTTACGAGAATTAAAAATAATTGCGTACTTGCATTCTTGTGCTTTCCTGTATTTATATTGATATTCCATTCTCGCAACGGACTTCCTCTTCGTCTAAGCTATGACGTGCCGATGACAAGATGGCGGCTTTGATTTATACCCTTTAATAACCCACAAATGACGATATGGCAGTATACATATAAATAGACAGAAACATCGCAAAGCCGTTGTTCTTCAATTTACAACAACTAAGAACTAGATTCGTCCAGAACGCAAATCAGCCGGTTTCCGGATGTTACAGTATAAAGTGGTACGATTCAAACGGTTTACGGACATTCCGGAATGAAACGAAAAATATATACCTAGTGTACCGTCTACGGGACGTTAATGCGCAGCATTGCCGTTGCCACCGTATTATACCGTGAGATACGAATGAGGCGAACTAGGCGAGCGTGAAGTGCATCTTCGTATACATTGGTTTGCTGTTTCCCTCAAGTAGCCCTATGCACTTGGACGTAATTGCACTTACCAGCAAACGAGTTCTTTGCTTCAATGATATTTTACTCGAAGGGCCTTATATTGATATTCCTAAGAACTCGTACAGTTTACTCAAAAAAACACAACAAAGGAATGTTTCGAACGATGCACACATATATAAATCTTAACTGGTTTATCCTTCCGAGAATTTCGTAAAATAATTTTTCTTTGACAGCTCAAAACTAACCACAAATATTCAGTAGTCTAGAGCGTCTGATCGGATCTACGATGAAGTAAATAAAGTCGTATCGGGGGATGATGGCCGCGTAGACACAACTAATAGGGCGGATGGGTGGGAGCAGGCCCCATGTTTTCATCTTTCTACGGCCCCAAAGCCTCGGGCCGTTCAGTCAACATCGCGCAAGCGTAGACGCCGCATCTCGTGCGAGTTTTGAACTGTGTTAAAGGATTTCTATGTCTATTTGAATATAAATAAAAATTCAATCGAAAAATAAATCGTGAAGAATCGTCAATCGAGGATAGTCATGCAGTTTTTGACCTTACCGGGAATCATACTGGTGCTATGTCTGGTGAGTTTTTAAGAAAATAAATTGAAAAATGATAAGACAATTTCTCACCCATTCTTCTACGCGCACTCTGTGTTATATATCCACATACATATCTGTGTTCGTAAATATAGAAAAAAAAAAAACGTTGCTAGTGAATTAATTATGTATGAACATCTTCAGTATTATATATACCGACGTCACAACGGGGAGCGTCGTGAATTCTTTTCTCGATGACGAGTCATTGACACCTACCGCTTTGCCTGCTTCGTTGGGACACCTTTCCGAACGTTAGTGGACGCCGGTTTGCGACTTGAATTTCAATTTCAATATAACGTCGGTCATTGGTCCCAGTAGAGGATGTCTTCGCATACTTGTCACTAAAGAATTTGAAATTAGACAAAAAAATAGTTCGTTAGAATTCTGTTGTACTTATGGCAGTGGTCAGAAATGGATAGTCTGTCTTTTTTGTTTTCTTTTCCTTACGTTGTCGTGCATCTTGTGAACGGAATTCCAGTTTACATCGATATCGATAGATCAGTAATCGATTTGTGGGTAAACGATGTTGAGGAAGTCACGGAATCGACCTCCTCCGCATTCTGCTGTACTAGCAATTCCATCGAATGCTGCTGCAACTGCAATGGAACGCGATATCTATCTGCTTCTATTGGTTTATCTTATTTTTCCTTACTTTAACTCTGCACTATTTTACTACTGTTTTCTGTTCTTCTTCTTATACCCATTATTGCTTCCTAGTGCAATTTATTATATTGTGTACTGTAATATTACACTGTTTGCTTATATTACTTTACCGATTACCAACACGATGAGTATAAAATGTAGAAACTGTTACAAGAAACGTTTTTACACTAATTAACTTTACTTTTTAGGTACCCCAAGTATAATTAGTTGAAATTTTATCAGTGCAACAAACATTTTCATAGCTTTTAAATTCATCCCTATCTGTGACTCTTAATTGAGAATAATTAGAAAACAAGAAATAAGATAACAAAAAGTCAGATAGAAAATTCACTGAAGACCAGATAACACTGCATGATCAAAATAGTAGAAACAGAATTAGGTTACGGATCGTTAGAATGGAGGTTAAAAATAAAAAATCAGCCATAACGAGTTCGTTTTGTTATTAATTATTATGTAAATGAAAGGAATAAGTAAATGGGCTGGTATAGCAAGTACCTGAAGATACGAAGTAAAGAGAAGGAGAAAGTATAAGAACGCAAAAGGAAAAATGAAGTAGAAGACTAAACTGGGAATCCTCTTTCGACTAGAAAGGATCTTCCAGAGATTCTCAAGAGCGTTGTAAATTATTTTAATGACGTATTTCCTTCTAAGGATATTCTTTCCCTCTGCTACAGATACTAGTCGGTAATTAAGGATATATTTACTGGCAATCAGTAATATACAGATATATCATTTTTTATGGATGAATCGTACCACTCCAGAAACGGAATTTACCAATGCGCATAACATGGGGGTTGGTTATACAATGCTTCTTGGTACAATAGGTACCACATACATATAGGAATCATATATATCCGCAACAATGCTGTACATGATGTACAGATTGGGGTGACGTACATACTCCAGAGGATATTCGACCGATCAATATTTCCTTTCTGCTTCCTGGATTTACTAAGAATTATCTTTCGCGAATGCACCTTTAGGTATACTTCACTTTATACATTTTTGAAACGTCATTTGATTAGCGTAGGAAACGATAAAGTCGTTAAGAAAAATTTTGAATTTCCGATCTTAAAATTCAGTGAACATGTATATTTTGATTAATTAAATTACTATTTATTGTTTTACTGTTAATGAGACAATGAAATATTTTTATATGAAATACTTTATGGAGAAAGAATGTCAGATTAGGTGGTGCGTTAGGGTGACTTTAAATTAATGTTGTCAGTATGTAATTGAGTTTAGATTCTAGTTTGAGGTTAGGTTCAAATTAAAGCTAGTTATCACGTGCATCGTCGGAAAATTAAAAGTTCATTTGCATGATGCGAGGTGTAAATGCGCGTTTGGCTGTAATTTTATTTAAGCTGCGATCCACAACGAGATGGTAGAACCGATTGCAATTACGTTTCCACGACGCTGACGGATCGGTAGAAGAAATAGAATGACGCTATTTAACGAAGCTTCGATAAAGATTCGACGGATGCTATATGTACACTTAGTGTACCATAGTGAAAATGCTCGTAAAGATTGGCGATTCACTCGTTCTATCTTTTGTTCTATTATAGATCATAATTCTCTTCGTACTCTTACGGGAAAACGAGATATTCTAGGTATAGTACCGTAATTACGTATTTTTCTAAGCTCTACGGTAGACTCCACAAGTAAATATATAAAAATAAAAATTATAACAGATTTTCTTATTATGCTTTCTGAAGGTACTTTTTTGATAATCCATCAAAATTTATTATTTAAAAATGAGCATACGTATCTTTGCCATGTTACTGCATGTGTGTCTACTTCGCTACTGAATCTTCCTCATATACTTCTATACCTTGGGGATAGCATTGTTTGCAGATATCGTGGGAAACCGGGAAGCGATTATCCGAAAGAGATGCAGAAATGCTCGGGAGTACTCGAGTTAGGTATAAATATAATGTAAATGGAAGCCATGATAAATATCACGATACACATACAAATTTCTACATGTACTGTACTACCATGAATTTTAATTTTTTTTAAATGAAAACATTCTTAGGCGTGTGACGTCACCGTGACAACCACCGTATATCTTACTGTCATTTAATCCATAAATTATAACCTCAATTTTTTCAGAGGGACACTACAGCCTCACCGGTCCAGGCTGGCTTGAAACTCGGAGATGAGTGTAACAGGGATAGAGATTGCGAAGCTAGTATAAGTAGCAGCCATTGCTACTTAGGATATTGCCGATGTCAGCCATTCTTCGCCGAATATAATGGCACAAAGTGTCTTGAGTGTAAGTTGAGATAAAGTTTCTTCATTGTTATCATCGTCGCTAACCTCCTCTTGAAAACTCAATCAATATTATACACAATAATTTAATCAATAAATATAATCGATATTCGCATGACGATAAATATGCCTGTTGTCAGTTTTTGATTATTCGATGAAAATATTGACAATATATTAATGCACGTAATTTGCAGCTTCTCTATTGGGTTACGATTGTCTGGTGGCGGGACAGTGCTCTATGAAAGTTGCAAATAGCAGCTGCCTTGCTGGGGTTTGCAGATGCGAGGAAGGATACCTGCAGTTTCGACGACACACTTGTCTAGGACGTGAGTATTTTTTAATGATTTCCTACACGCTTAATAATTTCCAATTTTAACACTGTGTCCTATGACTGGCATGCTATTCTATAAACTAGTATACACGACTATAATGCGTGCTCTCATGTGGTATGTATATTGCATATAGATAACGGGGCGCATCTTCATGTGGAAACTTCCCGTGGCCGCTTTTGGCACGTTGTTCCTAGTTAGTGGTTCAGCGACCTTCCTCATCGGCGACGAGGATGTCATGGATAATATTAATAACCTGCTCACACCCACTCGTTATTACCATAGATTGGGCTCCGCTGTCGTTAACTATTTTTATTTAATGTAATCTTAAAGGATGAGGCTATAACGATAGCATTGGATCATGTAATGTATAATATTATTCAATCAAGATGGCGGATTGGCATGATAAATCGTTGTATGCGGTAATTTATAAGAACAGGCTTTTTTTTTCTGTAGCTGTCTTCAATTGTCTAATTAATGTCAGGGTTGATACTGCAAGGGTGCGTTTTCGTTTCATTTTACATTTGAGTTAATTTACTTTTGTTATAATTACCAGGATCTTGGGTAGCAGTGAAGTTAATTAGTTCTTGACTAATTGAGTTTATGTCTTATATTTGTAATAGAATATAGAGTGCGTTGGGTTTTGTTGATTTATTGGAAATCTAATGCTGTGATAGCAATTGTCGAAAAACCCAGTTTATTTTTTGTGGGTATCGTGGGGTTAGAGGGGCTGTCAACTTCCTGGTGGATGTTCTGGCGTATACTTGTGGTCTGATGGAAACTCGTACTGGAATTTTTCGCAGGTGTTTACGAGGCAATTAATTCCTTCTAGAAACCGCAGTAATGTTAAGCGAAACCTTTGTTGGATAGAAATTGTACATTTACGCATTTTATTCTGTACAATAGTTGACTATACGTAGAAAATCCTATAAGGAAACAGTCAATTGGAATAACTCGTGTGCTTTACAATATTGTGCATAAGTAGTAATAAATGAAAAGAAAACTAACGGTACTTTATATCTTTATAGCTGCCAAACCTGGTCAAGTGTGCTATAGTCATGCACACTGTCGTCTCTGGGATAGCGACACGTACTGCGACTTCTTGATACCGGATCTATTTGGAAGATGTCAGTGTACTGCACCGATGCGTCGGGACGGCGACGTCTGTCGTCGAGATGCCTTGGTACGACCTCCGCAACGTCCTGTCGTTCAGGTAGCTGGCGAGGATGAAGATTCAGGTAATACGGATAATCAGGAAGGTCAACAGGTCACTGAAGAGGACGACGATGAACAAGAGACTGGTAATTTTTCGAACAGATTGTACAATACTTGAATATTAATATTTCCTATTTGATTTTTAATGTAATACTTATCAATTTCAGGAGTACAATTATCCTGGTTGAAGAATGTGACGAGGTTACTATCGACGGTGACACCAACGCAATTGGTACCTGTTATTTTGGTGACCCGCCCTAGTGTCGTGACTGCAGGACCGGATACCCCGGCACCGAATGAACTTCCAGATGATGACGATGCTATAGTTGTCGAAGCTGAGATTACAGAATTAATTCAAACGACCTCGACGACCACGTCAGGTAACTTAATTAATTTCTACATCAACCAACAGTCACTAATTACATAATTATTTTAATCCATCAGCCCCAATCAAGACTGACAGACACGAACCTAGTACGCTGTCAGCTGTGAGTTTGGGTCTGGCTTGTACGTCGGACATGGAATGCAAAATGGCGGATCCATACTCGCGTTGTTCGGACGGCGTCTGCGATTGTATGTCCCATGAGAACGGGACTTTATCCTGTGGCGCCAAAAGACCTGGTTGTACTCGAGGTACCTTCCAATGCCGCAGCTCGGGCACCTGCATCAGCTGGTTCTTTGTCTGCGATGGACGACCTGACTGCAGCGACGGTTCCGACGAGGAGTGTACCCTGGCACGTTGTCCAGCTCAAGCCTTCCGATGTAAACGTAGTGGATTATGCGTTTCCAGGGCAGGTCTCTGCGACGGGAACCGGGATTGCCCAGACGGAGAAGACGAAGATAGCTGCAATGGTCGCAGAAGTATGTTATGCCTTTTATTGGACTATACATACATGCATGATATCTATAATTATATTGTTCATAGCCACTGCCCTTTCGATAAGGACAAGATGAACAAAATTATATTTGTTTTGACCTACATCTACAGATTGTGCTAGCAGTTAGAGCCGACTCTCTACAGGGTGGGACTAAGAGAGTGTTACTAAATTTACAGGCGTATTCTATACCTAGAATATGACACTTCGTCCATTAATGAATTTGACGCCGGGTATATGCGAACCCGTCAGACGCTCGAGAGGTTTTTTCGTTTTACATACATCATCCAACTTTAAAAAGAAGTACAAGTCTTCGTTGGTTGCACGAGTCAAAAATTATTAAACACGGAGCTTTTGTTAAGTATAGATAATGCAGATAAAACGAACAACTCTAATGATATTTTGAGGCGTATATAACTAGCAACGAGGAACACTTATTATGAAGTAATGGTATGCCTAAGTGTTCGATAGGATATAAATTTATCGCGCCTGAATATTCGTATGCGTGCATCTTCACTTATTAATACGTGCACTTATTACACGAATAGAGTGCGTGATGAGCGTTTTTCGCGTGCGCATAGTCTGACACGGTTTTGTTTAGGGCAAAAGTGCCATCTTCTTTTACCTTCTTCTTAACTCTAATGAATATATATTTCTTGTGTATCTTCAAATCAATATTTATTATTTCAATCGTAGAATATAACAATGGTTGCATCTTGTGAACAATGGGTTTGCGAATCCATTAATTAGACCTTTTTTGTTACTTTGAAAATATGGAATACGTATGTAAATATTGTTACACCCTTTTAAACTCACCATGTATGTAGATACCGTGCTAAATCCTAACGGCAAAATTCATTACTTATTTACTGCAGAGTGTCCTGAGGGAGCCTTCCGCTGTAACAATGGCCAATGTCTACCGGCTTATGAATTCTGCAATGCCGTCATATCCTGTAGAGATGGCAGTGATGAGCCACGAGGAGCGTGTCGAACTAGGAATCGCGGTCGTCTAACACCCAGGCTTTGTCCATTCCGATGCGGAAATGGCAGATGCAGATCCGATGCAATAGCATGCAGTGGACGTGATGGATGCGGGGATGGATCTGACGAGAAAAATTGTTCTGTGTGCAGTGAGTATTTTTCCTATTATACTTTTGCTAATATATTTTTATCGCTATTGCTCCATTGACTGATAAATCTGTTTTTTGTTTTCAAATTACAAAAATAAATTGATTCACGAATTGTTCTTTCGAAATATTACAAGCACTACAAGCGTACAGTCGCAAATAATCTTTATGCATAGCGCAAGCGATAAGTTTATCTTTGTAAAAACAACAGTGCAAAACAAAGAACGTGGAGTGGAAAATGTGCAAATATTCGTATCTTAATGAACTTCAGCTTTAGCATAACACGATTTGATAACATTGAACTAATAGTGCATCGAAATGCTAATAAATTTCTTTATGTTACTCATGCATGAAAAACACTACATTTCGTGACTCCGAAGTGTGGAGAAAGTGGTACTTTATATTTGTGGATAGTGCGTTCTTCTCGCACTAGTGCAATAAAGTAAACTTTGTTCTCGCGCGCTGTCACGAAATGCATTCACTTTGGACGCCTTCCTTGCTCTTCTTATGGCTGCCTCCTCCAACAAAGAGATGTTCCAGTCACTTTGGAGGCACAAAAAGTAGTGTTTTTCATGCATTCGTTACAGAACATATTACGCGATACTGGTACAATAAAGCGAACATTATACGCGGTTCGTGAAGTTTTTCACACTCGTGTGCGGCTCATGCGACCAACTTCACCGCCTGCCTATAAAGTTCGCTTTCTCGCACTTGTATCGCAAAGTACTATTAGGAACGTAGAAGATCGATAGAATTTGAAAACTTTGAAAACCGTTAATCTTGTGGCAAAATGTACTCTTAAAAAATGAAACAGTAAAAATTCCCTTGATTTTTTCAATTGATTGCACTTTTACCGAAGAATCAGTGATTTTATATCTGATCTACTGATAAATTGGTGTTATTGGTCATATCTCATTACATTGATTATCATATCAATTCGTTGTGCAGAAGTCGCTGTTTGTCATACTAACTAAGTATATTAATGGACGATAAACTGCCATAAATTTTATAGAGTACAATTTCGGTAGTGGGCCTCTTAAGGTGCTTCAGTGATAAAACCCAATCGAATATAAAATTCGAAATTTTTTATATACTAGAAAATAAGTAAATCGTATGTACAAAATTTTTAAATGATTTACCGTATAGCTTTTGAGATATAAAAAATCAGTAGTGACAACTTTCACTATACATATAGATGTACTCAATCTACAGAGACGAATAACCTAAAAATTAAATTTGAATGTAATGTTTTTAGGCTCGAATTTTGAGATTATCTTATATTATCACACATTTATGTTGGAATGAAAAAACTTGTAATTTTTTTTGACCGCCTGTTTAGTCTGTTTCCTTATTATAATAATAATTATCATTACGTATCATAAGATACGTTAACATACTTTAGTGAAATAATTCGGAAACAGGAAATTGATATCAAAACTTTTATTTGATTAGGATGTCCTGTCACAGTGTAGAGAGATAAGGACTAAATGAAACCATGGAAAACGGATGAAGCGTCCCAGATGAATAAAGACCCGGCTTTTGGATGGATTCACCAGGAAAATATTCTTCGTGCGTGAGCAAAGACTGGCGTGCACGTTAAAAGTTTTAGAGTCTTGTTAAAACTTAATGCGTAGGAATCGTAAAGTTTATTTTATAAGCGAAAGAAAAAATTTTTCAAAGACCTGTCGAAAAATTTATTATAATCGACTCGACCATAACTTGTAATTAAAAGTAGATAAAAATTAGTAATACATGATATATAGTTATTTACCGTATAGTATATGAATAAGGATAGAGTAGACTGGCGTGTGAAAATAATAATATTTTTTACATTGAATATTCGTGGAGAATATTCTCATTTGTTTGAAATACGTGCCAGTAAAGAAGGAGAAAAATGGGACGAGAGTATTACTTATAATTGGAACGTATTTATTTTTTTAATTAATAATAAAAAAAGTCGCGTGTACACAAGTTCCCTAGGATGTTAAATTCAGAATAACGCATTGAATAAATCATATTCGAGAATAACCGTTCCTGAAAATTATAAACTTTTATGTAGTACCGCCATTACGACCAAGAAGTTTTCACAGTAGAGTCTGACCAGAATTCTTCGTACTATTAATACATAGTGCCGATAAGGTACATAGGACACACTAATATATAGAATAAACCGTGCAATATCATTTTTCAATTGCAATCAAATCCGCATAAATATAACAATTTGACGTAGCTGCCACGACAACATAATCATTTCAAAAACATTATTAATCATTCATAATATGCAGTTAGCAATATTAATTTTTATCTAGAATATTTATGGGACAGTCTTATGAAGTATTTCCTATTAAAGCGTAGAGCACACATTTCAATTGCTCTATTGTATAGGACGAAGTTATAACTGCAATTTTGTATATACAGTGTTATACACTTTGAAATTCTTACATAAGAATTAAATGACCAATGAAATAAAATTGCGAAATCCAATTAAGAGTGTTGATATAATGATTATAAAGTCACTGAAATAATGTTCACGCTGGTCAATTATATAAATTGACCTTATAACCTTTACGACACTCCAATGTTTTATGTTTTTTTTCTATATTGAGATCACAGCTTCAGGTCAATTTCTATTTAAAGGCATCAAAGCGTTTTTTTCATTCAAGTATCATCACAGTGCAAGACACTGCTTTCCTCTATCAAATGTTCAAAAGCAATTAGAATATATTAGCTAAACTCACATAATCAATATCTATGATGATTATTTTAAAAAAGTATATAAATTTCAATCGTCAAGTATTTACTAGCTTTCGCCCTAGTTGAAGTTTATGCATAAATAGCTCTAGCTGAATGAAGATATATAGAAAGAGTTTCGAGAGTGAAATAAAGCTGGTATGAAACTATATTTACGTAAGAGCTATAGTAAGCGTCAGACATAGACGGTGGAAATTTCGTTACGCTTGCGCAACCCTCTTCCTATCAATACTGAAATGGACGCGAAGTACAGTTATTGCGAAGGCATGTAGTGAGTTCCATAGGATATTCCAAAAGCTCAGTGAATTCTTTCTCTTCCCTCCCAATAGAAAATTGGTATTAACCAGCAAAAGAGCGAGTAAAAATTTGTAGAGAAAAAAATGCGAAAACAAAAAAGCAATAAAATCTACGGCGACTGTACTTGGCGTCTTTATCGATATCAGAAACTGGCAGACTTACTTGCTACTCGGCACAGAACGTTGCACACTTACGCACAGCTGTACGAATGTTTAGACTGTGGCCGAAATTCGTACTGTGGCTGAGAAAAAAGGAAATAGTCGCGGGGTGATCGGGGCGATTCAGCTTGAACGTCAAAGAGGAACTAGTCGCGAGTGAACCTCCCTCGTGGAAGGATGGCGGTCAGTATTAACACGTGACAATAAATACGGATATCAATTAGACGTAATAAAGTAACTGTCAACTGTTGTCGCAGTCTCTATTTGATTGACGGAATTGTCAAAAATGTAATGTATTTACTAAACTGTTTTCGTCGTTACGTTTCGTTTAAAATCATTGCGGTGAACACAACGTAAGACTCGTAAATGGTTGAATTATATAAGAACAGTGGGAGAGGAGAAATTCTCCTCCAGAATCTTTGACATATACATATATCTATTGCTGCTGTTACACTCTTGTCGTTGTCCACGTCCTAGCCCATGATAACGTCTGCGACTTATAACCTTGAAACGTCGGATGAAGTGTACAGTTCGGATTCAGACAGTGCCCGTTTCGTAGTAGATGACGTGTGATGTGATGATAGTTTGCAATGTTTGCGACGTTGACAGTATTAGCCGTAATTGAAATTGGACATGAAGCAAATAGTTGCGTAACGGACGAAACATTTGAAATAAATAAGATAGAGAGGAGTGTGTTAATATTAAAAATAGAGGTTAAGTGATCAGATGAGTAACTGTGAGGTTTTATTTAAAAAAATTAAAAATTAATAAAAAGACAAAGCTATCGATGCTGGCGAATAGATAAGCCTAATCCCAATGTGGTGTAATTGTTGATAAAGAAAGGAGAGGGAAGTGAAACTGTCGATTACAATGAAATTCAATATGATTATCGATTTCGTCAAGAGCTGTCAGAACGAGTGGTTCAAGTTTAGTTGAAAATAGGATCGTGGTGTTGGTTTCACGTAATTTGAATAATTGTAATTTTTTAATCATCAATTTGAAATCATGTTGAAGGCTAAGTGTTCACGTTTCACGGAGTGTTTTTGCCGTCGGCCCGGATTCGTGTTGATGTTGTTACCTTGTCTTTTGCTTCTTACTTTGTATCTGATATCCGGCAGTAACGTCGAGCTGGAGGGATTTCATTATTTACCATTCAAGTCTTACAACGGTAGCGGTGGTAAGTAATGATTCACTTTCTAATGATTTTGGTCAGAACACTACAGAATTTCGTTACTCCTGTAGAAAACATTGACGGCTACCTGGTATGGAATCCCAAGTGTCACATGCTGTCTAACAATCCACTGGATCCCTCCATAAGAAACTTCGTAAAGCAAGTCAAGTTTGAAGCTTGCACCACGTCTCCCCTTCTAAGTGGAATCGAAAGAGAAGCTAATGGCAGTTGCGTTTTAAGGATTGATCCTCACGTCAGTAAGAATTACAAGAATCTGACTTGTTGCTGGGCGCCGATTGTAAGGCCGAAACCAACCAAAACATCCGATAAGATGATCGATTCAAAAATTAGGTAATTTTGGGTTTTAAAAAGTTCAAAAATTATTCGTATTAACTCCCTAGCTTACAATGTCGTGTCAGAGATGTGGTATGTCGACCGGACTAAACAAGTCATATCAGAGACGTGATAAATCGGCCGGGCGAAACGTAAATAAAACGTTTTAGATAAGTTGTAGAATCGATCGGGCTACACGCGACATACACTCAATTTCCTTCACTGCATTCGCACCTACAGACATATTTTCTGAGAGAAATTAGAAAAGTACCCTTCACAATTGATCGTAATTAGTAATTATTTATCAGACATCTTACAATGTAAAGTTAATTGTACCATACACATGTATATACAAATCATAGGACGTCTGCGATTTGCACAACTTTGAACGACCTATGTGAACCTGGCACCCGACTTAAAAATATTATAATTTTGAAAATGCGATTCGATTGTACCCCGTTTGTACCTGTTTGTACCACTTTAATTTTCGTTTGTACCTTAAAGAATTGGAAATTACAGGGGGGTCAAAAAACAGCTAGCACCCAACTTGGAGTAATTTAAATTCTGTTTGCAGGGTTGAATTTAGAATCGTTTGTACCCATTTGTACCACCGTTAGTTTCGTTTGTACCCCAATGGGTAAGGAGATACAGGATTTTCAAAATTGACTAAGGGGTAACTCTGCCATTTATTGAGCTGGCTCAAATCTGCGAAATATTTAGTAAGGGGTGACTCCGCCATTTTCGAGCTGGCTCAAACGTGCGAAGGGGTGCTGGTTTAGAATCGTTTGTACCCGTTTGTACCACCGTTAGTTTCGTTTGTACCCCAATGGGTAAGGAGATACAGGATTTTCAAAATTGACTAAGGGGTAACTCTGCCATTTATTGAGCTGGCTCAAATCTGCGAAGGGTTGCTGGTTTAGAATGCAAATGAAGGTAAAGTAAAATTAGTAATCTTCTCGACTTGGTTGATTTGAAAATGTAAGTAATAATACCATTCAAAAAAATTTAGCTAATTTGTAGAAATTGTGGATGATATATTAAGACGTTTATATAGTCCGAAGCTGTATTCAAAACGCCCTGGACCTTGTGAATACGCAATGGAATTTAAAAAATATTCAGCTTATTTCTATAAACAAAATAAAGTCGTAGCAAGTCCTCGCTACATAATTTGTTTATTCAAAATTTCCTTAAGAATATAATCCTGTTCTCCCGAGTTAAATGTGATTAATCGAGACTCGATAAATTAATTGCATATATTGTTGCCTCTCTACGAGCTTCAATGTGTTTTTTGGCAGTTAACAAACAATGTAACCTTAGTAAGTGACACGTGGCTCCGCATAAAGGTTTTGTTACAAAGTATGCATATGCATGGTTTTGTAACAAAAAATTTTCGCTGATTTGAGCCAGCTCAAAAAATGGCGGAGTCACCCCTTAGTCAATTTTGAAAATCCTGTATCTCCTTACCCATTGGGGTACAAACGAAACTAACGGTGGTACAAACGGGTACAAACGATTCTAAATTCATCGCTGCAAACAGAATTTAAATTAGTCCAAGTTGGGTGCTAGCGGTTTTTTTGATCCCCTTGTAATTTCCAATTCTTTGAGGTACAAACGAAAATTAAAGTGGTACAAACAGGTACAAACGGGGTACAATCGAATTGCGTTTTGAAAATTATAATATATTTAATTCGGGTATCAGGTTCACGTAGGTCTTTGAACGCTCGGCCAAACCGTGAATGGCCCGACGTGTGACCGACCTTGTTGTTTGTGGCATGCGCTATTGGAAATCAAATTGTAAGTTAAGGGGTTAACAAAGAGCATAACTTCTTTTAAAAATATAACTGTTGACTTGACCTTCTCGAATACTAAGAACATATTCAATGTTGCGTAACGACGATCGTTACTTTCATTTGAATAACAAAATTGTTATAAATAGAGACCTTGAAACATTCGTTGTTCACAGCGTTGAAGTGTGCACTGATTTCAAAACACAAGTGCTCCTGCCTGATGACGTGGAAGCTGTAATGGTTTCCTGCAAGGCTTATCAACCTGACGGAGGAGCTAAGAGGAAGTCAAAGTTGAAGAACCAAAAGGAACTTACGAACGTTTACAAAAATGTACACGCAGTTTTGAATTTGGCTAAAGTTCAAGATCGAATTGGGCATAAAATGAACATATCTAGTCAAGAGCCACGTAAATTGAGTATTTTAATATTAGGTATCGATAGCGTCTCTCAATCGAATATGGAAAGGACAATGCCACGGACTACAAAACACTTGATCGATACAGATTGGATAAGATTGAGCGGTTATAATAAAATGGGCGAGAATACATTTCCAAATTTAATGGCCATATTGACAGGTTTTAATATCAGTCAAGCTTACTCGCAATGCGCACCTACCGTACTGTATAAGCTAGACAACTGTCCCTTTATCTGGTATGCATTTCGAAATGCTGGCTACGTCACGGGATACGGCGAAGATAGCATGCCGATGAGTACATTTAATTATTTAAAAGTGGGTTTCGCGGATCCACCTACAGATTATTACATGAGGCCATACGTGGTGGCTTCAGAAAAGCTTCTCAAATTACGACGTAAGTTTAGCACGAACTATTGCACTGGTCCAGAATTGAGTGTTGAACGTATTTTGAATTTCGCGGTCGAATTCGCGCGCACCTTAATTGGTATACCATATTTCGGGTTCTTCTGGACGAATGCGATAAGCCATGACAGTATGAACGCGCCTTCCTCGATGGACGATCGTATTTTACGAAAGTTTCAACTTCTAGAACGCGAAGGTGTGTTCAACGATTCCATGATCGTGTTCCTGAGTGATCACGGAATGCGTTATGGGGACATCCGGGATACTTTGGTAGGTTGGTACGAAGAGCGTTTACCATTTTTTTACATTAGATTACCAGATTGGTTTCGAGAAGAAAATCCAGACGTGTATGCGGCGCTCCGGGTCAATCAAAATCGTTTAACGTCACCCTATGACTTCTACGAGACACTTCGCGACATTCTAGTAACTGCTGGGGGTGAAGCTAATTCCAGTTCAGGTTGTCCAACCTGCATGTCACTTTTTCGTCGTGTGCCCTGGGAACGGGGTTGCGAAGACGTTGGCGTCTCCTCGCACTGGTGCACGTGCACCGCGTTTCGTTCTGTCGTCACCAATAGCAAAATTGCTGCACAAGGTGCGCAAAAGTTTCTCGAGCACGTAGAGAATATTATCAAGAATTACAAGGACAGCAAGGGTAACCGATTGTGTGCTAAACTTAAATTGAAGAAACTCGTGAGAGTCGATAAGGTAGTTGATTCGTCAAGGCAGGACGCTGGGACTGACGCATACTTTTATATGCTTCAAACTACGCCAGGTGGCGCCAAATACGAAGCTACTATTCGACATCATGGCGACGGCAATTATAGTATTTCTGATGACGAAGTCAATCGTATTAATTCATATGCTAGCAGTTCTAAGTGCCTCGAAAGAGGATTCAAGCAATATTGTTATTGCATAAAATAGGCCTTTGTATAGTTCATGATTGCTGTCGATGCTGTTACGTAATTTAACATTTTTTCATTACGGAACCGAGACTGAACAAAACAGCCTTTATTGTTCACGCAATAACAGTTCTTTCTTGAAGAATACGTGCCAAGATTATATTAGCGTGCTGTAGATGTATTATGAAAGGTGTAGAAAATCTACATATTTCCACAGTGTTCTTAATTTAGTTCGATGGATATGTTACCGGTGACAAAAGTGGTAAATAGACTGGCCAATTAATGGGATATGGTGTCACGCGAGTCTGGGTGTCGCGGAAACCTAGAAATGGAATCTGCCCATTTAAATGTTATATATACAAATATACATGTATTCTACACCCAGAATTGCGAGGCACGGAATACATGGGTTTGTCTATTCTTTTTATATACAGTCAAAGATATCACTTACATGTAGATAATAATTAATACGAGCTGGTACTGTATTGTATGATTAATTCATCAAAAGGCGATAAATTGATTTTCAAAATTATTCGATACGCGCTAGAATGATTTAGACTGGTTTCAACGATAGAGTTGAAATAATAAGGCTCCTGTATAAACAGTATTTCTGTTGTGTATGTATGCAACGTTATGATGTTCGTGGAATTGTAGTCTTATCAGAAAGGTATATTTTATTACGTGATTGGTACCCGTTACATACGGTACCTTATTCCATACGTATTCCTGAATCTCAATACATCAGAATTCGATATGCTTAATACTCGTTAAATTGAGAGATGGGAATTTAAAAGGATCACTTATTTCTGAGGATATATATATTTTTTTTTTTAAAGAACATATACATATCTATTTGCAGTTTAACGATTTATAAGCAAGGAAACGTTTTTACAATAATGTATTAAATTGTTATTATTACCTAGTAATGTCTTTTTTATATTCCTATCCTGATCCACTGGCATCAAAGAATGCCAGAAAAAATTCTGCAAAGAGGGATAAGGTAAGAGTGAAGAAGTTTTATTATTTTAATAAGTCAAATTTTTCAATTTCTACTAGTTCTAGATATTACATAACCTTGTTCCTTGTGTCATTTATTATAGTACTTCTTAGTATCTTATGCGCCAAATGCTTTCTGCTTAAAAATTGATGTGACTCCCTGATGCAATGCAATGTGAATTGCTTATGACCTCAGTCAATAACAGCCCACGATTGATTCAATGTCGCTTTAAGCAATATTTTCCCACGAATCTACTGGCAGTATCGCCAGTCAATTGGTAACACAGGAAACATGCAACATTCACTCAAGGAGGATATCACTGTAGTCCTCTTGGTCACCAATGACGTCCGTGGTACAGTGAGTAACACAGTAGTGCATACAGTAATCGACTGTCAAATCTTTATGAAAAAAAAAAAAAAAAATACACGTTTAAAATAAAGTTGTATATATATATGGTATCAGAAAAAATCAGTGATTCAAGAAATAAACAACTATTGATTATAATTTTTGCTCTCATCAAATAAAACATTTTTTCTAGCGTATGAAGCACACATGCGTCTCTAACAATTGCATTAACAGACTATTATAATTCAGCATCCACAAGACAGGTGTGCTTCATTGTATTATTTATTTAAATTTATCAATGAAATAATTCATTGGCACATACTAATCAGCACAGGTGTCGTCGCTCGAGCGCCAAATACGGGATCTGCTAGAGCAACGAGGTGCCTCGTTGCGATTGGTGAAATTAGGATTAGGAGTCCTACGTCCTGAGTGCTCGGGTGTCCCGAAGAGCATAACAGCCATAGAATGATTTCTGTTATGAACAACAGACATTCCTTGTCTAGCCAAGAAGGAATCAAGGACCTTGATGTTCTCGTAGAGGCTGTCCATGTCGCAATTGGAATAATTTTCAGCATCATGAGACCTTCTAGCTCTGGCCTTCGGAGTACCATTGGGCGTATTAACCATGGTACCGGGATTAGTAGTTCCTAAGACACTAGCAGCTTCGGAAACAATCTCAAAATTATCTTGAAGCTTCTCGTAACTATTACTGGAGCTGACAGTCGAAATTTTCGTAATGCAGCTGTCCTTGGAACATATGGATAACTTCCTCGAGCAATGTCGTCCTATGGATCTACCCAGGGTACCATAGGGTGTCGAAGATGTTGAGACTGTTGTTGAATTCAAGTTAGTACTTTGAGGAGACTTCGTGTTCCTGGAGCTACCTAGGAGTTTGATTATTGCACTTTTAGGGCAGAGCGGTTCGTTTTCGTTATATCTTGGCTTTGCAGATGATCTCTCGTTCACCTCGCCAATTGATTCGTAAGTATTGTCGTTCGCACACCCACAAGCACCCTCGCAGTTGCAGTTCAGCTTATCATCCTCGTCGAGACACCCTGGTGTTCCTGGCTCTGGCGAACCTCCTGGTTCTACTTTGTATTTTGAGTTGATGTCTCTCGAAACATCGTCCAAGTTGTTCGACTGTGGAGCAGATGGTTCAGTTGAGTTTGACGTGTACGCCTTGAGATACGCACCGAGTGCTTCAGCATCCATTGAGCTGGATGGTCCACCAGGAGGCGGTGCATCCGCGTTTAGTGGAGAACGCGACATTTCGCTGCAGCTTCTTAACCAGGCTCGTCTTGCTCTGGTGCCTTGTTTACTGATATTTATGACACCATCTTCTGGAAGAAAAAACATGTTTTACATGGTTAATGGTGCCTATGAGAATTCAACGCTCTGCTACCTGGTAGAGACAGTGACGTCAGTCCAGATATTTGCAGATTTCTAGAAATAGTTCCTGGTGGTGTTACATAAGGAGGCGGTGGACTCTCTGGTACAGGTTGTCTGCATTCGTGTTGTACCGGTGTTGTCTGGCTACTTCTATTGGCACTGGCACTTTCAACTATTAATAGTGTTGAAGGCTGTGGCTCGAAATCATTTCCAGAAGTTGATGAAGCACTGTGAAAAAGAACAAATATCTTGTTCATTTCATTTTTGAGAAAGATTTGCATTTTTATAAATAAAACGTACGAGCACGGACTTGGGGAACTTCTACTACGTGATTCTGGACATGGACTACTTCTTCTCTTTCCTCGACCATCTTCAGACTCCATACTTATTTTCACAACCTCGTCGTAACCAGGTGGAGCTTCATAAACCGGCGGATCATCGGATACTGTTATCTCATCGATTCTAGCTCCATCTGCAATATCAAATACTATCCGGAATAATTATGAGAATCGTTGGAACTTAATGTGATTTATTACAGGACGTACCTAAAAGCTCACTTATTGTTTGTAAACGCGATTGTAATTCTCTTTGTTGTCTAGCTCTCGCGCCCATTCTATAAAGAAGTATAATCAAAGCTGATATCAGAACTATCAATCCCAGACTACTTGCGACGAATACTAAAGTAGCTGTCTTTAGGTCAGGATAACGATCAATTTTTGGGAAATAATAATTCGCCTTGTTCATGTGCCATTTACGATCCTGCGGTTCCACGTTCCAATCTGTAAAATATAATTCTTCTTATTAATCGGTAATCAACAATAATTTTATATTCAATAGAACAATTGAATGATCGAAAAGGACCTCGAAAACAACTTGCTGGTTCATCGCTGTTGTCATCGCAGTGATCAAATCCATCGCAATTCAACTGACTCGGTATGCATCTGTGATTCTGACAAAGAAAATCCGAACCCGTGAAGCAGTCTTGAACAAAAAAAAATTAGTGATATTACTTCACTATTCCTTTATATTAAATCCTATTGATGCACTACTAACCCATGTAACTGAAAGCAGCGTAAGCTATTGCGAGACGAGACGTAGGACCAAATGTTCCTCTTAAACTAACATGAAAACCACTGGCAACCGGAGCCACGTGTTCCCTGAATCGTGGTGGTTGCAGCTGACTGGCTGGATGCCTCAAGATTTCCAAAGGTAAAAGAGCAGAGGTTGGTCCTTGCTTGATAGTAAGTTCGGTATTGCCAGCTGAAAATATAAAGTGCTGCAAGTTTAGTTATTCATAAGAGAAACGATAGGTCCAAAAGATTCAGAATCAATTGAAATAACAATTTTACCCATATCGGCAAAAGTCACAACTTTGAGATACATATGTGTCTTCATATGTAGAAAGTTTTTAGGCGGTCTTATCAGCCACACGCAATCGTACGTCTTCACACCCTGTCCAACCATATCAAGCATTGTTATGGCGCCACCTAAATTTTCAACATATCCACCGCAGTCAGTTATTGGCTGAATCGATTTATCGTACAGGTGTCCAATTACGAAGGAATAAAAAGCCTTGTAGCCAAGGCCGGTGCCACCGTTAGCGTAAAATCTAATGAGAAGCGACGGTCCTGAACTGACTATAACGGGTGGTCGAAATCTCGCGCCACTGCTCACGTCTAAACGTTGCCCATTCCAATCATAAAACTATATACCAAATAACCATAATATTAGCTATGTAATATATAAAATCATTGGTTATCAATCGAGGAGTTATTACCTCCATTATGGAAACTGTAGCAAGTTGAAAATCGCTGAAGAGTACTCTAACACGACAAGATGGAGCTTCCGAAGGACACGTTATTATATATTCCATTCCCAAATCTCTTGGATAACGTGCAGGAAAGAATGGAGACGTTAAAATCCCGCCACCTGTGTTATTCATTGTTGTTGTTGATCTAGTAATCATGTCTGCTCCTCTTAGATGCAATCGATTTCCTGGAGATAGAAAAACTATGTATTCCTTCCTGGGTAATTGTCATTCATAAAAGATAAGTCAAACGTACTCTCTGCTGTGTATTCCAAAGTAAAAGCGTGACTATGGGACTGACTGTACAATAATGCAATAGACAATGTTCTCGTATTGGATCTGTAAGTGATCGGTGCGTACAGACCACAAAATGGTGTACCCGAAACATCTTCGTAAGGCGGTTCTGAGATCCAAACGTAATCGCATCTGTAGAGCAATCAATACTGATAATATATCATTTTTGAATATAGAGTTGATATAATTACCTGCATGGACTATCCATCATCACGCCACCATCTCCGCAATGGTGCGAGAGCGCCAAGTTTTTGAAAGTGACAGTTATGACGCACGATGGACATGTTACCAATTCTAAGCTACACTGATCGTGAGAACTGTTGGTCACGTAGACGCGAGACACTTGCTGTCTCGGTGCATTCTTTACGAAGGAGATGTTCTTCGCGTAGAGGACACCCTGCTCACCAAGCTCCAGGTAAAGTCTGCGCCCATTGTGAGGACCGCATATGTCTTCATTGCGAATAACGTTGCCACTCACGGCGAAGTATCCCACGATAACGATAAGGATTACTTTTTATTTGGAAAGGTAAAAGAAATTTATCAGTAAAATTAATCATAAGAATTTTTTTGAATACTGAGGGGAGGGCTAGGAATAATTTTTATTGATTTCATTAGAGTAACTGTGCCTCCTTCTTAGTCTTTTTTTGGGTATAATTGGGAATTATATAAGAACCGTCGCAATTTTTCAGACTTACCATTGGGACACTGAAACATATTTCGTCAACAGGAAGAAACGTTCTGCCCGACGAGAAACCCAACATGATTCTGTATAATTTTGTTAGCTCGGGGCAGCGTTACGTACGCCATATAATGGTTTAATGCATTTTTGTGGCTGCACAGTACATATGCTATTTTTTCTACGAGTGTGTAATAGTGGTATACGTAGACATGCGGGATACGCGACAATTTTATTTAATTGTTATATCTGTTATCTCACTTTCAAAGGTCACAAACTTTGTATTGTTTATTGCTCAGTGGAGTAACGAAATTTTGACAAAGTATGAGTAGATATTGTTAAGCGTATCATACACGAAGAGGCAAGGTATAAACTGTTGAACAGATATTTAAAATTGATTAATGCAGCCATCGTGTTTTATATACATTTTATTTATATTTAAAAAAAGGGATACAATAGTGGACAATGTGTTGTATGCTGGAAACAACTTGAATGAACGGCGATTAAAACTCCATCTTCTTATCTAAAATGCAAAATTATAAAGTAAAGAATAATTATAATTAACATGATAATTCCAATTCGTTATACTTACCACTCTGTAAAATCTTTTGTCCTTTCCGCGAATCTTCTAGTCCTCTCAAAAATTCTTGGAAAATGTGCAGTGTTTTATTTAGGCTTGTTTTCTTATAATCTTTTATTTTTTTAGTATTAGAATCTTCTTGTACGGCCTTTTCTTTAGCATCAAAAGTATTGATCTCCTCGATCAGTTCATGTATCCGTGGTACAGTGGATGGATCAAATTTGTCCACTGATTTCGGATTGAACGGTACACAAACTTTACCGGTTTTCGGATGGATGCAAAATGGTGATTTCAATAAATGATTCAATCCCTTGGTTACGTTAAGGTCCAATCTGGGATAGGAATATTGAATCATTATCTCCTCGACTAAGAACCGTTTCCATTTTTTGGATCCCTTAACAGATAAGAAAATTGACAAAATATTAATTACCATTTTCAAAAAAGTAAAGACTAACGAACAAGATCAATATACCGAGTTTATTTCGCTTCTATAGTGCTTCAAAAATGCTTCCCATCTGTCAGAACTATTTTCTAATTTTGAAAATAATTCCCTTACTTCCGTTCGTGTAGTTTCATCTGGAAGTATCAGCAAGAATTTGTTCATTCCTTGCTCTGTACCTAACATGTTTTGTTCTATAACGCACATTGGAACGAATAACGGTTCTATTATATCAACAGCTCGTCTGCAAAATTAAATAAAAAAAGTATTCCACCAGTTTGCAATAAACCATAATTTGTCTTGACCTACGAACCATCAGTTGTTATACATACCTGATAGAATGATGCATATTTTCTCCACGTATATTAACTTTTTTGTACATATATTCACCTCCTGTTACTAGTTCGAGGTATTCTGCAACAGCAGTACGTGATGCTGAATCTAAGGTTCTTGCATCCTCATCGCATACCCAACAATGTATTCCACGCCGTCCAGAAAATACCCAGAGAAGATGCTTGAAACCAAAATCCTCTAGCAATAGAATTTTTAATTAAATATCTATATAAAAAAGTACTATGAACTGTAATAATTAAATACTGTACCTCTGAGAGCCACATCTAATATTTTACAGGCAACTGCCATATATTTCCAGCATTTAGGACAAATGTCTGCACCAGAGCAGCATGTTCTAACTTCATCATAATCAGTCATATCAATGTCAAATACAAGCTCCCTTTGTTCAGGGATCAACATATTTCCTTTTATTTCATTCTTGGGACTAAACAGTAAAATACACACTAGATAAGTAATACAGTAAAATTATAGATTAAATTTGTTCAAGGATTCTTACGCCGTATTATATATGGCACCAATATCTATTTTATGTGGCATAAGTCTCTTGATTTCAATCTCCAAATGCTTTGAATTTGCAAAGCTTTTGTAACGTATATAAATATCATCCGCAATTGTAAATGAAAATTCTCTCCGTTCGAATAAATCACCTATAAAAAAAATTTCCTGACACTTATTCTGAAAGAATCCAATTAATATAAAGAGTATTAAATGCTTGATCAGTACTGTTTCCATAACTCAACCACCGATAGTAATCATGGAATGGAAATAACCGTGTATAATAAATTGGTAGCAGATCTTCCAATTGTTCTGTACCAGACATTCTAGAAACAGAATTATATTTATTAACTATATGTATACATAATGTTAATTGCTAATATAACATGAGGTTATCACTGGTATAGAATTAAAATAAACTATGTAATACAAAAGAAATCATACATATTTACCTAAAAGTTTATGTAGTTATTTTTAATAATCGTAAATATAAATCTGTCAGGAAAGGAAGTTTCTCTCCTTGAAAAGTTAACACTTCACGTTACTTGACAGCAATAATTGGTTGAGTATTATTCCCGCCTTTTTTCTCAGTGAAAAACATATGCCTAGTGATAAAATTTTATTCCAGTGCTACTATTTCTATAGTTAATTCGTTCGCTGTAAATTGTAAAGACTGAATAGCAAAGATTCTTGGGTAAAATTTTCAAAATTCTGAATGTTCTGTTTCGTAATAGAAAAAAAAACGAAGATTTTTAAGATTATGACAGAAGACAAAATAAAAAGGATATAGTTTCATTAAAACGATTTATTTTATGAATCCAGTAAACAGATAGAACAGGTTTTTGTCGAGACTGACAAAAAATAAAAATGCAGCACTTGAAAATGGTTCTACCATAGAAATCAAATGGATAGGTTAACTACAGGTGCTACGATTCTTGTCAATAACTCGTATATATTCTACTTGAATAGAAGAATAGAAAAAAAATATGATGATCAATGATGATAATGTTTTATAGCGAACAACTGCAATGCATGTACTCTGCGTTTTTTGTTGCATGTACGCAATGTATTTGCGCATGTAATGGCAGCTGTTATGTGCAGCTTCACGATAATTCTAAATTTAGGCAGTGTACATCTACCTATTGTTAATTAAAATAAATTTTATTTCTTTTTCAAGAAAACAATCGTTTACTTACAAATAATAATCAGTCTGTGATTTAAATTAAATGTTTCCACACGACAGATATCTGCTAGTCTGCTAGAGCTTCAACAATAGCTCATTTGTCAAAGAGTGTGAAAATACTCGAAATAGTGCTGGAAATATGTTACTTGACAATTAGCGAGCTTAAGTGTTGAACTCAATATGTTTGATTGTGCCGTATATACTTCATTTTGATTTTAATTTGGAATGTTACGTGCAACGTTCAAGATTAGAATGGAACCTTTAACCTGAATTGGTGTTATTGAAACGTTAAAATATTATAAAACACGATTTAAATAATGAGAGATGCGTACCAAGGGTCTATTATTACTTCTCATTTGCATTGTTGGCAGTAGCATTATTTTCATTGCCTTTAGCAATCAACGACCTTCCATACAAACATTAGTTACGGAGACTCACAAGCAGTTACGGAGCTTCCAAGTAAAGTATTGTACAATTATATGTAAAAAAACATTCAGTCTTTAATATTTTCTAATATATATCTTCTTTTCTTTCTCTAGGAGAACCTCAAGGATGTAGAAGAAAAGAGACTAGTCACAGACTCCAAATACCTTGCATTACTTGGTCTTAACAGAGAAACAAGCACAGCACCGTTGACCCCAAAAGTTCAAAATGTGACAATAGTTTCGTTGCTACGTCCAGGAAGTGAACAGCATATTTATGGTTTTGTGAGAAACGTTTCTCATTTTTTGCCAAACAACAGTATTATATTGTACAGTGTTGGTTTGAATGATGAAGCATTGCTGAATGCTAGAACCGCCTGCAATTCTACTAGATGTAACGTTATACAATTTGATATAAGTTCCTTTCCCGCTCATGTGGAAGATGATAGACTGCACGTTTATAGACCACTAGTGATTCAGGTAGGAATTAAGAAGTTTATTTTGATATTTTAATTTGTTCTTACTAGTCATCGCATGGTGTTCCTTGTGCTTCAATAACAATACAAAAATTTTTCTATCATAGATGGCTTTAAGTACATTAGAAAATATTCTGTACATGGATTCCAATGTGCGTTTAAACTCTTCAGACATATCGAAGTATCTGTTGCCAAAGTCAGGCATCTTAACATGGCCAACGAGACACGCCATAAGTTCTCTCACTCACTCGAAGATGTACGAGTACTTTCACGTCTCGGCAGAGAGCTTCTTTTTCCTTCCTTTGGTAAGAGCGTCACATTTAGTTATCAGAAACACAAATGAAATTCGTGATAACGTGATGCTACCCTGGGTGCAGTGTGCACTAACCAGAGACTGTATATGTCCAATCGGTAATTATTATACTCCTCACGTGACCAATCGGAACAATAGTACTACTTCAATATTAATAAAAAATCTACCTTCTTAGGAGCTCAGTCAGCCGGTTGCAGATTTAATAAAAGACCTCAATATCGTTATTCCGGATGCCACGCATACGATACGTCCGCCTTAAATATCGTTCTTGGATTGCACTTCAACTTCGACGACACCCGTTACATACATCAAGAGCACGATACCTATTTCAATAAGATACAACCAGACGAAGTAGCCGAGGAATATTTGATGATAGCGCGGCAGAATAATGCGACCGAAGCAAGCACAAAACTTTTGATATCCATGGAACGTTAAAGTCTATGATTTCAAGCATATCACGATTGTGATTTCACGAGGTGTATAAATAAGGACTTCTGCACAAACTAACTTAAGACTAAATAAAGTCATAGACGTAAGAGTGAGAAGCACACACGTGAATATTTTTATTCATTCACCCTATTTGTAACTTATCCACAAACCTGAAATGCGTTCATGGACGAAATTTTTTATTCTTAACATAAAATCAAATTTTCTAATGGTATTTGTTTTTTCGAGCGAGTCGATCGGTTTATGTAATCGTGACACATAGTTGATTCACGAAGAAAGTAAAATTCTGTTTACATGACTGACAGTTGTCAGAGAATATTACAACTTAATGGATCTGTTCGGTTATCGGTACAAAGACGTTATTAAAAATTGAATTTTTTCTAAAAAATATATTCCTCTCTCGGGCCTCTTCTCGTCGTTGAATTTAGGATTGGTGGTTGTTCGTATAGAAGGCGCAAGATCAAGTATCATGGAGAAACATTCGCATGTGAGTAAGGCCGCGCTGTCTCGGTCGTAGAAAATAATGTGGTTTCAGGAGGTTTAATATCGGCGATTGCGCTGTCAGGTGCTGGACCAGGGTTAAATGTTGTATAGTGATGGCCAATGACTGCGACCTGGACAACTGGGAATTGCGACAAGAGGATGACCTGGTTCAGTTACCCCATAGAAACGCATTGACATTACCAACCATAACAAAATTTATAAACGAACCGTCAACACAAAACGGATTACACCGACACTGGCATAACAGGGCACATAGTACAGAATCAGGACCAGAGCTTCGTTTTATTAATCCCGCAATATATGCTGAGTCCCTCGAGGATGGGGACGAGGTAGAACCTGGAGCAACCTCGAAGCATCATTCAATAAAATCAGAAGATAGCTCTTCACGCTTTCGTACAAATTGTGGCGATTCCCAATTCGCTGATTGCTTTTCGACACTTTCCATTAATGAGGAATCTGGAGCAGATTGTTATAACGATCAGCAGAATCCACGGGAAACTTATAGATGTGCAAACTCTCTATCAGCGACATCTTCGACGTTTACCTTAACTAATCAATCAAAATCTAGTCGTGTGGAGCGCCGTTGTGCTATAGGCGATGGTGAAAAAATAAAAAATGGTTTTCTAAATGGTGTACGTGCAGATAATGACACGTCAGTGAACAGTCAACCTGATATACAAAGGTAGGTCTGTTACTTTGTTCGACGAAATAAATTTCAAATAATTAAATCAATCGAATTTTAACAGTTCTTTTATTACGTATATGCCTGTCATCCTTTTCTCTTAATTCAATCAGGTACACTGTTAATGGACAGAGACGAGTTATGCATTATTCCTCGACGTCGCTCTCGGGCTCGACCGTTTCAGAACAACATCTCAGTGGAGTCGCCCTTGCGCGAAAGTTAGCTCATAAGGAATGGGTCAAGGAGAAAGAGCGTATGGTGCAAAGAAAGAAATCACTCGAACATCGAGCCGAGGAGCGAAGAAAAGCTGAGGAGGAGAAAGTAGAAAGAGAGCGGGAAGAGCGTCGAAGGAAAGAGCGTGAGAGTTTTATACGTTGGGCTGAAAGAAAAAGAAAGGAAGATTTGGATCGTAGAAAGGTGATAGAAAGTGAATTGGAACTTCAGAAAAGGTTGAAGGAAGTTGAAGAACGTGCAACGATGGCGAAGACCATATATTTGAAACAATGGGCACGAAAGAAGGAGGAGGAATACAAAGGTTTGTTAATACATAAGTGTCTTGAATTAAGGAAAACATTTGGACGTTCTTTTTATCTAGCGCAACAGAAGGAGCTGCAGCTGAAAGATAAACAGGCTGCAGAAGGGAAAAAGAAGAGGTTGGAAGAGAGTTTAAAGGCTTATGAAAAATGGCGTGAAAGGTCGAAGAACAGACCAAAACCTGCTACGCAAGGATTGCTACGTTAGTTTATAATTTGACGAATGATTTGTTCTCTATATCGTATTATAGTTTACTTATCTTTTTAATAGCACATCAAAAAGCTGTACCGGCTTACGTGAACCCAACGCCCTGGCAGCGACTCGTCGACGATGCGAATTCGTCGGACGAAGGACAAAGAATTACGGATTTAGCTGAGAAAAAATCAATAGCTAAGTCGAATAGTAACAATATTAAAAAAAATATTAGATCGAAAGAGTGAATAGTTAGGAACGTCAGGAATCGGTGGAAGCTCGAGTGATCGTTTATATAGATCGATGAAGTTCGATCCAGGAATTAAGGATGCTGTAAGATAAAAATCAAACGGACAACTTGATATATAACGCCCATTGATCTAGACACCTGAGAGAGGTTTAGTCTCATTAACAAACTGCAATCCGTAGGTCCATTTTGTATTTCTAATGAATGAACCCTATATATGTACTATAGGGATTTTTTTTTGATATATTCATTTTCAAGAATCTTCATCCCCACTTGGTTAATACATTTTATAAATACAATTTAAGGTGATTCCTGAATATTGCTCATTTCATAACAGGTGTACGGGCATTGCTCATTGAAACAATTTTAAAAAATTCTCATTTTTTTTGCTCCAGAAAAAAACGCTCGTAGCACTTAACAAGACGTCCGTCGATATCTTATGCTCTGTATAACAATATTAACAATAAACAGGTAACACACTGTATCGTTTATGTTGGACCTAACTCTTGAGGAATTGTCACGAAAGTGTATATTTATTTAGAGATAATGAAAATATCGGTTTACAGAAAAAATTATTTAATAATGGAGTATATCCTCGTGCTCCATTTTTTAAAATTATTTTCCATCTCAACAATTCAATCTCCTGTCGGTTCTATGGCTACACTCGGTCTTCTTTGTACTCTAACTCAGCCATGCTTCAAAATCACTAATCACTAATTACGTATCACATCCATATGCTGTATTACGATACTGATTACGTATTGAATATATGCATATGTGTACTATAATTAATTATTCCGTTCGTACCTCGTTCAAGATCAAATATTAATTCATCATCGATTCCTCTTCGTCTTGGAGTTTCTGTATCTCGGATTTGTTCATGAAGTAATAAGTTGGTTGTCTCGCTTTCTGAATGAGACATAGCAATTGTGAAAATCGTTTAAAATAATATGTTGAGTATTATCATAAAACTGACAATACATTAAGTTCCAGTGAAACTTACCAAATCTTTTAATACTCTCTTAGCACCCGCCTTTATTAAAATATTACTCAATATTTCGACAGAAGTGACACCCATCGCGTAATGAAGAGCCGTTCGTTCCAGCTGAATAAGAAATTGGAAAAAAGCGACATTTAAAATACAAAAATAATGCATTATAATTGACAACTGATAATACGTTGTCTGTATACGAGACTCACGTTGTCTCCAATACGCAATGTCTCTGGATACATTTGCACGATATACTGAGCAATGTCAATATGTTGTCCTAACACAGCAATGTGCAAAGAGCATCGGCCAACAACATTTTTTCCAACTGCTAACAACTTCCCGCCACTTCCGTTGGTTGAGAAAAGTTCCATTGTTGATTTTGTATCACCAAAGCGAATGGAGCGATGTACCGCCTCGCGACGAGTCTGAAGTTAGTCAAAAATCAAAATAGATTTTAAAAATCGCATAGGTATATTCAATTCCATAAAATCGTACCACATAATTTGGAATTGATTGTAAAAATTGGACTGTTGATTCATGATCACGTTGACTGGCGACTTCCACAATATTTACTCCATCATCTGCTGCGTCCAGAATGTGATCGTATCCTTCCAGTAGAAGTTCAACCAATTTTTCAGTCTCTCCTTTGAAGAAAAAATATATGAAATGCAAGTTCGTCTTTTTGACAGTGAACACAATTGTGTCGGCATAAAAGAAAAATAGGAGTAAATAATTTTTACCTCGAGCAGCTAAATAAACAACCCAACGATCAATTTCCTCAACATTTTCACTAATGTTCGCTTGTTCAGCAACGTCTCTCGCTGTTCGATAAAGCTCGTCCCTGTAGCCAACGTTCACCTGGGTTTCCTGGAGTAACTGAAACAAAGCATCCTTCGCGTGGGAACGTACTGCTGCAAAGTGAATAATACTCTGTCCATGTTCGTCCTGAGAATTAAATAATAAAATTTCTTTTTACAGTGCTTTTGGATTTTTATGACTTTACAATTATTTTGTATTTTTTTTTTACTCTGTTAGAACTGCTGAACGCCGATTCGGGAGAGTCTGAGTCAGGACTCTGAGGATAACCAGCATCGTCATCAGGATTGTCATTTTCTGGATTATCACCGTTTGCCTGTGCGCGTTCAGGAATAATTAGTACATTGGATTCCTGTGGGATTTTATTAAATGAATTTATAAAATAAAAAAGTGGGTTACGCAGAGTGATTGCAGTTAAATTTTTAAAATAATATTTGTAATTTTAAGAAAACGAACGTAGCATTACCTGCGTTGATCCGCCGCTTTTATTTTTACTTGCAAAGTTATAAAGGTACGTAGCCAGGTAAGTAACAGGATCTTTCGGCCGCGTATTGGCCACTTCCGTTAATCCTTTTATCAGCGGATCCCCCAAAGCTGTAAAATATTTTAGAAATTAAATATAAATACAAACAGCCACGCAGTCCCATACGTGGTTTTCTTATCATATATACGCGAAAATTCTTATGTCACGACGAATACTTACAGGAAGCCAGATAACGACCTTCTTCCGTGTGGAATATCGGGATGTCGACCTGTGTGTCGTCTGAAAAAGAAAACTTTATTTTCGTCTCGTGTTTTCAATTTTATATAATATGTATAGCGCTTCTCTTTTTTCATTTCATGTGACATCTTAACGGAAAATTTAAACCATTACGTCATTACACTGTATGAAAATTAATTGGGAGAGGCACTATGCAAGTCTTGGCAAATTATGTAAAGTGATCTTATTTAATTTTGCGAGATAAAATAAAAAGCATAATTTCACAAATATCCATTCAATAAAATATAAATTATAGAATTTTCTTGTGAAATTCATGTGAACACACTGTGCAATATTAAAAGACGTAATTCATCAAAAAACATTGACGGAAACATAGGACCTCGCGTACAGATTCAGTGGACGTGCTGAAATGATGAAAAATGGAAATAAAAATGTTCTTGACCATAATGCAGTGACGACAAAAGTGTTTGAAGAAAATAGGGTGACGCGGCTCAACACCACGCCGTTGTTTGTGCCAAATCAATAGCGTCGGCAGGAGGTACACTCTGAAACTTATACTAAAGTAGTTCAGTGATCCGAATATATGTATAGACACACGATTCACACATGATTACATATGGTTGCATACGTCACACACGTCACACGTACTATAGGCGAAAGCTCAATCGAAGCAGTTTTTATATATTAAAAACATTTGGTTATTTCGGGCGAGCTTCGTTGCTTGCCCGAAAACGTCAAGTTGGAAAGATATGTGCTCTGCCATTTTGTTTTAACGTTAATAAATGTTTAGTGTGAACAACGACTCGTGCATGACATAAAAAGCCTCGAAGATTATGGATGCCCTGTCGCCATTGTATATTCGACTATATTGAAGAGATTGAAAAAACAGAATTGTAATGTTAGAAAATTTTGCAAAAATTGTTTGATTCAGGTATAATCGAAATAATTATACACACGCGCGATAATGGCGTCAAAACATCGTGACGTAAGTCTTCGGTATTTTAATTCAATAATTTTTTTGTTTACTAACCTAATAAAAAATGTCCGATGCTCTTCCAGCGGCTAATCCAATTTATTTAGAGATTTTCGAAATTTTGACTTGGATATCTTTAGTTCAATCGATGCGATTGGTAGAAAAGAACGATCACACATCTTTCCAACGAGATTACGAAGTTGTGATTGTTAATTAATGATTTCATGTTTTGCTCACGTTGATTTTATACTAATTCGAAAATTGTCTACGAAGCTATTAGAAATAATTGAAAAAGTCGAATGTGATATTGGCTGGAACTTTATCACAGAGAAATTCTTTCGAGTAAGCGTAATTTATTATGTAAAAACGATCTATTAATTTTTCTAATTGTCGGATCGACACTGTTGAAATCGATCTGGATTGATCGAGTCGATATAACCTTATTAATTGACATTGACTAATCTTAATGCGTCCGATTATGATTCGTCGATTTCATGTTCCCTTATCGTTTATAAGAAATTTAATTATTCTAAGCTACCAAAATATGCATAATTAATTAATTGGAAATTTGGTTCTGAATGCTTCGAGAACTTGACAATCGTTTACGAAATATTCCGGCGATAAGCGTTGCAATTCTCATGGAATTGTTTAACGACACTTCTTTCTCCAACGTCAGAATATTCAATACTGCTCTGGAGAAGTCTTGGAGCGTTTGCAATTCCGTGATCAACAGACACTGTTGATTGCCAATCTTAACTATATCCCTCCTCATGGTCTCTTTAATTCTCAGACCACGAACGACACAAAGATGTCGCAAATTGTCAGGCTCCTTGGATAATTCAGGAAACTTAATGATAAAATTAAATCGTAAAGTGTTACCCACGGAGCAAAGACGTGCGCTCAAAAATCCCAATTTGGTATCCCGTTTGAATAATAATTTGTTATCTAGAGCCGTGATTACTTTGGCCAACCTAACGTAAGCTTTGCCAATTTGACCAGGTCTATGTTCATTAGTGCAACAGATCACTCTTAAATGATCTTGCACGTTGATCCAAGCCGCAAGATCACCGGTTGCCGCGACAAATACTCCCCGTCCATAGGGCCAAAATTTTCCATGAAGACGTCTGTCGTCACTCGATTCATTTTCTGTAAGCGGAAGCAACAAACCAGCTGCTGCCAATCTAGCTCTCACTTCACTCGGTTTGTCAAGAACTTCATTAAGCGTATAATAAGTGCCTCCTTCATCCTCACTAGAACCTTCTGCCATAATAACTGACAGTTCAGCGCTCAAAAGTTCATTCGTTATCTCACGTTCAGTTTCCTCAAGTTGATTAATTGTCAAAGTCAATGGCAAAGAGTAACATTCTAAATTTCGGCAGCACTCCATAACTCCAGCTAGAACATATTTTCCTGACGGATCAAGATCGTAAGATTCTATAACGGAAATAGCCTCTTCTATTGAATTTTCACTTTCGTCCTGTTTCTCAGTGTCGAAGAAATGCGGTGCCGGTTGTTCCGGTAAATCGCCGGTCGTCGTGACACGATGCAAATCGCGTATAAGCGGATCGAACAATTCAGCGAATACCATGTAACTTTCGTAATCCGGCGCAACGACGTTACCATCGGCACAATCATCGTCGTTTCCCGTCTGTCTTAAACTGTGGTTACTGTAATTCACGTTGGTGGCGTTGCTGTACTTTTTAAGAGCGGGCCAAATTACGTCAAAAAGATTGTGGTCCATGCGTGTCACACGGTGCTTGATTTTGTCAAATACAGGTCGTTTCAAACAACGACCTAACAAAGTACTCGCAGTTCCTGGAGTATTTGGTACAGAACCTCGTCGTGCTCCTGCTAGGAGACGGTAACATCGCTCGAGCGTCGCCAGTGTTTCAGGTTCGGTGACATCACGACGCGCCGAGTATACGTCTTCTCCGGGAACTGTGGTCGGCACGAAAATCATATTACTAGTGAATGGATACCTTCGCCAGGTAATATATATACATTTTTTAATCACACTCAGACACACTGTGGAACACTCACGGTGAAACGTAAAGTTAGATTAAGGTTGATCAATCCTTGGCATAATTAATTTTTACCCGACTACGATAAAATAACCATATTCCCTGAAACATATCCTTGCAACGCGGGCGGAAAGTAATCAATTTTTAATCAGAGGGTAGAAAAAGTGATTTTGCGGGCAGAAAAGTGATTATTGCGGGAAAAAAAAACTCTAAACATAAGAAATGAGATGTAAACCTACACCTATATATTGTAGTGTTGTGCCTTTGCAGGCATAAAAATATGATTATTTTAAAAATAGTCGGGTAAAAAGTAATATATGCCACACGGAAAAAGCGCGGATTTTCACCTCGTGCTCGTGTTGCACTCGCTTCGCTCGGACAGCAAACCTTGCATTCGGCGAAAATCACGCACTTTCCTCCCTAGTGGCATAAAGTACTATTTTTTCTTATTACCCAGAATTAAGCAACAATTAAGCAGTGTAACGTGAGCGTGCTGATTAATTGTTAATGGATTCTTCAAGTAATATCGATTCTAGTAAGAATGTTTACGTGATCAATAGAAATTTGGTGTTGTCATTTTTCATAATCCAAAGTGAAGAGCATAAGTAAAGCATGTGCACTGTGTACGAAAGTAAAATATATTGTGACACGTTCGAAGTGTTATTTGCTTTGATATTCTTTTAAAAAAAAAACATGCTTCGGTGTATCACAAAGGTCATAGATATCCAAGTACCTTTGTCCGTCAACATTTCGTCGGCGATATTTTCACGAGCCCCAAAATCACGTAGGAGTTTCTTGTGCGAGAGATCCTTCTGATTGTGTTTATAAAACTCTGCCTTTTGTTCAAACTGGCAGAAAAGTATATACACGCATGACAAAACTCTATGGTTTTCTTTTTAATACGCCACTCGATCTTATCAATGCAAATTAATTATTGACAATAATTTCTATAAATAAAGAAACTTCTACTCACGTTATCTTGCACCAGTGGATTAGCTCCGAGATGCAATAGTAAATTATAATAATGACCGTTATCCGCAAGAGTTGCGGCGTAATGCAATGGCGTTCGTCCGTCCAGATCAATTGCGTGAGCAGTTTCTGGAAACCTACCAGCCAGGTACCTAAATGATTCATTAAACAATTATTAATTAAAGTATCGATTAGCAATCAATAAAAAAGTAGGTCACCTCATATTACAAATAGCAAGCAGGGGTAATGGCGTACAATAATATTTGCTATACCCAAAGGGGAACGAAAGAAATTACCATTATGCCGACTTACTTTATATAATGTTAACCATGTCGCTTACAGAGTTTCTTAATGATTGTTAATTATCGTGAGTAATATGTAAATTAATAACTCACCTGATTATCGATGTATGACCGAAAATTACAGCTGCATGTAATGGCGTCGCACCGTGAGGTGACGAAGCGTCGCGTGCGATAGCGAATTTACGTCTATCCAAGGCACTTTGTAAATCTCGAAGATCGCCTTCTCTGGCCGCGATATGTACCGCATGTATTTTTCCCTAAAAATGTATTTTTGTTTTGTTTAGAGAAAATAATAAATTTTTTTTATTTCGTTTTAAGGAAGATAATCAATCTAACCATATATGCCGGCACGTTGTCAATGAATGCTTGTAACTCAGGATTACTTGAATGACGTCCAACAAGACGTCTTCCTTCGCCATTTAGTACGAGGGCTGCCAATTGTTCCATATTTCCGTTCTCCACAAGATCCTCGACTTCCGGATCCACAGCCATGCTACCCTCGTTCAATTCTGCTTCTGGTAATTCTTCGTGCTCCCCCACAATGACCTAGAAAACTCGCGCAAACAAAAACATGCGCATAAACTCGACAAATCGATTGAAGTTTAGCAAACGTATGTGATAATCCAGACATTAGTATACATATACATATCGTATGTATATATCGAACGGATGTCATATATAAATAGGCACAGCCACAAGTATGACTAATGCCATCGGATAACGTGCCCATAAAAATGTCACGTATTAATGGAATTTTAGATTTTTGCATAGTTTAACTATACATAGTCTTTCCATTCAATCAATTCATACGCGTTTTTATTTTATTTTTATACCTGATCCTCTTCGTTTCCGGGGTCATCCACACCGGAATCACCAGTACTTGGATCACTTTTTTCTTTGTTCTCAGGGTTGGTTTGTTCTCCCAAAAGATTTTCTGATGTTGAATAATCATCAGCGTTGACTTCTACGTTGGTATTATTATTTTCGGTATTTCCCTCGGTAATCTCGCTCGTCGTTACGACCACATCGTCGTCCGATGACTTTCCTTCTTCGTCTTCTTCTTCGGTAACATCTTTTTCTTGCTCTGCTTCTGGTTCCTCTTTGGCTTCTGCTTTTTCACTCAACGCGGCTCGTTTTTTCTCCAATTCGGCATCTGCTAATTTTATTCGTTCAACTAAGTCGTCCTTTGGGTCTTCTTTATGATCATTCTGAAACAAAATTTCATTATTACCTTTTTATCTTGAATACTGTCCAAATGGTAGTTTCTATTTTTATTTTGAAATTTACCGCCAGTATTTTTTTAGCTCCATTCATAACTTTCGTTGCTGCTTCGGCTGTTCCGAATGCGCTGTCGAGATCCACGTTATTAAAAACCTTTTTTGTACCACGCAGACCTTCTTCAGCTTCCAGTATCCTCCAATCCCAATTTTTTGGATAATTCGTACCGGAAACCCTAGGCGCCTCTGGTATCACGACTAAATTCGTCACATCCACATCAGATGGACGATTTTTGTAGAACGCAGGAGCTTTCTGTCTCTGTAGCGACAAATGACAACCGCAAGAAACATATTGATTGATAAACAATAATTAAAATACGCAATTTTTTTAAACTCACGTTATCCAATTTACTCTCGTCCGCGCCATATCCGACCAATAAATCGTACATGACACCAGAATCCTTAACTGCAGCTGCATAATGCAATGGAGTTTTTCCTTCGCTGTCCTGCGCCAAAACTGCAGCTGGATATCTTTCCAATATTTCACGTGCTATTTCTAAGTAACCAAGCCCAGCAGCCTTTAAAAAAATATGAGTAATTTTATTCTTTTATTTTTTCATCAATTTATCAAACACACCTTATGCAGAACGTTGAGTCCATTGGAATCCTTACTGCAGAGAATTACAGGTGAGACAGGATCGGCAATTTTATCTCTGAATGCCTCTAAATCATTTTTAACCGTAGCTGTGTGCACACTTTTAATCGTACCCTAAAATAAAAAAAAGAAATTATTAATTACATAAAATCTGAAAGTAAGTTTGGGTAAATGAATATATCAATTTACATACCATTATAAATGGAACTGCTTCAAGAAATTTTTTAACTCGAGGATTATTACTGGTCTCACATCGTAATTTCGAGCCGTGACCTTCCCATAAGACTTGCTGAAGTTTTCCAATGTCACGGTTATGAATCCATATTCTTATATTGGAGGGCTTAAAGTCCAAGTCTTCTAACGCACAAATGATTAATATTAAAAGACATACCGATGACAAATTTTGAAATCATCAATTAGCTTTCGTATTACATTGTAATGATCGGAATTAAAAAAATTATCTTACCACGTGTAAACAAAATTAATAAAAGTAATTGCAACGGCAATTTTACCTACTATCCGATAACAATATCGCACTGTACTATAGTAATAACCTCCAAACTCTTTCATCATTAACAGATAATTGGTAGCAATTTCGTGGAACAATTATAATAATTGCAGCATTCTTAATTTCAACTTCATCATACCTCCGAATTGTCAATGTGCTGCGTTAGACGTTAAAAAAAGTTCCTTTGTCATTGCGTGTAAAGACTCCCCCTACGTTCCTCTGTTTTTTATATCCTACGCCAAATTGCCGACAGGTAGTAAAACATTTAGGACAGTTTTTTTTATTACTTATATTCGTGTCCGCAATGCTAGTTGAAACTCTAGCGACAATGGCGTCACTGTTATAAATCGAAAATGTCTCATAGCAGCCACTGTCTATTGTACCAAAGACTACAAAAGATTCGGAAAGCTCAGCATGCAAAGGCATAGGGGGGATTTGGTTAGTGTACGACGAAGAGTCTTTAAGAATTCATGTGCATGTCGTGTTTCACGATTACGGGGTCCTGTTTGCGTTGCGTGTTACTGGAAGGTGTTAAATATTTCATGCATCTACGTTCACAGTCTTACCTGTGGATATAGCGTTAGTCGTCATGTAAAATAATTTGCGTGAAGTCCTGTCATTACTCATAAAAAAGTTTCGCGTGGTTCGCCCGTGACAGTTTTGGAGAAAACAAACTTCAATTTCATAAATCCAAATAAATATCCGAATATTTATTTTTTTATACTTATTCAGTACATTTTTATACTTATTGAGTACACCTTAATACGGACTTTGAGTGACGTAGTATAGCGTCTGCCTACGCGAGAAAAAAAATTGTATCGGTCATAGGTGAAAATTGTTCTTCGTAAGAATCCTTCGTCTGATCAATACTCTTCGTTTTTCACTGTGCAATTTCAGGGGCGTAGTAGAAATGCTCTAGAATCGGTCACATGATACAGGATAGTAGGTAGTGGTCAAGTATCGACCTGTATTAAATATTTTACTTCATCCACGGAAATATTGTTGCTCTTTCGACGTTTCTCTACTTCGGTAACACTAAAACGTAGATGCCGAAATAATTGTGGGTGCTTAAATACCAAATCCTGTTATTTGAAAAAACATATTTTTAGCTCTCTATTAAAAATTAAAATTTCATTTTTTTAAAATGAATTTCGCATTACTTATTTTTGGAAAAGTTAATATTATTAACAAGGAATGTTCAATTAATATTAACAACACCGTTAGATCGCATGCTATGTAATATTCGTGTGGAAATCTTAGCTAGCGTGCTGGTCATGGTGTTCATAAATTTTAGAACAGACAAGATGGTGCACAGTGTTATCACGTCAGGATTACTGACATCTTTCATTATGTGCTTAGCATGCTGTTTACTAGTAAACGTATAAGATTAACACGAAGCACATAGAACGAAGTTAAGGACTCGGTATTTTGCGTAGTAAACTTTTTGGACATTTTTAATTTCATTTTATGTCCTAACGTCTTATGCATACAGTCGTATCTTTGAACTATAATATATTATTTACTTCTAGTGAGAATTATTGCGCAAGGCACTACTTCCCATCATTTCGCTCGTCCTGTTAATATCACAATGATACCAGAACTTGTAGCAGCTTATCTTTTGTTACGAATTAATGCGATATCGATCGTAAGACTGGCGGAACATTAGAAATGTATACTCTAACGAACATATATCGTTCTAGTACGTGACAAATTTTCTGTTTGAAGGTCAAAATATTTTTTAACATAAAAACTGATAAAGAATGATTAAACAAGTAAAATATAAGTTACTGACAGTTTTTGAAGATTTTTTTTATGCATTACTTTTTTACTATTACCAAAATATTTATTGTATGCATATTATTCGTTTATGTATAACAGTTACTTACTTTCTCGTCCACTGCTTGCTTTACGATGCGCCATACTTTCTGCTTCCGGTAATTCAATCTCTGATGTATTTTTCAAATAATAGGCTGACGGATTTCCACGTTTGTCGCAGATACTTGCGTCACATCCAGCTTCTATCAAAACGTCCCAAACTGCACTTGGATCCCTGCAAGCTGCACAGTAGTGCAAGGCTATACGTCCTTCCTAAAATTTGCAAAGTATTTATGTATATTTTCGATTAAAGGCAGTTTTCATATTTTTTTTTAATTTTGTGACGAAGTAACACATTTTTATTGCATTGATAGTTGCAAAGAGATGAGGAAGGAATTAGATTGATCTCGCGACATAGCGATGTGTTAACTTAAGGGTGATACTCATCGAAGGATATCCGGCCTTTATAGGGTGAAAACTACCCCTTAGTCAAGTCTCTGGCAAACTTCTAAGCTGTCGCGGACACGAAAGGGAATGTAGAGAATATCTATAGTTTAAAACAGGTGGTTTACACTTGGCGATTATCAGTGTCACGCGACGATAGAATCGATGCTGGCGTCGACGTCGACGTTGAAGATGAATGGAAAGGGATTGAAAAATAGAAAAAAAAAAATAAAAATAAAAGTTTACCTTATCTTTTTGCTGAGTCGTCACAGGATAATTTTTGACCAACCATTCGATGATGTTTTGATGATCGTAATAAACCGCCTTGTGGATCAAAGGTGTTCCCGAAGGATCCTTTGCAATTGCCAATTTTTTTTTCGGCTCCTCTGATATTATTCGCTGAATTTCTGACAGCGAGCCGCGTATGACTGCATCGTGGATTTGAGCAATTTTGGTCTAAAAAAATTGTTGTCTAGAGAAATTAAAAAAATTTTTTCTACGTATTCTGATAATTTATTGAAAATTTTTGATACTCTTACCAAATAATTCGGAAGTCCTTTCAGGAATACTCGTGTTCGCAAATCTGGCGAATGTTCGCCTAACAAACGTGCTCCTCTACCTTCCACCACGACATTTTCAAGTTTTTCAAGTTCGCCACGCTGCAGCCACTGTCTTACAGCCGTCGGGTTCATTTGCAGGGCTAAAAAAGGAACGTGAAATTTTATTTGAAAAATTTTAACTTCTTTAATGTCAGTTTTATATGCTTGTCAAGTTCGTTCTAAAAAATCGATTTCTTGTATTTATATCGTTTTTAAATGAATTGCATGAATTTTTGTCAAGGATACAGAAGCATGTGTGTCATATGGAAAATGAATTTGTACGTATGCGTGATACGTGCGTTTTTATAATAACACGAACAATCAAAATAGATAATTTATGCCAACGCGATGATTTAAATAATAAAAGTAAATCAAATCACAATATGAAACTCAATGATGAATTAAAATTCACTGAATAGTCATCAGATAAATTGCTTTGTGTCAGTTAAAAATATCACGACCATAATCATAAGTACAGTAATTTTATCATCTACGTATAAAACGCACATGTAACGTTTCTTGGTAATTTGACCAATAAAAAATTTTATCGATAACAACCTAACGTTATTTTCTACATTATTCCCAATTCTTACTAAATGGCCAATTGCTTATATACATTGCACTTGTATATGAACTGCAACACGCGAGACTTGAAATTGAATCGTTTGACACGAATGACATTCGAATTTCTATAGAATATCTTTTTTTTTCGAAATCAATATCAGTCAGCGAGGATACCATTTTTCTGTCAAAACTCAATACAATACCTAACATTTCCCATCCAACATATTCTCCTTTCGCAGAATAAATTAATAAACGTCGGTGAATTACCTCGTTTCATTGTAAACGCGTAACTTTTTTCTTCTATTATGCACAAAGTTGGACACACATGCCACCCACAATGAAACTCTTACATCGCATTATTGCGCAATTCTAAAGCTGCACGTTAACAACAACAACAACAGATTCAGCTAAATGGTTACGACAAAGTAGCTAAACAATTATTTAAAGAGGTGCATAATTTTGTGAATTTTCTAAATATTCATCATCCCCGTGAAGTTCATCCATTGTAAAAAATAAGCATATTATTATAGGAACTTAAAGAATTGCGTGAATCGATGAGTCACAATTTTTGTTTATGCTTGCGATACCTTGGATACCCACTAATGAAGTTCTGAAGTATTATAAGTTACAGGAGTCAATTGTGAACAACGTGAAAGACTTAGGTCAAAATCAATCGCCTCGAAGTTCAGCTCAATATAGTGACCTACATTCATATTTCCAGAATTTCACGTGATACATTGGCAACGTGTATTCGCAAGAGGGAGTAAAGTATCACGATATATTTAATTCATATATTATTTATATATAAATGAAACAAAATTTTCGCAAAGCCTTTCTCGTCACTTGTAATCGCGTTAATTTCACGTGAAGTCCCGTGGCCTCGTTACGTGACTAATTTCATACCAGTCATCATACGTAAATGAAATTTGACGAGCTGAGTAATGGGTACATCGTAACGAATACTATGATGCTATATACAGGCTGTCTCAATCGAAATGATACATCCTGTTAATAGTATATATGATATATGGAAAAACTAAAATAAAAAAGTACCATAAGAAATGAATCCTGGATAAAATATCTGCATGAATAAGAGGTGACGTAGAAGTATAAATTTTCGTCACGCATTATAATAGAATATAGAATTCCAAAAAAAAATGCTCTAAACATAAGAAAAAAATTTCACTAAATCCACTCGAACTCAAAATCAATGAATTATTGGGATAAATCGTCACAGATTCATCACGTTACCATCTACTGTGCAAGTAATCAGAAAAAGTGTTTATTACGTAAATCACATCGATTGTCCAATCGCGAATGTACAATTCGAATACCTTGTTTGCCAGAAGACACGTTCTAAGAGCGAGGAAGCCATTCGACTGAATTTTGAAAAAAAAAAAATTAATAAAAATCAAGTCAAGTATAAAGTGAATGCTACGACAGCGATTTACAGGGCGAACGTCGTGCTTAACGCTGAGACGTCGGACGTCGAATGAAGTCGACGCCCGGCGTCGCGGTGCCGTCGCATGCGCGCTTTCGATTTCTAACGTAATAATACAGTCTGGAATGTACACAGGTAGTCGCACGCAGCTGCGAATTATTTAAACGCTCAAGACAGCCTGACGGCGTAAAGATAATTGTTCGGTATGGTAAAAGGTCTTTGAAAAGCATTACGTAATTACGCTTAATATTTCCTTAAGGAGAATTTGCAATGGGATTATATATACTGTTGGAATTACAGTCTGTCCTTTTTTTCATGTACTCATATCCACTTTCGATTCTTTTTGTTTCTATTGTACAAAGATTTTTTTGTATGAAACGGATCCAGGTGAATCCCCTGAAACCGGTATCGCGTGATGCTTCAGGGGAATTAACTTTTTTTTTTTTTTCAAAGGGTCCATCCGCGTAGCCAAATAACGTAATCGGGGATTCTGAACCGCGAAGGTCATTGAACACGCAACGAACGGAACACGTAAGTATAATTAAAAATACATCTTTTACCATTAAAATTGTTAATATTTAAGTACGTATATTAAAAAATTTTTGAGCTTTTTTTTAATCACTTAAACTTAAACAGGTCTCTGAAATTTTATCAACGCTCGTGTGAAGTTCCTACAGTACATTTAGTATGATACGTGCATGCAACATTTAATTTAATTATATTTCGCTCTTTAACGGACCAAATCGATATTCTTCTATACGGTGCATTGACATATTGACTATATTTTTGCATAGCTTTGTATTCCCGGTCGATAAGCAGTTCGCTTTGCATTGTGGTCAGCGAGCAAGAAGAAATGTAGGCGATGCTCTTCGGTATCGATAATAACGCGAGTGTACGATTAAATAATATTTCATAAAAAATATTTCAAAGTTTATACTTACTTCCGAGCAGTGCTCCAGACCGTTACCCTCAGTCGAAATTTATTTTTTCCAAAAATAGTCAAAAATCAAATTTTGAAAACCGAAGACTACGGTACGTGATTGTTGGTGTTACCTCAATACTAAATATCGTAAAAGTTCACATTACGAAATAAAGAGCGAGAATTTTTCGAAGAAATTTCAATGTGTTAATAAATGCCTGAAGACGTCCACTGTGTTCGCTTGGTACGAGGTACTTCCTCCGACTGGCGTCGCGACGCCTTCCACGTGGCCTATCGACACCGGCTCGTACATTATTTAGTGACTCTGTATACTTGCAAAAACTAGCCTCAGTGTCACGATGTACTTGGAGAGCTTTTAATCAATGATACCACTGACCAATATCCAATCACAAGGAATGTAACCAAATGGCCGCATGGAATATACGTTGAAATTAATAGCATTGATAAATAAAAAATTGTCAATAAAAAATCATAATAAAAATTTCAATCAAGATAGTCATTAGTAATGCAAATTTATTAATAAGAACTGACGTATCATCAAATTAATGAATTTTCAATCAACGCAAATTATTATACGTTCTACATTAAATCTAGTAAAAAATTCAACGGGACCAATAATCGTCTTCGACCTTCCTTTTGTCTTCTATAGAAGAACTATACTTATATGCGATCACCATACGCTATAAGACATGCCTATTATCCAGTTAGCAATTACTCCGAACCAGTTTCAATGTGATAACCCATGCTAACACGATATTCATACGTGTCATTATATATGTATGTAGTTTGATTAATTCGAAAATCCGTGGAAGTAAACGACGTGAATATAACGAAGTTAGCAAGGGAACAATTAATCGAACTTTATTTCTGGAACTAGAACGTGTTCTACGTTCGATATACCCTTTATCGACTTGTTCGATCGACCTCTTGGATTTCTATTTTCTTCCACAATGTTTTACAGGACATTTCGAGTCGTCCGATTAGAACCTCTTGGTTTCTTATTTCGCTGGTCGATGCAAAATACCGTTTATAATAGCGTAAGAGTCTTGCAATTTTTTAATTTGCGCAACACACCTGTCTCAGCAAACTCCTCGATCGTTTTCCCATTGCGATGTCTCAACGTGGGGCCAGTATTCATTTTTTACTTTCTTCATTCGACATTCGCAGTTAATTTTTTATTCTACGTTGAATGTAACTGAGTTCTTGCGGATACTTTTTTATCGTGTTGACGAACATTCGAAATGTTCGCAATCATCGTTGTTCTCACGCTTCTTATAACTGCCCATGGCAATGGTAAGTAGTGATAAAAAAATTTTTTTTTTTTAATTTTTTTTATAACGAATACAAATTTTTCACCTGTCTATTTTCGACTTCAGAAGTAATCGTGAACAGAACTGATTTACTCTGCAGTGGACATCCTTATTACAACGTATCATTGACAGCTTACTATCCTGATTTTGCCAGTGATGACGAACACGATTATTTGGATATGAGAGGCAAAAAACTGCGAACTCTACAGGTATGAAATATTAGTACATTTCTATAAAAATAAAAATTTAACAGCTCAGTCTAAATTGTATGCTAGAGTATTTTTAAGTTTTATCAAATTTCTAGAAGAATTTGATTTTCTTATTTTCCTTGACGTTCACGAGCCTCAGACAAGATTTAAATCGAGAATTTAACTTTTAAATTTTACTACTTCCCAATGATTTTTTTGTACTATTTTTAGAATTATCTCGATGGTCGTGACGAATATGTAACAGTAGCTATGGATTTCTCGACCCATTTGCCTTATGGGACACGTATCTGCGTACCGGAATTGAATGAACATTTTGGGAAACGTATTCCGCTACAGGTTCGTACCGTTGCTCACATATATTAAGATAAGATCATTTGACACTTTCACCACGTATAAAAATCATTGAAATCATTGGCAATCACGTTATTCCACAGGTGCGAGACTTTGGTGCCAACCTGAGAGGAAGTGAATTTACGAGGCTCGACATATGCGTGAGAAACGAGGGCGACAGTTACGACAACGCAGTGAATAGGCTTGTGACAGTTTACGTATAAAGAAACATGATAATGGATAAAGAAAAGAAAAATTTTAAGTAAAAATATAAAATTTAATTTTTGGTTTTCTTATTAAAATTGTATAGATATTATATTTGTTCGAGAAGATCAGTAGATGTGTTTATCGTTGTTTCGTTGATATCGTACAATAGTAATGGATATCACTTATGGATTTTTTGTCCAGTTCGGCCACGTTTTGATTATTTCATAAAGTTGAGTTCCGGGACACTCGGTTGAGGCTGCTTGTTTATGTCCAATTAATTTGTAAGTTTGACTTATGTAACCTTGCGAGACTCCATGATCTATTAAATTCTTGGCTGCTTTAACGGCCGCATTACTTGGTTGACGATCTGTGAATAAAAGATGAAAATTTATAGAGTTAAATCAAAATTTGAATTCATCAAATTTTTACCATCTTTAATCTCGATGCTTACTCTTGTAATTACCGATGAAGCAAATTCCAACGCTCTTAGAATTGTAGTCGACCGCGTGCGCACCGCGTTTGTTCCATCCTCGACCTTCGTAAATATTTCCGTCCTCGCCAACCAAAAAATTGTAACCTATGTCGCCCCAATGCTTAGTATCCATGTGATAGTTCTAAAAAAAAAACATAATAAGAATACTTTGATTGTTATCGGATAATAAAAAATTATTCATGTCCACGTAAAAAATATTAACATTTATATTAAAAACTTTCATTACTTCAGAATAACCTTGAATAGCAGCAGATAATTTTCTCGGACACAGAGCAAAGGCTATCTCAGACTGACTGGCCTGATCGGTATGAAATATGCCAATGATTTTTTTTTTCAGAAAATACAAGATTTTAGAATATCATATGAATTAATGTTACCATCCTGAATTTCTTACTATATGAATATACATTTTATTCATATTTACTATATACATATGTATTACTGACTGTTCCACGTCGTACGAAATTCTCGGGGTTTCCCCTCAATCAGAAATCGACACAGTCATCTGAGCGCAGTGATTAGACGTGTACAATGAAAAATATTTATTCATCAGAAATAATTAGGCACTTATCAATTTACCTGGAACGAGCGTACGCGCGATTGGCAAATAGCTTGAGACGTGCAGACATCGGATGCAGAATGATGAATGACAACGTACGGAACTGGATTTTGTGCAAGATTACCGATACGTTCACTGGGCTCCCTGGCACCCCATTCTGACCTTTTAATTATGGTAGGTTCATCTGTAAGTAATTAAGAACAAATTTATATAAATAAAAATACATATATCCGTAACTATAGTTAAATATATAGTATACCGAAGGAGCAGGTTTGTCACGTATTTATGTAACTTTTACGTAGCTGCTATGTAACATTGAATTTATCTACTTGAACATTCAATCGTCACGTCTTTATTGGATACATTACAAATTACGACTACTGAATTGTTTCATTAGTTATTTGAAAATTTATTGTATTAATTAAGTTTGAATGACCACACTCTATTAAAAATTTTAAAATCCCATTTGCAAATTGGTAATTTGAATTTTGTACCGTAAACAGTGTTTCGCAATTTGGCACTTTGTGCGGATCCAAGCGCGATGGATAAAACTGTGATCACGATTAATCCTTGCATTGTTACTTCAAAACGTGAACTAAACATTTGCCGGACGGTCACATTTCTTTATATGGTCGCTGAGACAGGGTAGAGTCTCGTTTCTTGATAAAGTACATATTATCGTATATTAATATAAATACACAATCAAACGAGACTGTTGGACTTTACTCGGGAAATACCCGCTTGCGTTCATGACTTTCTCTGTCCGTTGTAAACAGGATAGACGATAGTGCGTTACTTTATATTCTATGTAGCATGAGAATGGACGAACAAAGGAAAATATTAAATATTAAATAGACGTACATATCGATTGTCAATAAAGATGGATACAAATATATCCGAAGCTTTGCAGATAAATATATATATATTTCATATCATATTGATTAGTAATAGATATCGATTATACATATATGCATATTTGATATTTTGAACGTTGTGCAGTAAAATGTGAATTCAAAGCGAGTTACAGGTACAGTTTTGCTCTGAGCATCTGGTTTCACATCTTGTTAAGTGATCAGTGTTAAAGAGTCACTTAAATATGAAATTGAAATTTTACAAAATATACATCCCCTTATTATTTTTATACTGCAAGTACGTTGCTCGTTATGGTCATGTTTAAATATCAAATTAACGCATACTTTTTTTTTAATTTTTAACGATCAAATGTAGGAATCTCATAGAAAATAAATTTATAATAGTTCAATTTTCGTAACTTCGACACTACTGTTCGCCTCCACTACATTTTCAGCTTGTCTATTTTCCGTCGATACACTGTCTTCGATTCTTTTGCGTTCGCCAAGCTTCAGCAAATCGGTCCAAAGTGAATTCCCAGTAATGTTGTCGACCTTTCGTCTGGTACCATGGTAGGGCGTGGGAACTGGACTAGAAGTCCAATGCGGCATAGACGAAACATATTCGTAAAACATTTCACCAGGACACACAGTGTAATTGACAGCCTGTCGATGACCAATTAATTTATAATCATCTTGAATTTTGCCAATGAACACCCCATATCGTATAAGCGACTTCAGAGCGTCAAGAGCCAAGGTGTTTGGCAGGAATTCTGAAAGAAGGAGATACATGTAATTTTGGTGTGTGATATAAATATAATAATAATCATAACAATAATATAATAATATTACTGTATATATAATACAAGTAATTATAATTCATATAAGTCACTTAGGTACAAGAGTGGCCGGCTGGTAATTAAAATTATAATAATTAAAATACTTACTTGTAAAATCCCCGATAATGCAAATTCCAATGCTCTGTGTATTGTAACCAGGAGCATGAGCACCTACAAAATCCCATCCGCGTCCTTCGTAAACGTTACCATCTTCGGCAATTAAAAATTGATAACCGACATCGATCCATCCATTGACATCCATATGCAAATCCTGATAAGCTCTTACTATAGAGGAACAAGTTTCTTGATCGTAACAGTAATGAGGAATTCCGCCGTGATGGACAACGACGTAAGGAGTTGGCGAGCTAGCAAGTGGCACGTGGTCATTGACAACACGAGCTTTCCATTCCTCCCGACTGACGATTCTGGGATAATCTTAAAAATAATTTAGTTCAATAGACGAGTTATATGTTTTTTCATTTAATCACAATCTCATTTATCATCTCGATCGAATCAAACGTTTTATTACGTTTAAATGAGTCATTTAATTTACATGGCCATGGGAACCCCCGTTCGAAAAATAATGCCCGATGAGTTAAATATCAAACTGTTGTTGATTTGATCTTGATATTCTGTATCCATTACGTAAGGAGTACAATACTGATTGTAATCATGCCGGAGGTTACACGTGATGGAAATGATGACTCCGCGGTAAACAATTCGTTTCGTGGTAGCTAACGATTTTTTTTGTAACCAATTTTTAAAATGGTTTTTGCATACATTGTCTATGGCTCTTTTCATGAACTTCCCACAGTAGGTTTTAGTTGGAGCAAATAATAGTGGTTCCTTATAATATTTATATTTATTTTTCACGATCTATTACATACTATATTTCGGGTTTTGAGTACAGTGTAGCTGCTCTGAAATTTTTCATTGACTATTTATCCTTTTGGAAAGATAAATTTTAATAAATTTAATAGGCCAAAGACACGTCAATTTAAATGCTGCTAATAAATATTTCAGTTGCCAATTAAATATATTAGCCTTAATGCACTATAAGTCAAGGCTTTATTACGAGTGTTCTTGACCCGAATAATATCTATTGGAAACGTAAAGGTGTCGATCGTGTGAGAATTTAAATACAACAAAATTCGCAAAAGTAATATCAAATCTTTATTAGATCTAGTCCATATGCAAATTAGCATGTTAATTAATTTTTTAAATAACATGTACCCTCTGGTCTGTACCATTATGCAGGAGATGTCAAAAAATTCGTATAATCAACAATTCGAATAAGTCACGTTACAGTTGTCATTGTCATGAATAATTTGTCACGTGAATATTTGTCAAATGAATGATATTGATAAGTTAGAAAAAAATTTTGAAAAGCCATCCCTTAATTTCAAGTTCAATTTTTAACCCCTTACTAGTATCGTTGTTAGTGTCGTTTTGAAGTTCCCGCGTTGTGGGAGCAGCGAAAATCAGTGTTGCTATGAATGAACCAAATAGTACACCCTCGATTATTTTTAGCCAAATCATTATTGATTTTTCTATTCTCCACACGATTTACGTCTTCTTCGGAATCGGTGGCTATGCAGTCTGACTATTGCGTTGCCAATGTGCGGTCGCTTTTAAACGAAAATCACGATGCCACGGGAAAGTCCCTGGCAGTTCACATCAGCTCTTTCGAGCATATCCCACTCTTTTTAATGACGATGTAACCGAACGATGATTCTGCATAATCTATCGTTTGATACAGTTAATGTAACTCGAGTAAAATTGTTTAACCTTTTGAAAGCAGTGATCGTATGAGAGACAAAAGGGGGAAAAATGAAGAAAACTACAAGGACTCGTTATCGATTATCTTAGTAAATAATGATAATTAATCTAGCGAACAATTACGTAAATTGTCATTTCTAATAACGGCATAATGATAGCACCTAATATGCTATATACAGTGATATTAATTTTTTTTATGTATTTACATTTTCCTCGTACCTATTCGCTTTGATGAATTGTGCATTATCTCTCGGATGATTATCTATGATTGTTGCGATCGATTGCATTGAATAATTTTTTTACTGTTACGTAAAGGATGTTTTATGTTTCACAACGATTCTAATAACGTCGGTCGTTCACACTTTTATATTGTGATTATGCTCAATTTCTGAAATTATTAATATGCCTGGAACTTTTGAGTATCTATCAAGCAAACGGATAATATATTATATAATGGCTATTCGCAGTGCGAAAAATTGTTTTTGTACACGTTGGATGTTGGCGACGAGTAATTGAAGCATATTTAAAAGAAGCTCAAAGTATTCACATATGTTGCCTGCCTAAATATATTGTTTGCTACTACAAAAGCGCTCACGTTAATTTAAGTCAAATTAACTATTGTTGTGGTCGTGGAGTACGTGAATTGTAGTACATTCTTCTTTTGTGTTAATTGGATAGGGATATTTCTTTACAGCGTTAGATTTATGGGAAGCGTTGCAACACTGGAGATATGCTTTGTAGATTTCGTTGCGAATAGTACGAGTATTCTTAACGTATTTTTGTGCATCTGTTAGAAATATCCAGCCATGCTCATAATACTGGCAGTGAGTTTTTAAACATGTTCTAGATCAGTTGTTATTGCACTATATGGACATTTTCAATGGTCAATGATTAGCTGTTTTGAGATATTTTTATAAACATATTGTGAAATAGAAATTGGATGGCCATATGATTTTATATAATTTGTATTGATATTTCAGATGGGACAAGTATTATCGTAGACATTCAATTCTGCGTAATTAACAGATTTGACAGCTTAATAAATCTCTGAATTTGTTCGCAAAGTAAATGGCTTCTGTTTCACACTAATCGATGTAGATGGTGCCAGAGGTTGGTTACTTGCAAACGATAGATTCCTTCTATACCGACGGGGATGCTTAAATGCTGCACGTGAAATACTGTCAAATTGCATTTTGTTTCGTATACTAATTGTACAATAATATACATTTGTCGATGAGGTTCTGACAGATGATTATGAGTATGTTTAAATTTGGTTTCTCTAAAGATGACTCCGCCGAAGGTAACAGTTTTTTCAAGATAAGTTCAATATCTTATTTGAAATAGTATTAGTTAATTTGAGGTTACTTTTCATGTGCGCGGGTATTTGTTTTTGTATTTATAAAACTTCGAGGCAAGTTGTTGTTTCAAAAACAGATGATTTCACTCAACAATGGATGAATTTAGAGAACACAAAATGGATTATTAAAAATATATACTTTGTTTATCCATCTCACTGCAGTTTAACATAAAATTCTTGAAGATATGGTAATAACGATAACAGGAATTATATAATCCGCAATTGATACATTTATTATAGTAGTGTTATCGATGAAGGTTTATAAATGCGACGTTAAAAATTATGTGAATTTTTGAATAATACTACAGAATCCAAGAAATATAAAATTTCGTATAACTTGGATAATTTTTAGAGAAGGAAGATGACAGTAATAATACTTCACTCGAGTGGTTCCCGTCATGTAAAATCGAAATATCCTCAGAACAATTGCAAGCGGAATATGAACCCGAGGATATTATGGAAAATAATTTTTTCAACAATATTCCATTAAAACTAGTGCACACAGACAAGGTCATGATTGACTTAAAAAATGAGAGGTGTGAAAATATTATCGAGGCTGAATCTCAACATTCCGATTTGGTTCCAGCCAAATATGAAGGTATCCGTCAAAATATATTATTTTAATACCATCATCAATCGTGAATATAAAATATATATATTTAAATAATTGTTTTATAGGTGGTTTAAAAATTTGGGAATGCAGCTATGACTTGGGTGAATTTTTGCTAAAAGAGAAAATTCGTCTCAAAGATAAAACTGTTCTCGATTTAGGTTGCGGTGCCGGTATAATCGGGTTGATCGCGTTACACGAAGGATCTACCGTCCACTTTCAGGATTACGTGAGATAACCGATATTTTACTGAACTTCGTTTTAAAAGCGCGCGTGTCACAAGTGTATTCAAAATACATTTTATTTTCAGAATACGGAAGTGCTCAAAGCGGTCACGATACCAAACGTTATCTTGAATCTAACCGATCGAAATTCCATTCGAAATCGCTGTGAATTTTATTGCGGTGACTGGAAGTCATTTGCCGAATTGTCGTCGAATAAATACGATTCCGAAGATAAAAAATATGATTTCATTTTTACCAGCGAGACCATCTACAATCCTGATAATCAAAAGAAGCTCTATGAGGTTTTCAAGAAACAGTTGAAGAAAGATGGAGTTGGGTAAATATCTCATTCTAACAAGAATTTAATAAATATAAAACACTTTAAATTCAATCTAGATATGTGGCTGCAAAGATGTATTACTTTGGAGTAGGAGGCAGTATAGGACAGTTCGAAAACATTGTGAAAAACGACGGTATATTCAATTCAATTATTGTTTGGAAAAGTAAAGAAGGTAAATATCAATAATGCCGTGAACATATTTTGAATATATCGGATATTATTAACAATATTTCAGGCGTACAGCGTGCAATATTAAAGCTAACGCGGAAAGACACAACCTGAATCCACTGTTTCAGCCTGCAATTTTTATCTATTACCTAGAACCTTATTATTCTCCGATGCAAAATATACAGAAATATACTATCGACTCCTGCGTAAATGCTAGGATATTTTTTAAATATTTTTTATGGCGATAGTCTTTCATAAACCCAACCGTCATCTCCTTCATGGACAAGGATATTGTCAGGTTTCTCACCAGGTTTTCGTCTTCTGAAGCGAATCCTATCGTGTAGACGATCACTCTGGCCTTGCCAGAATTCAACGCTTTTTGGAATAACGATATAACCACCCCTGTAAATGAATAAATATATTTTTTTCGGTATACCATTTGTTATCAAGAATATATTTTAATTTATCACTAACCAATTTGGCGGCCTTTTTACGCTTCCTTCTGGAAATTGTTCCAGCAACTCTTTTTCTTTGACCATAAGTGTTTCACGACCAGCAATAACGCTACTTTGCTTACTTGCCATTGATCCTATTTGACTAGGATATGGTCTACTATTAAAGTAACAATCAGAATCGGTCGATGATGTTCTTTCGGCAGTACCTTCGATTCGCACCTAGAAAAATCAATTGTTTTATATTGTTTCCCTAAGAAAATTTACTAACAATAATTAGTGATACTAACGGTACGTTTAAGCGCTTCCCAATAAAAGGTGAGAGCTGCATTTGGATTTTCATCCTGAAATAAAATTATTTAATTTAAATACATACGTTGTACAGTGTGTGGTAAAACCCAGATCCGTTTTTATAGTGTTCATAAGACTTACAAGTTCACCAGCTTTTCGACTATCGTAATTTGTATAAAATTTAAAACCCTCCGAACCGTACCCTTTTAATAATACTGGCCTCACAGATGGTATACCGGATCTGAGAAAAATAGTATTCAATTTTTTTTCGTACTAGCAAATATGTCTGTCATTCGTTATCATTCTTTACTTGGTAGCCGTAGCAAGGAACATTGCATTTGGTTCCAAAATTCCTGGAGTGTTGCATGCGATTTCAAACCATGCTTTGAATTGTCCAAATGGTTGTTTGCTTTCGAGATGATCTTCAGTAAATGTGTCGCTCTTATCCTTATATTTAATTCGCATTTCTGTAACAAAAAATAATTATTATTATCATATAAAATTCTACTTAAAAAATTATCATCGTGTAAATAATCGGAGTATGTTTAAATCACAGAAAATAACCCGACGAAATATTACATTAATCAACCGTACTATATTACTACTAATTAGTCGATGATAATGATATCATAATTTACATTTCTTCTGACATTTAAGTACATAAAAATGATAATCAATAGCCTACTTAGATTAACAGTAAGAACCAATTCAGTTTCGTGCCACGATAACACAAATTTAAAATTTGTAATTTCCTCTGTTATTCTAATTAAACAAACATGGCACTATATGTATAAAACGAACGTATTAGAAGCCCATACCAAATCAAGAGTTATTCAAAATGGCGGTACTCGGAAAATATCTGGTAAAGTGTGATCCTCGTTTTATGATCTAATAACGTGAAAATGCTCACTGATCTTTGTGAATAAATGATGAGAGAATTTCTAGAAAATCAAAGAAGTGTAGACACAGTAAATTGTAAAACATAAGAGGAGTAGGATTTTGGTAATACCTCCTATGTCCACAGAATATGAAGCATCCTTGACGCTATTCTTGATGTTAGGCATATTGAATGTGCTTATTTTCTAGCCGCGCAATACGATAAATGAAACGTACGATCGACCCTTATCACGAACTGAACTCAACTAGCATACAACGAATGAACATAATGCGCCGAAGCGTTACAAGAAAGTTAAATGACATAGACGTCGTATTCTCTCCAGCGTAACGTGTTACGGATATGCTGGGCAACTGCAGAACCTAGATATTTTCAAGTTATATATGCATATTGTATGCATTATATATCTTATCGCTCCTATATCTCAATATTATATAAGTACAAGTTTTTGCAAATCATAGCATTATACTGGGGGCTACATGTGCAATTATCTTAAAAACAACATGATTACTATTGAGCCTATGAAGGTTGCCATTTTGAATATTTCTTTTATATTTTATTTCTTGTTTTATACTTAATGGACCTATGCGATTCCGGATAGAAAATGCTAGTTGAGTTTATGGAGTGAATACTGTATTCGTCAATTATGTTTTTTTTTTCACGTGGAGTTAGTAAATTTTATCATTTATGTTGGTAGTGTAAAAATATTGGAATCATTTGGAGATGTACGTGTGGAAATATCGGGATGTAATAAAATACAGTATTATGCATAAATAACATTTTACCAAAGTATTGTATATAGATTTCATAACAGTTCTTTACAGATATGATAAACGCAGTGATTAAAAAAACAGAGATGGAAATAATAAATTAGAAATTCATTCAGATATTTTCTAAACTATTTCGTACAACCATTTGTTGAGTTGGTTAATATCTACTGAAGAATCAGGATCTTTACAAAAAGCACTACATTCTGCAAAATCTACTCTCGAAGTAAGATGAGAGAATTCAAAATCTTTTCCTTGTTTCCCAAGGAATGAATTTGCTGAAGAAGCATCGGTAGCTTCCAACTGATTGTTCTTTGTCAGGCGCAATAGATTCATTTCTTTTTCAAGTAGAGTCTTGATAACTGTAGATCCTTTAGCCATTGTTTGGTCCTGCTTATTGCACAGAATCAATACTGGAATATTTCGCTGAATTGCAGAATCTGACAGCAAAGTATATAAAAGTCTGAAACAACACCCAGTTTCAATGTTATATTTCATTTTGATAGAATTTCTTTTGGTACTTATTTACTTACTCAGCCACATCTCTGATGTCTTTTTGGAACGTTACAGAATCAATGACATAAACAAGTCCTCTCGCAGATGATTTGTACTTGTCAAAAAATTTGTAACGTAAACGTTCGTGACCAGGAATATCAACTATACGTAAAGAGCTCTGCAAAATTACATAACACGTTTACTATTTTCAATACTGCTAAGAGACTTTATCGTTTTTAGCTTGATTTACATTTTCAATTATGATATCTCCTGTGTTCTCTTTGATGGAGGTATAGGTCTTAACATATTTAGACTGTAATAGTCTTGCAAATAGCAATGTTTTTCCAGCATCGGTGAGGCCAGTAAAAAGAACACTGCGACCTACAGACTTTCCCCTTCGCCATAATGCAAAAAGAACTGCAATACAACATTACACTCTAAAAATATATTAACAGCAGTAAATTGTGTGCAAAGACGAGTAAAGCTTATTAGTAACTCCTAAGAGAATAGTATAATTACCGAGTGTTAATATTATGGCAAATACAGCAGCAAGTATGCCCATTAACTGTGTATTCCCATTTGCTTCTATCAGTGGTTCCACGCGTTTTTCCATCTTTTCCAAATTCTATCTCACAGCTGCTGTCAATCTTCTCTTAAACACATGTGTTTTCAACCCTGCGATAGCTCGTCACAATTTTTCAAGATTCCATATACAAAGCGTGAAAATCCCTATAGCCTAATGCACGAACATAAAATGTAGAAATACTTTTCGTAACCATCAGCAGAGATGAGTGGGGAGATGCACAACGCTCCGGTTTCAGGCGATACCAAAATCATGGCGCTAAATCGTAGCGGCGAGTATGGAAGTAAGATTTTGTGATCATTACCTCCATCGACAATGCGTATCCCGTCGTAGCCGAGCTAAACGTGAAGCCGAATGTGTAGCTTGATGAGCAGAGGTTCTCCGCTACTTACCGCTGATTCCCAAAGCAACCCTTAGAACGAGATCGGGAACTATAGAACTTCTCAAGAACTATTGAAAAAGTCTATTGTTGAAACATTTTTTAACATTTTTAAGATATTGCGGTGCCAACTTCATACCCATGTAGCACCTCAATTTTTGGAAAATGTTTCATCAATAGGCTTTTTGAATAGTTCTCAAGGAGTTCTATAGTTCCTGATACGTTTTAACAATAGTTCTACCAGTCATAGTCCAAAAATCCTACTTCCGGACTCACCCTTTTACCGACTCTGCTGTGACAATATCAGACAACGTTATAAAAATAACATCTAGCGCCGCCTTCATTCGTCTTGTGCAGTTTTCTAGCCAATTTTCTCTTGATGATAATACACGACCATATCTAATTCTCATTGCAGCGACCGTGCTGTCACCTGCCAGTTGAAGCGGCTACTACTTATTTTTATACAGGACAAACTCTAGAGTCGTGTTGAGCTAGTAGAGAGTATCCGTAGCACCCAGGGTTCAGAGTAGCAGTAGGTTCCAGAGATATTAAATTCGTTAAGTTTAGTGTTACTATTATCGTAGTCTTACTATTGTCGTTATTGTTATTATTACGATCCAGTTTATTCGTTTTTAGTCAATGTTTTTTTAATTTCGCAACGTTTTAAAACGTTTATTAGGACAAAAAAGTATGTCCTTATAATCGATTCATATAACCTTTTTTTAGTCCATACTTAATCAGCTGTATTTTTTATTAGCTGCATTAAATAACCTGGATTTTCATATTTCCTAAAAGTATAATGGAAACAGACGTATTGAGTATTTTCAAATGCTTCAAATTGTGCGAAAACAATATAAATGTACAAAGCATTATTCTACGTGAAGATTGACATTTAAGAAGGTTCGACTGTCTCAATCTAGCCAACTCACTATTTTTATACGAAATATTGAAATAACTGTGAAAACAAGTTATGTAATACCAATCACAAGTACATCATGATGCAATGTATTATTTTGATCGGGCATTTGCTCCAAGTATTATTAAATCGATCTATTTTATGTAATAAAATCATCAACTACCCTATTTTGACAGGTGGTATGAAAATATATTGAAAGTGCAACCATACGTAATAAAAATGTATTTCAACTTTACTAAATATCGTAAAATATTTATTGGCAGTCAATGGATATTGTCAAACATTCCTTTGACGTGATGGATTTCGTAGATCGGAAATATAAACGGTTTATTCTAGTTTCGGATTTCTTTCTTAATGTTGCGGAAAGGTGTGGTTTTCCAGCTGTTAAAATATTTGCCGATATTTACATCGTAGAGTAAACATTTTTTTCTGTAATATACATTACATGGAAGGAGTCGAAAATTATTGAAGCATGATGTCAAGTATCATACGCCTGTGAAAAAATGTCACGATTTTAAATGCTCCTTATTATGAAAACTAGACAGATTAATAATTTCGCATGATTTCTTATAATTACGTACGTTCAATAACACATAGAAGTTTTAAACCTTTCTCTTATATTTCGATGAGCAGTCGACGAACTTCCATAACGACTTCCTTGCTGTTTCTCAAAAACGCATAAAACTGCATTTACACGTGGTACGAGAATCACGTGAATTCGTCAAAACGTTGATTATTATTCCCATTAACTCTGACTATATATGTATATCATCATTTAGATAAAAGCAACCTCTAACAATCATATTCCATGATTATTGTATCCATTAATAAATCTTCTTAGACGTCAAAATTAAATTGCCTCTTTCGTAGCCTTAACTTCAATTTCATTGATCTGTATATATTCTGTTTCTAACAGAGCCTTGAGAATTCCTGGAAATTTAATACAGTGCTAATAGCCTTACGCGTACACGTGCAAGCATTCAAAGACCTACAGTACCAAGGGTACTCTGGTAGGTATACATTGAAACAATATTAACAATGCAATAAGAATAATCGTAGCAGTTGTTATAACATTGAATAGCCTGCCATCTTTTAGAATTTACAATAAGCTCTCATTAACGTTCCACCAAAGACATTTGTGTGTCGCAGAATATCGAAGTTGAGTTACTGTATCTTCGTTGCCCAGACACGTTGAGCCTAAAGACTAACGATAATAATACAGTAGTAAAATGTGAATGGTACATAAGTACCAGAGTAAAATTCGTTCCCTCGACAAAAATGCTAGATACCGACTAAAGAATTCCATGATATAAATAGATTATATCTAATAATCCAAAAATAAATGCGATAACCACCAATCATTTGATAAACATTTTATTCAATCATTCGCAATAACTGTCTTATCTCTATTTTTCAGGAATTTCATGCCGAGGGAATTCACGACATACGCATCACCCGAAGTTGGCCCGTCTAGTTGATTTCTATCGCAGAACCAGTTTTGCGAATAATACTGTATATAATTGTTAGCTTATGACTATCTGCCAACAGATTGTGATCTGACTTGCGTCGCATCCCGATAGAGCTCTCATCGGTCTTAATCACGTCAAATCAACAAAGGCCAATAAGCGTTATGAAAAATATTCTCTCCAACGGACAGACGTGAGATGATCGACTACCAGCAGAGAGGCCGAACTCGATTAATAAGACCCGGGTAAATGCTTATTATTAGTAAATGTAAAAAGCCTCAGATATATAGAGAGTACAGCAGTATCAGCCATCCGAAAGTTAAGGTTAATGAATGATCTGATACAATGATGCTAAGCGTTGTAATACCAGTAATAAAATGTGTACAGGACGAGTACGAGGAAGATCCGAAGTGAGCGTGGAAGCGCGCGAATATCTTGTTCGCTGTGGGATAAAGGAATAAAAAAGGGGAATGGTGGCCGCCGGCGGTTCAGGAAAGCCAAGGAGGTTCTGAGCCCCGAGAACGTGGTATCCAGCGAGGTTGGTTAAGAGCGCAGGCGTGATATCGACCTGCAGCAGGTACCAGCTAAGTATGGAATCTGACGAAGAGGAGGTGGTTGGAGTATAGTAGTGTTGAGGAGGATTCGTATCACACGATCGCCATTAGGCGAGGTGAGTCGAGGCGAGGCGATTCGAGGGGCTTGAGGTATGATAGAGGACACAGAACAAGACGGGCGGGAAGGTAGGTTTTACGCGGCGTCTTGTGATCTCGACTTCAGTCTGGTACCGACTGCCGCCGTAAACGCAACGCTGTCAACATCGAGCGTCTTCGTCACGTCGTTGGTTCCTCCGGAGCCGTTAAATCCAGAGCGAATACCTCGAGGAGGCATTTCTTACGAAATACAGTTATTCCCCTAGCCGTCGCTACGGGTAGAAGGGCATCGCGAAAGCACCGAGTTATCAAGCTCGGAAATCAGGAACGCGCACATGGATTCCGGGGGGTATTTGCGATTCGCCGTAGGAGCTTAGAAACTTTTGGAGCTCTCGCACTGCCCGTCGGAAACGATGTGTCGGGCCTCTGATTATCGAAAAAGTCCCTAGACGAGGGATACCTCTTTTCGTTCGTCCCTGTATGCCTGTATATGAATATAAACAGGTAATTGGTTGTCCCGAGAAGAGAATTGAAAATTTATTCATCAACGTGCCAATTTCTTCTTTAATCGAATTCCTTATCGGTGATGGACAAAGATTAGGGATCCGCGTACAGTTTTTTTTTTCTTTTTGTATTCGACGCTACAACTGCTTGAGAGAAAATTAAGATCCGAGCTGCTCCAATGCGATAAACCTTTACGAATGATACGTTTCTCGGAGTGTGTCCCTACGGCGTACAGGAAGTTTCGACTACGCGAAGATTAATCGCCGATAGCCTTCTGGAAGATTTATGAAGAATGAAGTCCGAAAGCAACAACGGATACATCAGGACGTCGGTCGTCGTCGAAGAGGGCGATCTCTTGTCGGGAAGCAGGAGAGACGCTTCTTCGGGTACTCCGTTGCAGGTAACGTCTCCTTCTATTGCATCGTTTTGTTTTGTCGCTTGGTCAAAAGTATCTTCTGGATCTTAGGTAACTTACGGACCCAGGGGCAGCACCACGACCGTTCTTCATAATTCTGGAAACGCTAGGAACACCAGGGCTACATCGATCACTCGACGTCGGATACGAACGACCAACAGGCAGTGTCTACTTGGCGTACTTGCTTTTATTCTTCTAACGACGTGTCTCTTCACTCTTTTACTTCTTGGTTTGAATACATTCCGCCAATGCGACCAGGAAACACGTGAGTTTTCCCCGCCAAATTCAATTGGCACTTTTGAACCTTCTTGGCGCACCGAAAGCTACTCGAGTTCATGATTGCTCATTTTAGAAGCTACGCTTGTATATCGTAGCGTATTTTGCGTATCGCTACCTCAATGACGTACTGATTATAGAGATTAGAAATAACTTCGATTCAGAGACTCGCGCCGCCTAACAACTGATAAATTCAACAGGTACTCCATCTGTCGTAGTAAAACCCTTGACGATTACGTAACACTGATACGTAGTAGCGCAATACTTATGTCTTGTGCGATTATTAAAAAGATACTAAGAGCCATTTTATATTGTAAATTCTAGTAGTCGATTTTTAATAATTATTTTTTTATTATTCATATATTTGATTGAGCACTTGCTCCTGATACCCATTTTTAAGTAAGATCTATTTTTCAGTACCTTCTCATGCTCGGTAGTGTCTATAGATAATTCATTAAGTTTTTTTATTTTTAATTATACTTAATACCGTCAAGCTGGTTTGGTGTAAGGTTTTGATGAACTAGGTAACGAGAACACGGGACAAAGTTTGATGTCACTTGTCGCACCTGTCAAAACTATAGTTAAATGGAACATGTTGATATCAAGAATACAGACCTTTGTCAAAAGTTATATTTGTTACTTGCTATCAGTCGTCCGTAGACTGGGTTATAATTCTATAGTAACATTAGTACCAACGAAGTTGGGTTTTAATGTATGGAAAGATGTTAAAGGTGAAAGTCTCTTGAAATCAGGATCCACGTGGTCAACTAAAGTTTGAATTTACTATATGGGAACTTTCTGGCTCTTTCGTAAAAACTCGATTAAAATATCTACTGTTAACAATTGCTATTCTTTAATGCTGTTTTACTGTATCTTGTATTCTTTACAGATCCAAAGGTCTGCATGACGGAGGAATGCGTGAGAACAGGTGAAGCAGATTTTGAATTTAATAAACAAATGTTCCACTATAATTACACTGGGGGATCATAAGAAAAAAGTACAAGCGGCATACATTCAACTATAATAAGATTAAGGAAATTCATGCATCGAATGAATTGTTACTAAAAATATTAATTAGGGAATTCCTACGATTACGTACTTTTGACACGAAGCCTACTCGCATAAAGCAGGAAGTAAACGTTTGCCATAAGCATTATCTGCGATGAAAACGTCGGTCGATAGCCACGCTATAGATATTCCAAGTTCTGCTTCGTGAGTAAACTCTTAATTCTACCGATAAACTCGACCCAATTTCTCGGTTTACCATGAAATTATGGCAACCGCTCGAAATAAGAGGAGGCTCGGACACGATAGTCTCGTGACGGTAGATTGAAGCTCACGAGACTTAATTCAATCGAGAAACTCAATTTTATGAAGTACGTTAAATCCCACGAGATTCGCGTCACCTACCGTCAATCCCCCTCCATTTTTCCTCATTGGATTAGGCCTACGAAGATATTAAAGCGGGTATACCAGCGGGAGAGGGTTATTAGGGCTAATCACGAGGAGCTCGCTAAGAACGAAAATGTCTTTACGACTCGATTAAGTCTGCTATCGCTAAACGATAAGGACAGTGATTACTCGAAGAAATTGACTCGTCTGTTTAATATCAGCCGCCAGCCTCCTGTCAGCGATGGACCGTTCAGCGCCACCCTGTGCGGACTTCTTCCAATATGCCTGCGGCGCCTGGAATCGACTTCACGTAATCCCCGAAGACAAGAGTTCAATCAGCACTTTCGAGGTCCTCGCCGATCAGCTTCAGGTCATACTGAAGAGAGTCCTCGAGGAACCGCCCAACGAAGAGGACAACGATGCTACCTTGAAAGCCAAAATGTTCTACAAGTCCTGCATGGACATCCGTGGGTATAAGAAGAGCGCGAGTCGAGGTCGCAAGTGCAGCTCACTTCAACTTGCTGGACTCTTGCAGCTCAGATACGACAGATTGGTGACGGACCACTCAGAGACACCCTTAAGAAATTGGGAGGCTGGCCTGCCGTTGAGGGAGTACTTTGGAAGCCACCGTCTTATCCTATAGAGGTACTGCTGGGTCGTCTACGGGGAGAGTACAACGAGGGCGTTCTTCTCGAGCAATGGGTCGGACCGGATGATAAGAATTCCTCGACTAACATCCTCCAGGTGCGCCGGCAAAGTAAGACCTTAGTCAGTGACCCGAGGTTTCCTTCGCTTATCATCACTTATTTATTCTACTTGACATAGTATTAGCTTGTGGGATAAGATAATCACGTGGGTTGTTAATCCTTATGTACTTACAGCTGGACCAAATGCAGCTCGCTCTACCCAGTCGTGATTATTATCTGAAAACTAGTAGCGAGGCTGAATTAAGAGCTTATCATCGTTATATGACTAATGTTGCTGTACTACTTGGAGCTGACTCCCGCACAGCAGCACAGGAGTTCGAACACGTTATTCTACTGGAGAAAGAACTTGCGCACGTACGTTGACTTATTGTCTTTAATAGCAATACAAATCGAGGCCCATGTTCATCCTGTTGAAATGTAAATTCTAAGAGCGAGTAAAAAAAAATTTGATGTTTTTAAAAATAGTTCGAACAGTCGTGCTTTGCAGTGTGTTGCCTGTTTTCGTAGTGTCTGTTTTGAAAAATGATAATTTTTATATTTTTTTTATTTTCGTTTTTTTAGTTGCATTTTCTTCTCATGGTCGCATGCAGGCCCCTTGTGTGAGCAGTACACAGCTCTTGACCGTGGTTGTGATTAGTTTTTCTGTTGATCGGTGTAATTAGTATTTTTCAGTACCCCGACAAACCCAATTTTTTATATCCTCTTCGTCATATAGTAACTTGCAGTTCTTCCGGTCAAGAGCTTTTTGCATTTTCCAATAATCGATCTGACGTTATACATGGGTAAACAGGCAATGGAGTGGTTCGAATGGTTTCAGGCTTCTCTGCCAGAAGCTGATAGACACGACACATCCGCTATTTACAGGAAGTTGACGTTACGAGAGCTTCAGCAGGAAGTGCCGCAATTGAATTGGCAAATTTATCTTCAAGAATTTTTCAACGCCCCAATAACGGAAGACGAACCAGTCGTGGCTTACGCTATGCCTTACTTCATACAGATGGGTCGTATAGTCGATAAAGTAGATCGCCGGTAAATGACTAATTGTCATTGGAAATTGTTCAAAAATTAATTATTTACCTAACCATTGCTCACATACTGTATTGTACATCTTGATTGCAGAACTTTGCACAATTATGTACTCTGGCGATTGGTAATGTCCATAATGCCCCACATGATTGATGAGTACCAACAGAAACGGATAGAATTTCGCAAGATACTGTTGGGCATCTTGAGCGAACGAAATCGATGGTCGCAGTGTGTCGAGTGGACGAATAAAAAGCTCGGAATGGCGGTGGGGGCATTGTTTATACGCGATAACTTCAATCACGATAGTAAAGTAAGTGAGCTGTGTAATGATTGTACAAATGATTAATAATATATCACTCTAAGTAACTATCGTAAAATTAAGGAGACTGCTTTGGAAATGATTCATACCATTCGCGAAGCGTTTAATGAGCTTTTGGCTGAAAATCATTGGATGGACGACGAGACTAGGGCAGTTGCCAAAAGCAAAGCCGATTCGATGAACGAACGAATCGGGTACCCGGAATTTCTAAAGGATCCGGAAGAGTTATCCATGGAATACGTGATGGTGAGTGGAGAGACAGCGATGATCTCGTAGATTCAAAACTTATAAAAGTGATTGTCATTACTTATTCGTTGCAGTTGAACATCACTGAGAATCACTTTTTGGAAAATATCCTGGCCGTTCTGAAGTACGACGCTTATCATAATCTACAGAAATTACGACAACCAGTGGACAAAGATAAATGGTCAACCGAGCCGGCAGTGGTCAATGCTTTTTACAATCCCAACAAAAATGATATTGGTAATTGTCCATATCAAGCATTAGTTTGAAATACAAGGAACGATTCAATTTCTATTGATCGTTAAATCAATTACAGTTTTCCCAGCTGGCATCCTGCAGCCACTTTTTTACTCTCAACATTTTCCCAAGTCACTGAATTATGGAGGAATAGGCGTTGTGATCGGTCACGAGATTACTCATGGATTCGACGACAAGGGTCGTCAATTCGACAAAGATGGAAACATGATGCAATGGTGGAACAATGTGACCATCAGTGCTTTTCGCGAACGCGCCCAGTGCATAGTGGACCAATATTCGCGTTATAAACTACAAGAAGTTGACTTGTACGTCAACGGTAGAATGACCCAGGGTGAGAACATTGCAGACAACGGTGGACTCAAGCAATCGTTCAGGGTGAGTCAAATCTGGACCAAGATCTGATGCTGCCCCTAGTTCCTCTATGAACGTAAATACCTGACTTACCGTCAATTATCAATATCCTTTCAGGCATACAAAAAATGGGTATCGATACATGGCGAAGAACCACTGCTTCCTGGCGTTAATCTTACGCACGACCAACTTTTCTTTTTAAACTACGCACAGATCTGGTGCGGCTCGATGAGACCTGAGGATGCTCTGACAAAGATACGAAGTAGTGTCCATTCTCCGGGTCCTGTAAGAGTCCTGGGACCGCTTTCGAATAGCGAAGATTTTGCGCGCGCTTATAACTGCCCAACTGGATCACCTATGAACCCAACACACAAATGTAGCGTATGGTAGGTCATGTGTGAATTATGAAATGTATTTTAATGACGTATTTTATACATAGATAATTTTTAACGTGGATTCTCAACTGTATACAGCATTGAGGTTGCGTTTGTGCTTTTTCAGGTAATACCGTGGTAATCTAGTGAAATGGTAATTTTAATGAAACAAATTGAACGTGCTGAGCAACAGGGTAAGAAGTTGATGTGGTAAGGTGGGCATGTGAGGATCTTAATGAAAGGCTGTAAAATTAAGGATGGGGCCTTGCCACGTAATGGAGGAATGAATCCTCGCCAGTCAGCTGATGGACAATCCGTTAAAAATTAATCTTAATTGTCGTATTCATGTCACTTTGGTCGCACTGTCGTCAAAAGAACCGCGTTTCAGTATGTAAATAATATTGAATGGTTACGTGTAACCGGACGGGGGGGTATGGATTGAGAGACATTTTGCAAACGTCCTATTGTGACGTTCAAATTGATATTTTTATGAATCGTAGTTATCCGTAAGGGATCATTTTTAAAACTCGATTTTCTTCGATGACACGCCAAGTCAACCTATTATCGCCATTAAAAATACTCTCGCAAGAATTACATAGTTTTATTTAGTCTTATCATAGAAATTCTTTCTTCTTTTACTAATATCATTTCAACATTGGCTGTCAGAGGTTGGATAGAGCAACTGCCAGATTCTTACGTATTGGCAATACTTGTTCTTCCAAAAATTTTTATTTTCACCTTTTCTTGAAGATATACTTAAATTCACTATGCCAAGTCGTTTAATTAGTCATAATTAGTTGTGATAATTAACAGTGACAGTAATCAAATACAATTATCAAACATAAACGGCAAGCTTCTCACGCAGTGGTTAATCGCTAAAAGTTGATTCTTTGATTAAGAATCTCAGAATCAGATGCAGCGTCATTCTAAACTAGCTATTTTTTATATGATAATAAGAAAATACCTACATGCGTATTCGTTCTCGTGAAAAATTGCAAATCAATTGTAATCAGGGATGAAAACTGCACGCGTGGGGCGTTCCTTGAAAATTGTTTCGTAATCTTGAAAACAGATTTAAAAAAAAGGATAAAAATAGATATCCCCCTCCCAAATATTTTATCAAGTTTTAATCTAATTTTAATTACTCTCCCTCAAGATCATGTACCATACTGTTTCCACGAGTAAGCTGAATTGTTCACTGGATACACGATGTGCGTTTCCTCCTAAAAAATCAGATTTTAGCGAAAATCAAGGTAATCGAGGTACTGAATTGTTATCCCTTTTCCATAGCGCTCATTGGCTGTCGGTGTCGTCAACAGTTAGGCGCAAGTTCCACGTGAAGTTTCCGTTTCGGATGCAGAAGACTTGCGCCACAGTTCGTAGCATTGGCTCGACAGATCGGGGTTATGATCGGTTACCACTTTACTGTTGATCCAATAACCTTTTATTCCTCATCGCCCACTGTTATCATTACAATCACAACCAATAACCCCGATCTGTCCAATGCCACGAACTGTGGCGCACGTCACCTGCATCCGAAACGGAAACTCACGTAGAACTTCCGACTGGCCGTTGACGACACCGACAGCCAATGAACGCTTCGTAAAAGCTCAAACAATTCCGTATCTCGATTTCATGATATGATTTTTTTATAAGAGCAGAAGGATTATAACTCAGCAGCAAAAATATCCTTATTCATTAAAGATGAAGAAATGGATACCAAAGAGAAGAGTCAGCCCCCGATATCTTCAGATCCATTGCCTTCGGGTGCACCGGGTGTCTTTTTCTTGAAATAAAACGAAGCAAATGTATAAACAAAAATATATACGAATTAAGACACCAGAGTGAGGACGTAGGATCGCCGATTGATTAATGTAACAGCCAATCGATTAACAAGGAAGAGGACGAGAAATCGAATTGAATAAAGTAGCATGTATTTGTTGAAAGATTTACTCTAGTATTGGAACATATCATCCATACATAGCATGGTCCATGCCGATCTTGCGTTTTTATGTAAAAAAGGTGGAAATAAAAATAATATACAACAGACAGAGGGCTCGCTCACCTTGTGTACGCAGTACGAAAGAGTACTTTTCTCAGCACGCTGCGGCTACTTAATATCCATATAAAAAGGTAATTTAGTCGAAATTTGTACATATTGCACGGTCCAATAAGAATTAATTAATAATAACAAGTAAAATTAAATCGTATCCGATGATAAATCGTAACATGAGGAGAGTAACTTGGTCAACTATGCCACTTAAATACATGAAATTAAAAGTCATTAAAAATAACATTATTCATCATGCATAATCGTTATATTATTAATCGTAACGTAATAATACAGCTAGAGCAACTCCCTGCTCCTATACATTTTCATTCCATATCGTGTTGTGGTTTCGGTCTTATTTTTTACCCGTATTGAAGACTCGACCGGGCGCTGAGCCCTGGCAGATGATACATATCGTCGTCATCATCATCATCATCATCATCCCCAGAACACCTCGCGAGTTCATCATCAGTTCGACGCCACGTTCGAGTCTACAAACGAGCTGAGGTGCTTCCAAAGAGATTACTGAATATAAACATGACTACGTCTCCAATCATCATCATCATCGCCGACCTGGACAAGCCCTTCGCCATGATAATTCGCTCGGTTCCATACCGTCCTAGCCGTACACTGTCAATTTCTACATATAATCAATAACTATTTTACTTCATTAAATCCCCCCTGACCTTCTTACCGTCCAATATCCATCCCAGCCACCCCACGGCTGAAGAGACAAATTCACAGAACCGCTCAACGGAACTACACGCTACACCCTGATATCCATGTTTTTAAATCTGTTTTCTTTTTTCCCTTCCCATCATGAATTCTCCACCCGTCGCACATTTTGTAATTTATAACGTCTGTCGTTATTTTTTTTTTCCTTCTTTTTTTCGAAAATATATCAGGTCGTCACGACGGCGGAAATATCACTGGAGATCCGTTTGGAAAACCGTGAGCGTATAAAAGGATCACGACGGGCGACAATCGGCCGGCGCGTAAGAAAAATATCGTATGAATATAGGCTATGTAGAGTAAACACGTATAACTTATCGTTAGAGCTCTATAGATTACCATTACGATGTATAGGAACATTCTCTTTAGAAACACCTTCGTGTTCCAGCGGGATATAGGGAAATAGTTTAGTTATGTATTTTCCACTGAAGGATCATTCCGGCATTCTGGTATTATCGCTCTGAACGTGCGTCACGGTTCTTCTCTTAGGTAATATTGGGGGCCAGGTTCGGTAGGACGCCGGGCGCCACGATCGCCATGGCCAAGGATATCTACGTATCTTCTTCGAGTAGCTAACAATGGCGATCCAGTTATTAATTAAAAAGATTTTTATTTATTTTTCGGTAAGCGGTCGGTCTCTCTCTCTCTCTCTCTCTCTCTCTCTCTCTCTCTATCATTTTCCAATTTCCAACTGTCATCTCAATTACTTTTTACCACGCGATCCGTATGTATACAACATCAGCTTGACACATTCTCTATCTAGATTCATCTACCATTCCCTCATCGTCATCCCTCAACGTTAATTCAAATCTCATCGCTTTTCCATCGTCACGTCCATTTTCCCCACTTTTCTCTTTCGTTCCTACCATATATACATCCCGAGATAATTATTCCTCTCATTCTCCCAATCGCTCCTGTTAAATCGATTATTACTCGATACTCGTGTCTTATCACTGCTCTCGTTCCCGCTATCAAATTCGAGTTCCCCTACCTGAGATGAAGAAACGCACAAAAGAACCCCGCGGCGAAATTCGCCTCTTTTGAAATATCAGCAAAAATTTACAGAACGAGCATACACATCGACTTGGGTAAAGAAAATTAATAAAGAGACCAATTTTAAAAAATTCCGGCGCTATCACATTTGGCGTTGTCGATTTGAGAAAAAAAAAATAACAATAAGCGACAACCAATCGTCTCCTAGAATAAGAGAATAATTTTTCCAGACGTCTCTTTTTCGAACGTACCCTCGATACAATTCCTGCATACGTATTATTACACGATAGACAAATAGAGCACGTGCTCGCGACAATACAGAGAGTAGAAGTCGGGGCAGCCAACGAGAGCAGTGAAAAGTTTGCGTAGTGAATACATTACGCAAAAGGAGACGGTACTTGTTTATATATATATAATATTTTTTTTTGTCAAATTTTTCCTTTTTAAATCGTGCACCACGAGAATCTCTACTCTCAGTCAGTCTATGCCTCGCCTCGAGACTGTTCTCATATCATATCAAATGTCAAATACATTGCAGCTTCTTTTATCGCTTACTTAAAACCTTTAATACTCGTTAAAATTATTGTATATTATTTCAATTACTAATCGTTAGAATATAATATTGATGTACACACGCTCCTTCGCCCGTTACGTCCGCGTTACGTAACAGGACGAGTGCACAGCGCAGCTCTCTCTCTCGAAAGGAACCTAATTATAAAGAGTGTTTGTGTGTGCCTAGTGTATATAAAACGTTTCCGATAGAAATAATTTTACCAATTAGCGGGAGTAAACTCCCTTTTAAATGTACAACAATTCAGTCTAATATTCCAAAGCACCAATCGTAATTCCCGCCAACTTTTCCTTACTTCATTTTCATTTTGTCTCAACTACTCGTGCGTCACTTTTGTTCGTTTCCTTCAATCGTCTCCTTCAATTGTTTTCGTTTTTAAATAATTTTTTTCTCGCTCGCACTCACTCTCTCTCTCGCACTCTCACGCACAGACACACGCGTTATCTCTCTCTCTCTCTCTCTCGGTCACTGAACGCGAACAACGATATCCGAAATAATTAATTATCATCGTCTAACTATCTATTTATCCACAAGCTTCGCTCGCTCCTTTCTTATCATTTCGTAATTAGCGCTTATCTTGCTTGTCTTTTAATATTAATTTCGATTTAATACAAGTAATAATTACTAGAGACGAGACACACTTCTTAATTAAAACAAAAAAAAAGGCGCACGCTGTGCCGTGTGTGGTGTGTGTGTGTGTGTATTACTTTTAGTGTAATTGCATAATCGCGAGTGTAGGATTTTTTTTTTGTTACATAATAACGAGTGTAAAATCGAAAAGTGCAGACGCGACGACGGCAGGTGAGGAAGAAGTAGAATAATGGAAAAAACAAAAAAAAAATTCAAGTGAATTCCTATCGTAGAGATAATTGATTGGATTTCCCTTTTTTTTTTTTTTTTTTTTATGATTGCGGAATAATTGTCAACTACGGAACAGACAATCGATCGGACAGACAGACAGACAGAAACATATAAGAGACAAACAAACGACAGGCAGCCAAGAGAGAACAAGCAAACAGGCAAATGGACCGAAACACTCGGACAATTAGGGTTAGACAGATCCGCGAAGACGAATTGTAGTCGGAGAGAGTATTATAGTTTGAAAAACAGAGACTTGACTCTACACTGGCAGTATTATGAACAATGTCCCCGGCGCTGACGCCATTGAGCGCGGTTCAAGATGACGACAACACCTATTAGACAGCGAAACTCGACGTCAACAGTAACGCCCTTGGCAGTGATCGTAGAATCGCGATTTATTTTTTTTTTTTTTTTTTATATAATAATATTTTTGCTTCGATCATCCGTCTTTCTTTTAACTGAACGACACAAATGAACGCGTGATTCGAACTAATTAACGTTTTGTAAGGCTGCTAAAAATGTATTTTTCTATCTTCCTTAATTTTTGTCAAACCCCTCCCCCTCCCTCCCCCACCGCCCCACTTTTTCCAAATTTCTTATTCTCGTCTCAATTCCTCATGTATACACATGAGACGCTCGCTCCGTATTTCACGTAAAGTTGCGAGTAAGCGAAGAATGAATGCTACGTTACTGCTCCGCGCTGAGGTCTTATTTGAATTTATGCGAAAGAGACGAGATGTAGTAATATTGACAGCAGATCAACGAATCTCCGAGTCCGTGTTGCGAGATGAGACTAAACAGGCTAGCCTGCCGTCGACGATCCGCGACAATTCATGGAGATGCGTCCTGACGTTTAATTTTTCAATCTAAATCCAATTACAATGATCCGACCGTATCCGATTCTGAATTCATTAAATTTTGTTCTTTATCATATTTTTCTTTCTTTCCTTTCGTAAAGCCGTTTTCACGCGAATTGTACCTTCTTAAGGCGCGCTCGTGTGTTCTGTGTGTTACGTGGAAGTGTGGGACTGCGCACGCGCAAGAGAGATAAATGAATAGTCGTTTCGTGTTTAAGAAGGACGATGACGTGTCACGTGGTTTGAGACGCCTGGGATCACCGGGTTCGGCCATTCGAATAAACACTGATTGAGAGCTACGTGGGTTAAAGAGTAAAGTGTATGAATGCATTTCGTATGCGGAATAATATAATACGTACTATGTCGTTTTATGATTACGAGGACTTAATGCGAGCCACGTTTACTGGGTAGCCCTTCTTTATACAGGCACGAAAGAAAAGCCTAGGCAAATGGCGGTACGCGTTATTCGTTACACTCTCGTATTTATAATTGCTGAGTCCAGTAAACGTAGATTTACATGCACAGTACAGTTGTACTACAAGATGACTTTTATGTAGATCTAGAAGTACATGAGGTATGCTGCGGTGACTGTTGTAAAGATGGCGAAGGAGGTGACGGCGGTGGTGGTTAAATGGCGGTCGAGGTGATAGTGGTTCTGTGATGTTTTACAAATGTTTTCTTTTCTTTTCTTTTCTTTTTTTCTTTTTTTTCTTCTTCATCTATAGCGGTATCATGGTGTTCACGCGTTCACTCTGTGGTGTGGCAGTGTCTGCCTTGCGGCGTTACGTAGTTAGTTCTCCTTCTAATCCGGATTTGGACCCGCGACCGCCCCAGTGCCGCCACTTTCGGGCGCATTTTTAAGTCGGCCGTAATTGCCGCGCGACGGGGTTTTATATCGAACATTGCGAGATCCGCCTTTACTCGGGCGGCGTCGGGACGGCGGGGGCCGACAAAACAATGTAAAAGGACATGCCGCAATTACGTTTACCATTAATGACGATAAGTATACGAAACGATGCGATGATAGTCTTGGCGCAACGTTGGACGTCGGCCATTACAATTGTTAATGGTTTTTTTTTTTTCCCTCCTCGTTCGATCTCTATCCCGTGTCGTCTACGTGTATCCCCCGATTGCTCTTAATTAAACCCTCTTATTGCTCGCCCCTCACTTTCTTTACTTCATCTGCTTTCGTTGCTATTCCCACCCCCATTGCTTTCTCTGCCTCCTCCTCTGCTACTGTCGGCTCCTTTCCCCTTGTAATATTTTACTCTTCCATATCCGCTGATCCCTCACGCAACAATTCTCTCTCGCTCCCGGGATACGTCAGCTGAACAGCGGCGCCGTATGATTTTACACATTATGTTATACACGTTATGTGAATTATGACGTATTACTCGTTGGTACTTACTACGGAATACAGCTGCATACATCAGTTAATAGCATAGAGTTACAGTGTTACAACATCGAGAATCTTTTTTTTTTTTACCTTATATGACCTTGATTACAGACATCAACACGGTTCGATAATTCGGTATGGTTGCTGCGCTCTCGCTTCTTCAGCGATCGAGTTGACCTTTCTTTTTATGCTAAACTTATCGGATGAGCCCTCAAGCAGAACTCACGTGTTGTGTCCAGTCAAATACTTTCTCATCTTCGTTCATCCCGCTACTTTTTTTTATCTCCTTCCCTCCTGCTGTATCTTTGCCATTTTTATGTCACAGGCACACTCTTCCCCCCCCCCTCTCTCGCTCTCACTTCCCGCTGTTATTCGTTATCTCACTGCCTACCTGCCTGCCTTTAACTTCGTATCTGTCGTAGGTCACTTGCACTCTTCACTGTCAACGTAGCACTACTGCTACGACTGTTATGCCTTGATATATTAATAATTACAATTTGTGCTGAACCGATCCGTCTTTTTTTTTCACACCCCTATCCCAACCCTCCTATATCCATCCTAATCCTTTACCCTACCCACCCACCTCTTTTGCTCCTCCTTCTCCGCCTCCTTCTCCTAAGAATAATGTTATCTTATGAACTTTTCAAATTTATATTTTACGATTTTGTTGATTTTATTAAAAAATTAAAACGGACGGTTAAATTTCATGTTTTCGTTTGTCGGTGAGCCGATGTCCGCTGCTGAAGGCACAGGGCTTTGCACTTGACTCGGTCACCTAGCCTAGCTGACTGACTACAACCTACTACCTTCTAGCCTCGCTTACTTACATACTTACGTTTCTACATTCTACAACGATATTCTCTCTTCTTCCATACCTCTCGCTCTTAAATCCTCTCCTTTGAATTTCTCTTTCCCTCTTCCGCCCTATCCGGTCTATGTATTGTTCTCTGGTATACGTACTCTCACTCTATATATCTTTTCTATTCTCGATTATTCAAATTCACAATTTGCGCAGCGCCTCGATATATCTCGATCTTTCTCATTACTTCGCACGCTCGTATAAACAATGTACATACTAGCAATATATTATTATGCTATGTGTGTGATATAGACTCTATCGTATTATTATGTATATCAATATTCGCGCTCGTATCCTCTCAAACGCACTGCTCAACAGTGCTCATACGCAGTCCTAACCATCTGCTTGCATACGCTCTCTCTCTCTCGGTTCTTCTTCGGCTTCGTTTCGCGCATCCTTTCTTTACATCACCATATACTCTTTTCTTTCCCCTTGCTTTCGTACCCTCTGGTCTCGTCTCACAGTCACACTGTCTCGTTTTCCTTATGTACGCCTTACACATATACATTACATTTACATATCGATATCAGGGGTAGCCAAGGAGGAGATACAGTAATATAAGTATAGCTCCTTATAGTCTCTGTACTGTCTCTACGTATCACAGCCTGCGTGCCTCGCCACTGCTTTTCACGTAACCGATCATGCCGATCGCGTTTACGCCTTTTTATATTCCTTCCGTCCTTGCTGTCGGTCGTTATCGCTCGACGAGAAAAAGAAAGCCAACCCCAACGAAAGTGAGGGACTCGCCGTATGAGTCGTATTTTCGTTGGGGCAACGACAAGCGGAGGCAGTGGCATAGTGGTGCACTAGTATAAAAGTCACAAGCGCCGTGTGACACATACTTTAGCCGACGACAACTCGAAGCGGCGAAGGTAAACTAGGAGACCACGTCCCAGATCTCCGCGAGGAAGGGAGGCAGCTTCTTGTTCTTGAGTTTCAGGCTGAAGCACAACTCGCTGTTCTTTGTGCCCAGGGTGCGCAGCTCCGTCAGGACCGAGAGTAACTTCGCGAAGATCATACCCGATTTAGGCTTTCGTCGATTTTCCACGTAAGCTTTAAGGGCCTCGAGGTAGATCTCTTGGATCTTCTCCACTTTCCAGCCTTCCAGTAGATTCGGCCTCTCTGTTAAGAACAATACTTCAATTAATGACAATTTATCAATTTTTTTTCATAAAAGATCATTATGACCATCTCGTATTTTAAAGCTTGAAAATATTTATTCTTCAGACGACAGTTTCCTCGCTCCTGACTCGTTACTCGCGACGATCACAGAGAGAAGACGTAAAGAGAATGCAAGTTAAAACGTAATACCTGAGAATATGACGATGGCCGTCAGCAGAGCGTATTCGGCATTGTTAACCTTCATGGCGTACATCTGTCGACAGAACTGTAGAAGGTCCTCGATCGTCTCGCCCAAACCGGCTAGGCTATAGCTGTCGCGGGTATAAAGCTGATTATTCGCGAAGATGATACTGTCGGACTGCACGTCGTATTTACGTGCCATCCTGAACATCATGACCTCGCTCGAGCACGCCTTCAGCAGGGCAATCTGATCTTCCCTGAGGAGTTTATCGAAGCCCGGTAACCTTTTAGCGAACTCCACGATCAGCTGGACAGTTAGTATCGTGATCTCGGTGATGTGCCTAAACCTAAGGTCACTCGGCTCCTCTTCGTCATTCGGTTGATTCTAGAAGAATAATATCGGTTATGACGCTTTGCACCAATTAGAAAACCCTAATAAACCTACGGAATCACCGGTCTCATGCCGTGTACCAGCTGCAAGCTCATTCGCTAAACTTCTAATTCTACCATAATACTGAATCTTAGAGCCTCACCGTGATCCGTTGGAGATCCTCTTCACTGGGTTGCTCGTACTCATTCTGGAAGTAAACGAGCCTATGTATAAGCTCCTCCTGCTCAGGACTGACGAGTTTGACGCCGTTGTGGGAGGCCAGAGTCCCAGTGCCAGCTCCGCTACCACTGCTGCTTCCCGACATCGATAAGGATTCGGCTTCTGCAGGCTCCATTTTCACCCCCGTCTGATCCGCGGCCATTCCGGTCAAACCACCGGGTGACCCGTTCATCGTTGTACTGTTTGGTTTATCTTTCTCCTAAAAATAGACAAATAAATTAATACCACCATTATCCTCACTCTGATTCGTCTTTGACGACTCGGTCGTATCCGGCGTGGCAGATGGTTAATGAATATTATTTTTTCAAGTCTCAACTGCCATCTCCGGATTGATAAGAAAATTTTGTTTAAAGCGACGTCCTTACCCCTACCTTCTGGGCCTTCTTCTCTTTGCGTTTCACGGCACACTGGTATTCCGGTACCACGCACTCTGGTCGCATGCCCACCGTTAGACATTTCTTCAACCGGCACTCCTGGCACTTGCGACGCATGTACATGTCGATCTCGCAGTTGTTACCGTACTTGCACTGGTACACTGCGTTCTTGGTGATGCTTCTTCGAAAGAAGCCCTTACACCCTTCGCACGTCAGGGCGTTATAGTGGTAACCGGAGGCTCGGTCCCCGCACACCAGGCACAGTTCCTCCTGCTGCCGTGGCGTCGGGCCCTTTTTCTTCTTCGCATCGCAACTGTCTGCACTGTAGCCGTTTAACGAGCTTGGCGGTGACAGATCGTCCCTTCCTGAAACAATTACAAATATTATATAGTTAAGCGTTGTACGGGTATTGTCGAAAACAAAATTTTAGAAAAATTCATTTTGCACGTATACCTGCTTCGAAGTAATATACTTCTTAATAAAATGGTCAATATTCATGGGGGACAGGATGTTCACTTTAATTTCATTGTAAATTGGGTTATGCTGACGTATATATCTTTTTTATTGATTATATGTAAATTAGAACTGTTTTTCATTCATGTTAGTGGGAACTCCTCGGTAATATTCGGTTTCATTTCGGTATATGTCTCTGCACCTAAATCTGGTAATTGCCACCAAGAATGACAGCGACTGTGACAGTGGCGGCACTTTCGTGATTCTCCATTAACCCTTTTATCCGTTAAACTCCTAGAGTAGAACGTGTGGAGCAGTCATGGTCGGTGAAAGTACATGGTGTATCGAGGGCCAAGTGGAGCGTGTGTCGGAGAACAGTGTTTCTCAATCGCCGTTGCTCATGTCAATGGTAATTTTGTAGGTTGACACGTATACAATTTTTTTTCTTCTACAGCATAGAAAGTTGAATTCAACTTTTGAAGGATTTAAAAAAAAATCAACTAGACGTTCGAAAATCGTAAATTAAAAAAAAAAATATATCACGCAACTCATAATTGGTTCGTCACAGAAAAACTTTGCTTCCTCGCAGGCAAAAAATAGAAATAAACCCATGCTTTGTTCTGCAATTACATTTTTCTTCCTCGTGACGTATATGTATATATAACCCAAATAAAAGCAAAAGAAAATATTTCTGGCGAACATGAAAATTTTCGAGATAGCGTTCCGCGCACGAAAGCATTTCTTTGGAGAAAGTGCCGAAAAACCGTGGGCACGCAGCCACTCCGCTAGGTATCTCGAAATAAACAAGAGTAACGAAAGTAAGCCGAAGCGAATTTCTTTCCAACTAAGATAACGAAGAACTGTAACATTCGGTAAAGTGTCAATCGTATGGAGAGATAGATAAATAATATCGTTTTCGACTAATCCAATTACCCATCGAGAGGATCGATCGACCAGGATCGATTCGGGTATGCCAAAGCTAAGAAATACGCCAATAGCACAATTCCAGTATCTCGAGTACCACGGATGAAGTAAAGCATAAACAAAATAAAAATTAAAGCAAAGAAAACCAGTGACTATACCAATTCGAGTCACGGAATTAGAAACGAGAATATGAAGGAAAAAACCTGAAACACGTTCCCTGCAAATGGCTGCCGGTAGAAGAGGATCATCAATAAGAAAGAGAAGACGCACAGCCGAAGCGAGACAGGAGACGTGAAACGGCAGTAGCGAAAGGCTCGATGCAAGACGCAGTGTAATAACCGAGTGACCACCTAGCCCGGTCAGTGTCTCAGTGTTCCAGGATAAATGTTTTCGCAACGTGTAGTAGCTCCCGGTGATTCGGTGCAAGAAACGACAAGACTTACGAGGCTTAAGGTGAGTCGCGGACAGCGCAGGTTTCCTTGTTGGTTAGTAGCGTGAAGCCGGAGCACTGAGCGGCCTTGACTCTGGCGCGTATCTCCATCTTTCTCGTTCCTTCTTACCTAACCGCGAGCCACGCGGACTCTCTCGAGTTGCGAGACGAAGAGGAGAAGGTAAAACAGGCCAGCGAGCCAGGGAGTCAGCGTACGGGACACTGTTCGACAATCACGAGGCACCTTAACGCGCAGCGCCATGCGCTACTGCAGCGCCGCGGACGTCAAAATTCCGAACTATTAGATCGAGACTTCAATTTCCCGCTCGTGTGTCGCGTATCGCACCGATAGAGAGAGTTCAACGCTGCCGGCACAGGAGGCAAGCGTCGCGACGTCCTACTCAGTTAATTTGCGATTCTCCACCAGCCATTGAAATCTCTCGAGCATCCCAGAGATGCGTCACTACTCTCGCGAGCTACGTGGCTTCCGTCAATACGAATAGTTGGCCAGTGGAGCACAGGCTGATATTCGCTCCCTCACGATTTACCGAGACCCTATTCAGACGTCGAGACGCCTTCAAAAAAGTTATTTAACCATGAGACACCACGAGTCACTCGTATAATTTCTAGTTTCTCAGATACATAACAAACGAGCAAGCTGTACGAGGCGTCGGCAGGCATCGAATGTTGAATTACAATTTTTTCCACCCAGCTGAGAAAACGTGTCCGTGCATCGAGACACGGGATGATTGCGTCAGCCATGATACGCCATGAGTTTTATATTCAGCGACGCTACGATCGTTCTGACCTTAGATCAGACTCAAACAAGGGAAAAAGAGCTTGTTGCTTCGCGTGATCGTAATTACAAGGAATTTTACCACCGTACAGACGACCCTGACCCTAATGTGACGACGGGGTCAAGATCCGATCTCCTTCGTTACCGTCATCGCGGTGTTTACCTCATCGCGTATATCCATATACCACGTCGAGCGATACTTGCGGTCCACCCTGGTTAAAAAAAATCGACGACAACAGTAATTCACTCTAGTAAAGCACACGGGAGGAATCTATAACGCGATTATCCGCGTGGCTACGAACATAACCTATACTAGATGCCTCGTCCCATACGTAATCCCGTACGAGCGTGACGTTCTACCCAGAATTCCCGTTCCCTACATATAGCATTCCCAAAGAGTCGGGGAGTCATAGTCAGATGGCTTTCGAAGGGATATAAGAATTATTGTACGTTAAATCCGAATGGCACAAAGTTGTAAGAAGTAACCGATCGCAGCGCCGCTCTGGTAAAAGTGCGAAGCAGCCCGAGATGTTGTTATTCCATTCCTACATTAGTCTCGGCCCTCTACCCACGGTACACGGCTGCCGGAGAGTTGCGCAAGAAAATGACCAGTCAGCCCTGGCCTTGCCCGCCAGCGCGCAACGCTGCTAACGTACCCGCATACGGAGAATGGCGTGCCTTCACTTCGCTTTATCCCACTAACATCATCCACCATCCTCATGGCATTGCAAGACACTACAGAGCACGGTGTCTCACTTGACTTCGCTTCGCCTCGTATATCTACGTCCCACTCGTTTGCAGGCTTGCGCTCTCCTCTTTCTCGCTCGCCATCTTCCTCCTACGTCGACCGTGCACTTATCTCTCTCGTTCGACCGAGAGTCGCTCGATCGCTTGAAAGTCCGTTCTACATTACGAGCCGGGACGAATGATTCACATTCGGGACACGAGAGCACGAGCAAAAGCGAAATCGAAGTTATCGGTATGTCGACGTAGAATGTGAATGCGCGATCGATCGACCAAGACTGGCTATTAATATTTGATTACGGATAACTGATGTAATCGCTCTCGCCGTTGATAAAATAAATCATTGATAACAAGTGCAATGGATTTTTGTGTTTGCTCGTCGGAAGTGGAAATTTCTTTGAAAAAATATTCACGGTGCAACCGTGCTCGGCGAGACTGTCCTTTTTATTGGGATTATCGAGTGTGATATACACGGTGGTCCTAAAGTAACTACATAATTAATTTTTTATTTTTTTCAATCAAATATTACCCGACTCTCCGCAACCAGCGTCTCTTGATTCTCCTACAAGAAATTTTTAGTTTTATACTAAATATATTTTCAAATTTAAATTGCATCGTACTGACAGATATGAATTTCGGAATGTCGTCTAAAGTGTGACTGTGGTCCATTTGATAAATATATGCACAGCTAGTGCTGTGGCTTTGAACGATAAACACGTGTTCTATATACTTTGGTGGGTTTTAACCCTGGTAAAAATAAATTTTACATTGTAACGCATAAAAAACTGAGATATTCGCTTATCTTTAGGCGACACTCAAATACAGAGTGACGATGCGCGAAACGGATCGTTAGATTTTACATCGATTCAGCGTCGTACGCGCCTGAAACGCGTTTCTCCCTCAACATAACGAAGATCCAGGTGTCTTGGACAGGAGGTTCGCTTTGAAATGCAACGAAGAAAGAAAAAATTATTTTTTCTACATACAGCAAACCTAACACCCTTTATGTTATTACCTTATTATATCTCCCGCCGGATGCTTTCGCTACTGAAAGTTACTACGAAGCTACTTTGTATCAATGCAGACTCCTTTGAAAGGAGTTCGTAATGGCTGCATATTTTTCAAGGATCGTTCGAATGTAACAGGTACATCAAAGGTAAATCCCTGCCAGTAGGCATCTTTGTAAAATGCCTTGGAAAACTTTTCTGAGATTGATCTGCCGGGGAAAAAAAAAAAAACTTGTATGAGACCAAAAATAATAAAACAGCTTCCAGCGACTCATATGAACTTTTAGACAAGATTTCGAAACTCTGTATAATATCGGTTGTAATGATTTGCACGTTATCCTTAAGCATGACACGTGTTTAACTGACGAAAATCGACTCGTTATATACATATACATATATACATATATTGATATTAAATATTCAAGTATTCGTCTATTCGCTGTGTTTCGCTAACTCACGAGCGATTTCATCGGTGCAGAAACGACGCGTTTCTTGAGTCATTCGGCAAGGAAGCGTTTGCGGCTGATTTACACGAAGAGAAACTATTGGAAGTCACGCACGTGACACGTAGTCGCCGACAATGACCTACTTTGGGACTCTTTTCTCGTAAAATAATTACCAGTCGAAAATTGCCTTTAACTCGCGAATCGATTTTCGTTTCCTTCGACCAGGAGGAGGTTGGGTTGAAAGGAACGTACGACCCTTGATCGACGTAAGTCCAGAGGTTAAGTAAGCGATGAAAAAAAAAATGATATATACATATACAAGCATAAAATTTAAAATTCAAAAAAAAAAAAAAAACTTACATTTGACCTGAGATAATTAATTTCGCTAAACGATCGGTCCTTCGTAAAACTTCGAATCGTCCCATGCGTCCGTTATGGCTGTCAACGCCAGTGGAATCGACTGGAATTCTCGCGAGTGAGAGTGACCTACTGACCTCAGCTTGACTGCGCGTCGAAAACCCAACCACGCGTGAGAGAGAGACAGAGCGAGGCCTATGGGAGAGGAAACATTCGCTAGTAGCCATGGCAACGACGACACTGCCAATTTCACAGAGAGCAGTGGCGAGAGCCTTGTTGTCAAAACTTATACACAGCCGCGGCGGCAAGAAGTTGGAACTTGGTATAGCCGAGGGTTTATCTAACGGTCTTATATCCGGTGTCCTAATAATTCGAAAGTCCAAAGTGACGAAGAAGAATTACCGCACAGTCACTATCGCAAAGTCAATAGCACGCGAGACCCTTTAATCAGCGACACCCCGATCGTTCGTAGCGAAGATTGAAGATAACGGGTATGTTACTGTTGAATAAAAAAAAAAAAAAAATAAAAAATAAACAAGCGATCTTTATCTCGTGCACTTAAAAAATTATCATTTCGAATAACAACCGCTTGTTGTCTTCGTCGATCGTTCGCATTCCTCCGTTTCGTTTTCGTCCGATCGCCTCTTCCTTGCTTTGACTGATTTGAAAAATCGGCAACTTCGGACCTGTTACCGATTGCAAGTAAACGGTCCCGGGTCTTCTGTGCACGGCGAGACCTTGAACGACAGGGACCCGGGAGACGGTTCAATCAACTCCTGTTAAGAGCGCTGCGCATATTGCGCCAAGGCCTGGCTGACGCATCGGAGCTGCCTATCGCGAGAAATGCAGCGAACGAACGACGCAAAGATGCATCGGGCGTAACTCATTTTTTATAAGACAGTGGAATTTCACAGTGTTATATATATATATATATATATATATATATATATATATATATATATATATATAAACACACCCTGCCGAATTCCCTTTCGTCGTCAGACGGCGTAACGAAGAAGCAACGACATTGCGCGAGTTAGGGAGAGAAAGGTGTCGACTTTTTTAAATCGCTCGACCGCAACTGCAGTTATTTACATTCGTTAACCCCGGGGAAAAAGGTTACGTAAGTATCAAGTTTCTAATTTTCATTTTAATGATCGATCGGTATATAAAATTATAGACTCTAACGGCAATATAATTAATTTACGATTCTTGCACATGCAATATTTACATTATCAGTGATTATTACTGTATCGGCTTTGTAAGTGGATTTTGATATAGCACATGACAAAATTTAATCACAGTCTTACGTAAGCACATATTCGAAGAACCACTTTCTTGTGGATACGAATTTCGAAAAGGTAAGAGGGTCCAGTTAGAAACTGATATTGAGTAATTATTTCTTGGATTTCGAGGAGGCAAGAATATCCGCGAGGCTTCCTTTCTGGACGTCCCAACGATTGATGTTGCAACGTTACATTTTTTTTAAAATTTAATAACATTTGGCCATTCCTCGAAAGTAAAATGTTCCTAGAAATTTATTTGTCCAGCATTAAATAATTCACTAGCTGAAAGAATCGGTCAAAATAGTTTCTCTATTCTTATCGGAGTCTCATTCGTCTTTTATCGCGGCTGGGCAATATTTACGTTGTATACTCCCCGACCAATAAAGATTTCACGTAATACTTCCTCTCGCGAATATCAATCTAATTGGCCTTGAAACTTTAACCTTCCAAAATAACAATATTCGCCAATTTATTCCAAGAAACACCAATGTAACTCGAGCTCCCGAATAATCATCTCGCATAGGCTTAATCGGGCAAAGGATAAGGCCCATCGTAGCTAACTCGAACATCACATATAATTGAACGTCTATAGAACGTGAACATACCTAATCGTAAGATCCCTATAATATCCTTGTACCGAATTTTCAAACCATACTCAAAGACCAATCCGAGCTCAAATTTGCCGAATCAACATCGCCCTTGTCGCGATACACGATAATAACAGCACCAGGATTGTGTAACTCGGATACCAACACAAAATTCTTATTGCACGATTTTGTTTCGGTATAGAGGAAAAAAAAAAAAATTAAAAAATAAAGCTCAATCGGCTGTTTTAAAAATATGCTCAGATTGGCAAGAGCTCGTTGAAATCGACGAATTCTCATAGCGCAGTTGTCGACTACGCAATTCATTTATATTCGCGAGGTTCCTTATGCATCATGTGGGTCGACGAAATACGAAAAGAAATAAAGTCAACGAGGCCGTTAACGCTTCCAGTTGCTAGAGATTAACATAAACCGCATAAAACCGTAGAGGTGTACGAACGCTGGATAAGAACACCCGCCTCTTATTTCACGAGCGTCCAAGAGATAGTCGATCTTTCGACGAAGAGGAATAAAAATGATTTGGCTCTCAAGAGCAGAGCGTCGATCCGATCGTTCGATTGCGACCAAGGTCGGTCCCGTCCGAGTTACTGCGAACGTTGATGCGCGTACAGAACAAAAAAAAAAAAGAGTATAACTAGCCAACCAGAAGATCCCCCGGCGTAGTCAGACATTTTAGTAGTCGTGTGAAACGATAAACGACCTTTAAAGGTGGGCGACCCGCTCGCAGCTGACATTCACTCGGTTCTTCGCGTTAAATGTCAGTAAGAACGGAAACGGAGAATTTTCGTTGTTGCCAAAAAATTAACGAGCGCAATATCGACGAAAGTTACGTAGTTACGTAGCGAGTGCCGTCGGTCGTAATTGATTTTTGAAATTTCGTCAAATTAATTTTAATACTTATAATTGCACCGTTCACTTTGTTATCATTCACATGGAATACCTTCTATGATGATGGGACACGGCGAGGTGGGATCTGCAGTAGAAAGTACAGTAGGATTGGCAGTGCTTGTCGTGGTTGTAGCTGCTGTGACGGTGTTAATGGCGGTCGTAACCACAGAGCTGACGACGCCAGTTTGGTTAACGTTGGCATTGGATTGCAGTCCGCGATGCAGATCCAAATCCCACAGCTGAAGGTCCTCGGTGCGTAGAGAATTTTCAGGTGCGGACGAATGAAAATGTGGCGGCGGCGAGAGGACGCCGCTGCTCGAAACTTCTGGACTTGATTCCTGTAACCTGCCGATCCTACCGCCCCAGCGGCGCTTCACTCCCGCCATGGGAACCCTCGGCACAGTCTGTAGCATTTCACCCCGTTCTACCTTGGTACCTTGCCGATTTCTCGAATCCACGATATATCGCCTTGATTAACCTTGTTTATCGTTCGCGGGATCCGACGAGACTTAAAAAAGGTCCGACAGTCGTGCGGATCGACGTTAAGAATGTTTCTTCGAACAATTTGTATGCAGGGATATATGCGCGTGTGTAAACACGTTTTACCCTTGAATTTATTTCAAGTACAGGTAATGATAACGCAGTCGATTGACACTGCGCGATATAGAAAGTCTTTCGAGATTGAGATTGTTCCTTAATGCCTTTTTGAATCCAACGTATCGTCGATGCATCGGTGCTGGCTTCGAGATCATGAAGATCACAGAAATGTCTCGAGTATCGAACTTCGGTGTGGCAGGAAGTTTTAATTATCCTCTATGTAAAAACAAGGAATGCACTATTCTCCAAAGTACAGTCTCGAGCGAGTCGAGTTTAGAAACAGTCGGGACTTGATGCACGTACGAGAGACAGCACGTGTTTCCGAGATACAAGGAGTTCTTTGACGCGAACGAACAAAAGAAACAACACGCACTAGCTAGGATTCACTGTCAAGAATTTTTACGAGGGTATCCGTGATCGTCCTGGTGCATCTTCGTCGAGTGTAACAGACACGAGCACCCTGGGCCGTCGCAATGAAATACGAAAACGTCAAATATACCGAAAGATTCGCGTACCCGGTAGAAACCAGGTTAGGATCGCACAAAAGGGAACGTCCACAGTGATTGTTAACCGGCAGCAGCACCGTGGGAGGTATGGAGGTTCATGGTTTCAACGTGATAGATCCCGGTAGTTGTGCTGGCATAAGAATTGCGTGTAGATCGGAGATGTGTAAATCCAGGTCAGACGAAACACGTAGCCGGAGAGCCAGGGTTTCGTTATCAGTCAGAGTGTTCCACTTTCGGCATCGAGCGAGTTGGCATTATCGTACGCGAAGATTAACGTCGTTCAGTTGTTGGTATTGCCAAACGTATGAGATTTAGGTCAGCGTCTAAATATGTGTCGCGGAAGAAATGGTATTAGACAGAGACTACGCGTACAGTAAAACACGCACTCACGCACTAGCATCGGTTGTTTTGATTGACGCACATTTATTCACAGACTGCCGAGCGCACTGGGTCACGACCACATAAATATATATATGTACTAAAGCAATGCTATACACGTTCGCAAGAAAAGCAACGTCACTCGGAAAGCACGAGCAGCGACGCGGTGTGCGCGCCGACTGATTTTAAAAAGCGAACGTTCTCAGTGTCATATATCCGCGAGCCGTTTGGGATGACAGAGAGCGAGCGGTTGCGATTATGATGCGCAGTACGGGATGCGCGGCGCACGATCCTATCGCAACGACGGTCTGTCACGGACTGAGCCTCCGCGCGCCGGCACGAGGAACTCCTCGGCAGAGGCATCGAAAGCTGCGCTCAGACTTTCACTGTCAGCGCGCACCCTGGTCGCTAGTAACAACCAGGCCGCCTCGTCCTAGGTACGATCACATCCAATCCAATCCGTTCCACCGTTAACGTAAGTTCTAGTGGTTTTAGAGTAGAGACCCACTTGGGACATACGTGAAGACGTTACACCACCACTAACGGTATTCTTCGCTGTAGGATTATCGGTCGAGGGCAGCTCTTAGTCACTGTCATGACCTTTGACATCTATCGTATTCTTGACATTTTATCGTTGTTACCTATAGCGTACCCTTTCATCGTCATCTCAACTTTGACACGGATCAACCCCGTTTTCTCTCTTCTAACGTCTCTTTCTGCTCCTATCGTTGTTTAACCTTCTCGTGTCAGGCCGATAGGAAACTCCGTGACTTTCCACGTATCCACTTGTTTTTCTCGAGTCTCCGACACGCAGAGACCGGATCGCAATGGCGCGTTCCTAAAAGGATCGATTGGGCCGCCTGCACACAAGCAACAGTTCCACAAGCGACGAGACCCAGATTCGCTTAATGCTGCCGGCGAGGGAGGAAAATCGAGATGCAGGCCAGTGGTGGTTCGTGTGGTGGTGGGGCGGCAGCAGCCAGCACCACCACCCACCACCAGCAGTACTCAGGATGTTCTAGACTTCTAGTGGGGGTAGCCATCCTGGCATGACGTCATCCACCTGTTACACCCTATACAAGCACCGGACGAGAGTGTGCCCTGCTGTGTATGTGGCCTCGTATAGGATCCAGAGGGTGCTTGGGTGTTGGGGGGGTTGCTTTTGCAGAGGCTGGGTCACGGCCAGGAAAACGGGGCCAGCAGGCAGATAGATGGCGGTTTCCTACATAGTTTTATATATACATATATATCTGGCTGTTCAGCTAAGGTAGATGTTCAGCTTCATCCTAGCCGTGCAACCGAATCTCGCCAGCCCGGGTGTCCTGCATTCTTCCCCCTTCCTCGTCCTCCTTTCTAACCCTCTCTTTGTCCTTGTCCCCCTTTTGTCCACTTTTTTTTTGCAAAGTACCGAAAAGGAATGAACCGTAGCAGATAGAAAGAGAGAAAAAAACAAATTTTGTTCATCATCAAATTTGTCTGGTAAACTGACTGAATTTCGTTGGTGAGAACAACTTTGTAGGTTATGTACGACGGGAAACTGTTTTTGTGTATATTTATATACACTCTGGTTATGCAGGATGAAAGAACAGCCAGCGATTGCGTAACAAAGGGCGTCCGAGTGTCAAGAGCGGGAAGCTCGCGGGATATACTTAGAAGACTCATTAGTTATATTATCAATGACTAATGAGTGAATCGCCAAGGTCTGTCAGTCAGTGAGGTACAGTGTCTGCACTGATTTGCAATACTGGACTAGGAGGAGTAATAAATTTCTGAGAAATCACTGAATCCGACACAGACTCCTGCATAATATTCTACCATATGCCAAGTAAAGCTTAGTCAGTGAGTCAGACGAAAAGATGATCCATTCCGGTGCCATTGGACAATGAAAAAATAATAATGTTCCAATACACGCAACTCTGCCAAAGCGTCAACCAGTTTGAGCCCGAGTGCTCCGGCAGGAAATACAAACTGTGGCCGAGACGCTGAGAATCACGAGGGGCAGGTGCCGGAGTTCGGGAGTAGAAAAGGGAAAGAAGGTAAAAGTATAGTAAAGGGGAAAAAAAAAAAGAATAACTGACGGAACTGACCCTCCCTTAACGAGGCCAGTCTGCCGAAATAATGCGTAAGGATTTAAATTCCAGCAAACACGATACTCAGGAAGGCCCCGGCAGGCCAAGCCATACCAGAGCCTGGAATGGGCTTGCCGGGCCGATCGGGAACGAGGGAGAGCCGTGAACTTGAACCTGAAACATGGGCGGGTCTGACTTGGACCTCTGGTGGGCCTTACGATGAGTCAGGTGTGCAGTAGCGAGTCAAGGTGCGTCAATGGTTAACCGATGGCGTACCTAGACCTTCCTCCCATAACCATCCCGATACCTTTTTCTAACCTATCTCCGTCCTCGCTTCTGACCCAACCTAACCTCGCCATCACAATCTTCATCCCTTCCTACGTTGCACCGGTCAGGTCGATTGGTATAGGAAAGACAGCTGCCATCCCTGGAGTCTTTAGGTACAGCCTTGTTCTGGACCTATGAGCCAGACATGTCAAGGTGATCTTTACTTCGAGAAGCTTCTAGAACATTCCACTGTCCTACGGTTGCGTACCGAAACTAACCTATTTCCTTTATCACTCCTAAGCACATGTGTATTAACAATTTTTTCCCCTCGATATTCAGCCGTCATTACCCGCTAAACAATATCTAGAACCGCGCATTGTCTAACAAATCGTACGCAATCGCTCGGATACTTTCAAGGCTGCAATGTATAATGTCCATTGATTTTGAGCTCGCTCGACCATGCACACGACAATGGATAAAGAAGACCGAACGTCAGAGCAAACTCGTTCCCTCGAGGAGAAAAAGTGTAACTTCACCAGTGCACATAACTACACCGCGAGGTAGAAGTCGGTAATTAATTCGAAGGACGATCTTGTATCTCTCTCGCAATCTCATGGGCGTTCTCCCACGGTATTTGAAAAGAAAATTATTTTTTTCCCAAGCTGCCTTTCGTCTCAATGAGAAATTCATAGTAACGAAACACGCGATACTGCCGGCCAACAAATGTTATATAAATTTACGTTAAATCATTCTGAAGTTAATGGCTAGGTTCACGGTCGCCTAATTGACTCTCTGTCTTACGACGTTCCTTCAACTTCCTCGCGTGTTGTTACTCCCTGAGATAACGCTAAAACCTTTCTAGTCTCTTGCCTGTGCCATATAACACGTGCGTGTACCTCGGGTTATTCTCGATAATGTAGCTAACTGGTATGAGAGTCCGAGGTTTTCCTTCGGTGCGTTATACGTAGTACGTACATACGTCACCACGCTCGGTAAAGCGTTCTGTTGCCCGTCGGTGCTTCAGATCTACGTGGTGGTGCGGCGTTGCGCATTTGTTACTGGTACCCGTGAAGTGGCCGGACATGATTACAGAGTCGCGTGAAGCTTCGCTGAACACTGCGAGGCCTCCGCCACGCATCAAGGCCTCCCTATTCCTTTGCCAGTTACACGCGCTACGTTCGAGTTACACGTTTGCCTACCACCACTCGATTCTATTGCGAGGGCAGCTTATTCCACTTCCGATATAGATATAGGAGGTTCCAATGGTAAGAAATGGTGGTTGAATATTGGACGACTAAGAGATCAATGGTAATATTGAGTAAATGCGAAAAAAATATATCCATCCTTACGTGCATTGCGCTTTCAGTATTTTACTCGAGGCAAGTTTATGGTATCGCCAAGGGTAGATAATATTCTGGGGACAAACAGTCTTTAATGATACTTGAGACGCGGAGGCGTTTGAGAATTATGAATTAATTTGATGAAATTTTCTTTTCTGTTTTTTTTTTTTTTTCTTATTTGCTCCACTTTTTTTATAGTTGCTTTATGGGCGAGTATCGCTATCGTTACCGTGCTTTTCATTTATTCTTAGTCTCTATATAGTTTTACGGTTAGGTTTTGCTTTTTGAGTTTACTAATAAAAACCGAAACCATAAAATACTCTCAGTTTATTGACGGCTGTTTGTGAAACCCTTTGTGGAATTGATCCACTTTTGTTCTCTTTCCTCTTAATTGAGATACATCGCATTCACAATTGCACGACGTACCCATCCTTATCTACCCATACGCGTAACGCTTGCTGGATTATGAGACTGTCGCGATGAGCAGCTGGGGCGAGTCTTATCGGTATTGATTCTTGGAGGAACTGCAGTGTTTAATATGAAATGGAATAAATTAATTTGAATTTTTCATATTTTCTTTTTTTTATCCAGTCATATATTTTTGGACGATGATACATTTTTGGATGAAAACACGGCATCTGATGAAATACCATGAATATATACGGTATACTAAATTTAATTAAAAATAGTTATTGTACTATTTACGATTTTGATAAATTTTAACAAGTTGAGTATACAGACTGAGAAGATTTTCGAAATTTATATTTCATTTTTGGAGCTGATTATTTTTTTAAAAATTACTCAAAAAAGTCCTAACAGTGGAACAGTGAACCAGAAAGGGTTACAGTCTTTCCGATTGATCTTTGTTCGATGACTTACAATGTGATCTGACCACATCCTTGGTACAACTTCAGTACGTACCGGAAGTCAAGATTTTGCTTTTGAAAAATGTAAAATATTCGAATAATGAATTTTTCGACAGTCGATCGACAGGTGGTACCCGAGACGAATTCTCCGGGAGACCAAAGAAAAGAAAAGAGACAGACAACTTTTTGCTAACAATACTTGAGCGAACGGCTGAGACATGTAATTCCGGCAGGTGACAGCAAAGAAGATTGTAAAGAAAGAGGTTACAAATAAAAAATAACCTTCAAGATACTTTTGAAAAATTACAGTCAGATTGTCATTCATATAAAATAATTTTAACGGTATGACGTGAATGACTCGGTCGGTAAGTTTAAACTCCCTTGTGGATATTCTTTAAAAGTTCCCAGGACTCTTAGCACATGTTAATTTCAAGCGACTGAGGATCACTTCACGTCTCTTTTTAGTCTTCGTATGGGAAAGCATGAAATTCTGAAGGAGCAAAGCTGTCGCAAGAAGTACCTGCCGGTTGGCGCATTAACATCACAATATTCGATGATTGCAAAAGCTCCTTAGCAACGGCCGTCGCCTTCTAGTCCGGCACACAGTAAATTCAACGGAATTAGTTGGCAACGGTCGTTGTTTCTCATTTCCTTATTCTTTCTTTGCTCTTTATTCCATGTATCTGCTCTCTCCCTTCGTGTCCGTCCAGCCTGTCGCAAGACCTACAGACCTATTTAACATGGACAGTGGACCATATGCGATATATTCATACAGGAGAAAGGGTTATCCCCG